GTGCAGCGTTTATCCCATGTGGACACACTTTTTGCAGGGTGTGTTCGAGGGAACTGTGGTTGAATCGAAGATCTTGTCCCCTCTGCAACCGTTCAATCCTCGAGATCCTTGACATTTTCTAAAACATAGATCAGTCAGATAATGGTGATGGCGAGAGATTGGCGGACAAGGCTGAGAAAGGAGTTTATTTTGTTATAAGAATGAGATACGGATATCCTATTCTATATTACTCACTTGATGGTTGAAAGTCTTATTTTAATTGAAATTATTATTACTCCTTTTCTATGTTATTTCCGCTCTTCTTTGCCAATGTTTTTTTTTTTTATGCCAAAAATACGTTAATTAATGATTCCTTTTTTTTTTTTAGGATGGTAAGACTTAAAAGAGGACACTAAGAAAATTAGGATTGAAATTTGGAGATTGTGAATTTATTTTACTTTTCTTGGATGCTTTATATAGCAATGAGAAGGTTAGGATTTATCTTCCTATATATTTCCTTCAAACCATGAATTCTTTCTTGTATTTGCGGATATGGAGGTAGAAGAACGGTGACTCCAGTACAGTGCATGCATGTGAATATTAGTTAATGGTGTGCGATTGTGAGTTTCTAATTAAGAGTTATGGAATATACATATATTTATGACATTAGCATTGCAAGGTGCATATATCCCTTACATGTAGTAAAAGTAAACAAGCTTAATATACTAGTTTCTTTACCTTTTCATTGGTTAAGTTTTGGATCTTAATTAGAGAATATATCCTACTTTAACCATGTTTCTTTTGAAAGTTAATCCCTCTTTCAAATTTAGATTGTGATCAAAATTTTTCAAACAAGTGTGACAACTTTTTCAATGAAAACAATATGCTACTACACTTTTAATTTTTTGAGATTTGTAAGAGAGAACCTGCCCTCTCCAGAACTATCCAAGTCATTATGTTGTGTGCATGGACGAACAAATTTGGACCTTTGATTCAAGCAGGTATGGGCTTAATCTACGCTCATAGACATTGAGACTAGTTTGTTCCAACCATGACCCATTTTGCCAGTTAAAGGTCCAGATTCTTCAGAGTCAAAGATACATAGTTTAGGCCCTTGGGGCCAGGCCATCACCTAGCTCGCTAAGTTCTTATTATAAGTAGCAACAAGCAAGTAGCAAGTGACACTGACAATATGAAAATTTTTTATAAATCAGCTCGAATCGGAGTAGAACATAAAGAAACCCGAAGTTGGTTTGGCTGTTCAACTAGTGCGTTCAGGCTGCGAAAGAGACCAGACGGAACGGAACAAATAAATGCAGGAGAATAATACTAAAGGAGAATCAAAGCAAACAATAAAGTTATAATTCAAATAACCGGAAACTAAATGCATTGAACTAGTTTGATATGGCCAATTGACCATTGCTTAAATATAGCCTAATATACTAGAAGAGTCAAAAAAATTTCCGGGGTATGGTCCAAACGTGGCTCCACCATTGATCGGAAACTAATTAGCAAAAGCCTTTCTCCTCTCATTTATATAATAACTAGTCTTCTGTGATCAAAGATTCAAAATGGACCGTCGATGTTTTCCTTTATATATAATATAATCCACGACCTGACTCCTGATTACTGATGACTGGTTCAGATAGTTCATATGGTTAGAAGGGAAGCAAGCCCTTTGGTTTTAGCGAACTCTTCACGCAGGCTGAGCGCCTGAATTCTCAATGCGCTTAGTCTAATGCAGCTGAGGTTCAGAGCTTCATATTCTTCTGTGCCGATATCACCAATGTCATAAAAACTAAAATGCAATAGGGCTGCCCCCTTCTTTCATTAATCAGCACGAGTTAACATCAATCAAAAAACTAAAGTTGATACTTCTCTAGGTTAGTGCATTCAAGCTTTGATTTGCGTCCGAAAAGGAATAAAGAAAACAAAAAAAGAGAAAGAAAAAAAGACCAGGGAATAATCAGAGTCATAGTCTCAGGGGGAACATCGAATTCTGATAAAGTAAACTAATTGCATGCCACAAACGTTGGGATGAACACGGCCCCTCCCAACAGGGAAACTGGGCAATTAAGCATCCACCATGTATAGGCACCAGCTTAATCGGAAAACATCATGAACATTGTGGTATAAATATAAAGGAGGAAAGCATACGATTCTGATCGATCATAATCAGTTAGTTTTGAAATGGATGTTTTCTTGTAACATACCGAGTACTAGTTTGAAGAGGGTAAAAAAGGGGTTCATTCGATTTGCATCAAACACAACTTTTCAGAAAGCCACTTTTCTGCTTCCTGTAAACATCATGTGGTCTGATTAGTAAGGTGCAACATTATTGTAGCGTATCCGAAAATCTCATTCGTCTTTTACATGATCATCGATCCGACAAAAAGATGCCTTATTTGGTGAAGTTGGATAGTGCATTAGACCAACAGTACCGCTGGATGTTTGTATTCGCTTCGAAAACAAATCCCGCTATTTTTATGATATTGATTGCAGTTTAAGGCATTATGATATTGCCTTTTGGAAGAACTTTTATTTTCCTTCTAATTTTAGATAGCTGAAGAGATTTTTATTCAAAGACCGTGAAGAGATTTCTAATTGCAGTTTAGGGCATGTTTAAAGATGTAGTTGCCTCGTATAAGATCAGTAGGATATTAGTAAAATCAACTTAACTTCATTGATTGAATTTGCAATACATATTTACAGAATCCTGCTGGAAGGATAAAGCTAAGTTTAGCTTATCTCTAGTATAAGGCTATCAATCTTAATCTACAACTTATCTTAAAAATACAACAATAATAGATAAAGGATACATTTAGATAACTTAGGTGACCAAGTCAGTTTGCAGATAAGCTGCTGTTGTTAGTTGGAGACGACCCTCAAGCTATTGTAGGTTGCTGTTGCTATCTGTTGTTGGTAGGATCTGGCACAACTGCTGCTTTGATGGATTGTTGCTGTGTGATAGTCTGATTGGTCTTAATGCCCCGACCTTTATCCATCACCTCTTGATTAAAATGAGGTGAAGAATCAAAAATCAAACTCTTCTTCTATGAATTAATCCTTGAGTACACTGGCGCCGGACAATCTTTTGTTTCATACATTGTTTCAAATGATCATGTATCTTAACAATTCCTATTAATTGACCAGAGTTTTTTGTTTTTGGAAAGGAGATTATTGTTAATGACGACAAACATCTTAAAACAACTTTAGGTTGATTCCAGCTGTACAGAACAGCAGCTGGAGTCTGAGGCAGATTGCTCAACAAGAAGCAGGAAATTGCAGTTGAGGTATGAACTTTTCCAAAGAATTGTTATTCCGCTGCAATTGAATAGAATGAGATCTGGCCTAAACAAAACAGTTTGGATGACACAAACTTATACTATTTAAATATCATACCTCAAAACACTAACTGATTGTTTTGATGACTATTCTAAATAAGCTTCCAACAAAAGATAGGTTGAGAGCTTGGGGAATGGAGGTTGAAGAGAGCTGCTCCTTTTGTAAACATGAGGAAGAATATCTAGGGATCATTAAAGAGTAGAGAATCGGCTTCAGTTATACAAGATTAATTAAAGAGTAGAGAATTTGGCTTATAGAATTGAATTGAGCATTGCTTGTAATGCTTGTATATACGAATTATAAAGAGAAAGGAATTGTCTTATGTTTAAGCATATTGAAGAAACAACACGTGACTGCTCGTACTAAGGATACTATCATGATTCGATTACATGAACTACATTAGATCATTGCTGACTCGGTTACTAAAAAACTATGTTATGCTAGAAATCTTAATGCTGTTATTTTAAAATAAGCTGTTAGTAGAATTGATATTCTTTGATTGATTTTATAAAAATTATTGGATTGTTGAATTGTAGCATAATTTTGCTAACTTTGTAAACAGTTGAGAGTAAGTGCCGAGTAAAAGCTCGTTGGTATATCATGTCTTGTTTTAAGTGCGCATGCATGATTATTGTTGTTGTAGTGAAGTAAAGTGTGAGCTTACCTTTATGTTTGTTGCGCATTTGCTTTAGTGCTGCTTCTAATGGCTAATTGCAAATGCTAATGCACAGCAACAACACCATGTTTCCTTTGTCGAAGACAAATTAAATGTTCATCGCACCCCTTCTCCTCTTTTCTGTCCTGTCCTGCTTGTCTGTCTGCCAGCGCTGCTTCATTTCTTTTATGGCATGCGCTTTGCTTTTTGTTTTAACTCCCATAATTAAAGAGACAAAGAAAAACATGATTAATCACATACAAGCATACAAGTAGGAGCAACTTATTGATGACAGCATTTGAGCTTATTATCATATTTTTTATTACTTTTTCCTTTCCTACCTATTTGATTCGCTAATAAATCCCAAATGTACGTGTGGAACAGGGTAATTATGATCTCTTTTACACATAAAAAAATACATACATAAATAATTAGTAATATTTGAAATTGATAATCATATTAAAAAAACTTTAAAAAATGATGTATAATAATTTAAAATAACTTTTACTATCATTTATGACTATCAAGTTAAAAGTTTGAATGAAAATCTTGATTATGATATACCCTCCTATAATCAATATTTGGAGTTTTTTTTTTCATGTATTTTGATGAAAATTAAACTTTCATCCAATAAACAGAAATTATAAGAAAATGTGGATCAAAATAACAAGGGCAGTTACAAAAACAATTGCATTCTTATGAGCAATCCAGACAAAAAATAAGATTGGAAAAATTAATTAAAGATGAAGATACTTGACTCAATTAATGAATGGTATGTCGGGTCACATCAGTCAATATTGAAAACCTTTACAAAATAAAAGCTACACTTCTCCTAATATTATCCTATGTATTCTATATCGTAGCGTAAAGAAATACCATGACATGATTGGCGAAGACGAGGGAAAGATTGCGGCGTCTCCCTCTCTGTGTTGGTTTCATTAAGTCGGCTGCTATTTATATATGTTCGATTGTATGCGAAATGCGAAATCTAACATAACAGAATTTGCAAATTCTATTAGCAGTAGGGGCAAGTAAGAGGGAATAGTAGCGCCTTTTATTATAGTTATAGATGTCTATTTTAGTATTATTTTGTCTGGTTTTTTGAGCATTTGATCAATGTCAGCTTGTGGCATTCAAACTTCATTTGCATTTTGGAAACAAAAATGGTGCGTGCATGGGTAAAAGAAGCAAGAAGTGAAGGTGGGTCCCCTCCTCCACCCAAGAAAAGAAAGTTCAGATAAACTCAAAAGAACTTCACAGATCAGAGATCAGTGGATCATGGCCGTCCCTTCAAGACAAAACGATGTAGGGGTCCAACAAAATGCGAACTACATACATACGCCACGAGTACTGGTTCTTTGTTTTTTTCATAATTAGCTGAGATTTTGGATTCTTTATTTTAATTTTTATGTTTAATTTTCTAGAAGTTCTAAGTTCCCCACTCTTTCAACTTTTTTTCTGCTGTTTTGCGCCTCGTTATGTGCCTATAAATGGCTCCCTCCCATAATCCCATTTCACACGCCTTAAGACTAACATAAACACGTTAAGAAAAGAATAGTGAGATCTCGGGAGAAACAATGGATATCACTTTTCCTGTTATGGACTTCTCCAAACTCAATGGTGAGGAGAGAGCGGCCACCATGGAACTGATCAAAGATGCCTGTGAGAATTGGGGTTTCTTTGAGGTACTAATTAAAAGATCTGAAATGTGTGTTTTATATTTGATGAAGCGACTTTATTTTAGAACTTTTACTCTCGGTTCATTAATTGTTTATAATGCTTCTAATCCTTTATTGAATTTCTACTCTTTTCTTGAAAAGCTGATGAACCATGGAATATCTCATGAGCTGATGGACACTGTAGAGAGGATGACAAAAGAGCACTACAGAAATTGCATGGAGCAAAGGTTCAAAGAAATGGTGGCAAGTAAGGGTCTTGAGGCTGTTCAGTCTGAGATCAATGACGTGGACTGGGAAAGCACCCTCTTCTTGCGCCACTTGCCTGAATCAAACGTATCTGAAATTCCTGATCTTGAAGAAGATTACAGGTCAAAGTTACAGACTTTTTCACCTTTTTTTTAAGTAGTGATTGTGATGAAAAATGGCTTTATGTGTTAAAATGGTTTTTTTTTTTTTAAATAACAGAAAGGTGATGAAGGAATTTGCAGTGGAGTTGGAGAAGCTGGCAGAGCAACTTTTGGACGTCTTGTGTGAGAATCTTGGGTTGGAGCATGGTTACCTGAAAAAAATCTTTTATGGGTCCAAAGGGCCAACTTTTGGTACCAAGGTCAGCAACTACCCTCCATGCCCCAAGCCAGACCTAATCAAGGGCCTCAGGGCTCACACTGACGCTGGTGGAATCATCTTACTCTTCCAAGATGACAAGGTCAGTGGCCTTCAGCTCCTCAAGGATGACCAGTGGATCGATGTTCCTCCAATGAAACACTCCATTGTCATCAACCTTGGTGACCAACTTGAGGTATACCAAGCACTCACCTTTTGTTTTAGCGCTAAAAGTTTAAATATCACTCAAACTAATTAAATTGATTCTTGTTAGAGATATGGAGATAAATTAGATTCAGCATTAAGATGTTTGGTAATAATAAAATGGCTACTTTGATACGTACGGAATATGGAATATTATTGCAATTATTGTCTCCATGTATGAATTAAGCACAAAGCCTACAGAAGCGGGAAACAAAAATTATTCCAAGCTACATCTTTTCCATCTGGGATCTACTTATTTCAAGGCTGATTCCATGACTCTTTTCTCGAATAAATACAGGTGATCACCAATGGCAAGTATAAGAGTGTGATGCACCGTGTGATTGCTCAAACAGATGGTACCAGAATGTCTATTGCTTCCTTTTACAACCCAGGCAGTGATGCTGTTATATATCCAGCACCAGCTTTGCTAGAGAAAGAATCTGAGAAATCCCAAGTGTACCCCAAATATGTGTTCGAGGACTACATGAAGCTCTACGCTGGCCTGAAGTTCCAGGCCAAGGAGCCAAGGTTCGAAGCCATGAAGAGCATGGAGTCCACAGTTAACTTGGGTCCTATTGCAACTGTTTGAGTCCTTTAGTGACTGAAGAGAAATGGGTTTAGTAGTGTGTTTCTGTTAATAAGTTTAGTCTGCTGATGGATCAATTCTGGTATTGTTCTGGAGTTAATGAGTCTATTGGCTAGCTGTATGGAGCTTAGTAGTTTAAATAAGCTGAAAAAGCTTGGACTAAGAGTTCCTCTGTTATACATGATGCCTAGTGGCTGTGCTTTTTTAATGAGATGTTTCTGTTTGTATAAAGCGACCGAATTATACCTGATATTAAATTGTCCTTAAAGATTTTATTTTGGCTTTATTAGGCTTTTAATAACACTTTTTCTCAATTATGTCTTTCAATTTTAACCACTTTGTGCTTGTGGGTTCAAATTGAACGCAACAAGTTGCTGTCCCAGTTTCTTGATGGTCCTGTATCGATTATATTGGAGAATCAATACTCACATTGCTTAGATTAAATAACGCTGTTTTGGCAAGGTGGGAAAGCTTGAAAACAGCAAGGTGGGAAAGCTTGAAAAAAGAAAGCAGGAGGTGTGATAATGGTTTGGATTCAATTCGATTTAATTTTTTTAGATATTTTATAATATTATAAAAATTTAAAATTTAATTTGAATTTAAATTTAAATTTTTATTTGATCTGAATTAAATTAAATTAAATTAGTTTAATTTGATTTATCAATTTTTAATTTTTAATTTTTTAAATTTTTATATGCTATTTTAATATAAAATTTTTAATATATTTAAATAGATTTTGATATAAAATTATTATTTTTACTTTATGAAAATTTAAAAAGTATATATAAAAATTATAAAAAATATATAATTTGATTCGATTTTTTTAAATTTTTTTCACCTTTTGATTTAAAATTTAATCCGAATCTAACATATATATATATTTAATATTTAAATTTAATTCTAATTAAATAAAAAAATTTGATTAAAATCTTCAATTTTAAATTATTTTTAAAATTTTTAAAATTTTTTTTCTTAAGAGTTGACTCTACATGAGCAATTGCTATCAAGCAAAAAGCACACAATTCCTCTCTCAACTTTTAGCAGAAAAAAATAGACATGGTCACAATTTCCAACTTGCCTCTGAAACAGCCGGCCTTAACAAATTAGTCCAGACTGCTCCCTGATGCTAACTGGCTAGTATGTATGGATTGTATAAAAAAACTGCCAATCGGAACTAGAATTCTTCCAATTTGATAACTGAGACAGCTCTACAAAATTGCTAAACAAATCAGTAAATCACAACAACCGAATACGGGCTTCTAACTTATTACCATGCCAATGTGAAAAAAAAAAAAAAGAAAGGAATATATTATGCTTTCTATCAGCTAACAAATTGTATCAACCTTTTATCAAAGACACTGTGTTCCTTGGAACACCATGGTTGCACCATGCAGGATTGAGGCAGTGATGAATTAACGGTCGAGATAATAGGTTTGAGGCAAGCTTTATGTGTATAATTGAACAGAATTGAGGACTATCCATAAAGTAAAATCAAGCAGGATTATTAGATGTTCTCAAGTAGCTGCACACAGTTCCACCGACTGCTTTAAGCCTAGTTCGAGTGTCATCTCCCAGAAGAGCATAATTATTATGCAGCCGAGTGGGTAAAAGCTTTTGGAAATTATAAACAATGCCGGCTGCTTTAAGTAATTCGACCATCATCATGATCCTATCATGTTCCTTACCCATCAACGTTGAGAGGAGCAGAAGATCATTGTTTCCTGCCCCTTGCTAGTTTTTCTTCGAAAAGCTGCCCCTGGTTGAATCTAGAAGCAGAGCATCAGTAATATTTTCTCAACCCCTAGCTGATTAGAATCTATGTGCTTCAGTTAAATAAAATGCTTATAGGCCTAGCATAAGTTTCACGAACAAAATCTATCATTGTGAGGATAAAGTAGATCCAATTTATCCTGTGGATCTACAGTCAATTTAAAGCCTGTAATCCTTGCCCAAGCTCTAGTTGCCCATACAAATCCAATGAATGAACCCTACCCAAACTATGAGCCCATTCAAACGGATGAACCAAAGCCTCAACTCTAGTAGCCCATTCCAACGAGTGAACCCGTGTGGCCGAAATGCCTAGAAGTTTAAATAAATAAACATGCTATTGTTAAGGGTATTTTGATAAATTTAGCCATTGGCGAGAACGTCTGTAGGGTTCGTGCTCTATAAAAAAGTATAATGCAACCGCCGCTTTAGTTTGACAGTCGTTAACTTATGTATTGGGTTTTGGTGGTTCCTTTCCTGTTACAGAGATGATTGGTAGAATTGCTTGATCTGCATTTTCTTTTTAAATGTTTTTTCTGTTTATATTAAGATTTTTGAAGGAAACCTCAATTCGGTAAAAAGAGTGAGGAGGCAGTTTATAAGATTGTCTCTTCATAGGGAAGAATATTGAGGTATATCAAAATCAAAGGCCAAGATATCGTTTCAGTCGTCATTTTTCTCCATTGGCGGTCTGATTGTTGCTTGTCCATATTTCTTTTTCTTTTCCTTGTTTTAGGATTTTCCTTCACATTGTTTTATGAATTTTTTGTAATTAGGTGAAAGAGCGAATAACAAGGGCTTGAATAAATCCTTTTTCTTCACTTTGAACCGATTGCCTGGTATAAACTTATCCTTGCGGTTCGCATTTATTGAGTGATGCACTCCACTTTTATGTTTGGAATAAAATGTAAGCGTAAGAATGAGAATAAGAAATATTGAATAGCAGCGTATAGATTTATCTAGGATTTTCCAGTCAAATGACAATATAACGCCATTGCAGAAAGTTAACCATCCATGCCTTGACATTCTCCAACAGAATCAGAAAATTTTAAAAAAATAAATAAAGGAAAAGGAGACATGTATTTACCAACAAATCGTTTCCCCGGCGTACACTTCACCTCCTGCAGTCTAATTTTGGTAGGATGAGCGTTCAAAGGTAAACAATTTTCATCTTTTAAACATCTTGTCGAAGGACTGCTTAAACAGTGGCTGCCTGACATACAAGAAATCATTACAAGCCACAAAACGAAGGCTTCACGAGGCATTTGAGAAAAGTCCCATCAAAACTCCATAGACATATTGATACGAAGAAAAAGAATATCAATATTCAAGAATGGGCCTATAAACTTCCCCAGCCTGCCCATTTCACCTTAATGACGTGTACAAGCTATAGTTTCACCACAAACTAGCAAAGAGGCAATGTTTTCACCGTTGCTTGAGGATTGATTTAGATTGCTTATGAATTTTACAATTCAGGCTGCAAGTACAAGCGCTTTAATCGTTCCTTGACTGTTTGCTGTCAGCATTGTCGGGCTATCACTCTTCCAACATACTGCACTGATGAAGTGAGATCCGGCATCGTCATCAGCATTGGCCATGTCAGAACGAAATCTATGCCAAGCTGCAGGTTTAGAGATAGCCTGCAAAAGTCATTGCGAACTAAATTATAATTTTTTTTTTGAAATAACTAAATTATACACCAAAATACCCCATTCAAATATGTTAACTAACCTTGTGATAAACAAACACTTCATTTGTTTCGCTGCCACAAGCAATGTACTCACTGTTTACTGTGAGACCCACAAAATTCTTCTCATTTGCATGACCTCTAAAAGTGCGCAGCTGACAGAATTATATAAAAACCAAAAAAAGAGCAGTTTTAGTCTGGATGATATGGAATGCTAAAGTCAGATAGTAACTCTGTAGACATTCATGTTTGATAAATATACAGTCGCATGGAAAAGAATTTTTCCTCCCAATGAATAATTATTTGCTCCCAGTTTCAGCAACCACTTCTTGCCAACTTAATTCTTTCCTCTAGCTTTAGAAAGGATATGACAAATTTCCTTGCTTAAACTATGAAACTTATTCTATTATGTTTCTAAAATAATAAACTAAAAAATTAAAAGGATGTTGCCAGTAAAATGAGCTGGTAACTACCACTACCTTGAATTGTATGACAGCCTGGTTAGCAGTTAATAAATCGTATATACTCCAGAATATGAGATAGCCTACTTACCGGTAAATTTTCTTTTACATCCCATAAGCGCAGTGTGCTATCAGTAGATGCAGAAGCCAATTCATTGTTAGACAAAAATTTCACATATGAAACAGCCTTCTTATGCCCACCAAACACATATAGCGGTTGGCTGATGTTTCTCAAGTCATAATAGTGAATGTGATGATCAGCACAACCAACCTGCAAAATTCAAAAACCTGAAACTTCAACAAACCCTTCTTAATTTATTCAAAATATTGTCTGGAAATGATCCAAGGATTTCTGTTAAAATTGAATTCCGATCAAAAGAGGAAACATTTGTGTCCCAGATTCCTCCAGAAAGGTGGGTAAAGAAGAACTGACAGAATTTATTTCCTAATTGGGATGCTAAAGTTATAATTACTTAGTTTTAGCCTGAAAAAAAAAGAATGAAAAAAAAAAAAGTATGCCTATCTGCCAGCTTATAAGATAAGAATTCCAGTCAACTGAAACAAGTATAATAGGAAGTATTTAACCAAGACATACTGCCACATGAACACTGGATCCAGGATTGTACTTGACGGAACAAATGTTCGCTTTCACGTCAATGTTAAGAACACTTGCTTCTTGCTTTGTGCACCACACTTTGACCTGTCAAATTCAAATGGGGTTAGATAGTCTAAATTGCAAAATCAAGTACAAGATTGATCTAGTGGAACAACAGTAGGCGGAATGACTTCACTAACAAACATAAAAACTATCTCAACAACTTCATAGCCATTCCACATAACAGTAACAGGCCTTGTCATGTTTCTGCAGGGACCTCACATCTCAGAACTTCGTAGTTTGTTACTTAGACCTAAACCATTCTGAGAAATATGTTCCACTTTGCTTTCAGTCTCAGGATAATAAGTACAAAACCCAGCTTAATTGTAGATAAAATGCTTAATGGATCTAATTTAATTGCTCATTTTGCTTGATTATCAAATGCAACTTGTGTTTCTCGTATGTCTTAACAGACTATTACAGGAAAATAGACCAACAGTACCCTTGCAATCTCATCCAAAACCACGGTCCCCGAATTGTCAATCTCATTTCTTTCGGATACACTTCAAGAGAAGTTCAGTCAACACCATCAAATTTTACTGAGAAGTGATTTTTACCTTGCAGTCATTACTACCAGATACAAGCATTGAAGGTTCGGTGCAAGAAAAATCAACACTCCAAGCTTGCTTTTCATGTTCCTCATATTCCATCAAACTCTGTAAAATTTAAGAACTATTTTACTGAAGATTAAGCAACTGCATATGACTGGAGCATACACTATATAATATGCTTGTGCAGAGCAACCTGCATGAGAATTATACATTGAGGCAAGAAAAGTTAAAAGTTATCATTCATACCTGCCGAGTTGTTATGTCCCAGACAGTTACTATCCCATCATAATCACTGCTAGCAATATGGTTTTTTGTGTACTTATTCCAACTCAAACAACTAAGCTTAGATCGGGTGGACATTTCAACAATAGGACAATGCACATCTGCTGGTTCATTCACAACCTGCAGAAAATCAAATAGGCAAGTGTTGACCAGTGAAGCACAGACAAAACTAAAGGACACTAATACATGCAACATCATTGTTGGAGAATGGCTAGCTAAATGCGTTCAGGTAAGTATAAAGTGATCATTTGATTACTTTAATCAGCTCCCGAAAAATTACCTAGGATTAGATGGCTATAATGTAAAACAGTTGCAAAGAAACACTATGGCAGTTATATGCCTACTACAGAGATGCCATTATGATAAAAACTTGGAAGGGTTAAATTCTGGAAACCAGCATAACTGCAATATAGAACACAATGCATAAGCCATAGAATATCATACTTATCAATTATCATTAAGTGCTATGAATCCCCTTTATGAAAATTTCTCCACTATTATAAAAACTTCAGAAATCATGAACTTCACTCAACACAACTAAAATATTTCACCAATGCTTACCAAGGAAAACTCAAAAACCTTGATGCGCCTTGACACTCCAGCAGTGGCAAACAGCTCATCATCGCGATCAAATTCTATACTGCAAAATCATTCTAGTTATTAGAAAATCTAAAGAAGCAAAGGGAGAGGAAAATTTTATGAATGGAAGTTCAAAATAATCATTACTTTGGTTTTTCACATGACTTCAAATTTTCAAATAAGTCTAACCATATTGTTTAATCAATAAAACCACAGAGAAATTATCAAACAAATCAACTTGAGATTGGTCAAACAAGTTTTTTTTTTTTTTTTGGGAAAGAGGTTTCAGAGAACATAACAGAAGGACCCGAATCTTGTGCATCTTATGACTGGTTAATGACCCTCAGATGAATATGAAGAAATACATAGAAGACATACACTTTTGACTTACCTTGAGACAATGTTAGCAGAGTGGAAAATATCACCATGCCTAAGTTCAGCAATGACCCTCAATCGACTAATGTGAACATAAAAAATAAAAGATAAGTATGTAAAGCAGAAAAACTACAAATATTACATAAAACAAAAAAAAAAATTGAAAAAGTGAGATCCAGAACATTTCCCTGAAAAAAAAAAAGATTAATTTTACGAAATGCGATCACTGGTGGAAAAGTTATGTACCTGTATCGTGTAAAAGTACTTAGCACTGATTGAAAATCCTCAAGACCAGAATTGTAACCATCATTATTTATTGCATTTGGGTCTTTATCTTCCTGTTTATGAAGTTGTTTGGCCCAATACCGCCGCTTTTGCAAGTAACATTCTTGTAGATCATTAAACTGTGGCAAGAGATAATATTTATAAAAATTCGGCAAAGAATATAAATATAAATCAACCATTCATTTATTAAGTATTGACTGGTCTATTTATCTGAACAAAGAATATATGGGAAATGTAACTCTAACAACGACAGGAGGTCTTTATTGCTCCATAAATCTTCTGAACAGAATGATATAAGAGTAGCTGGTCAACAGAATGCCAATCCAAATAAAACATAAGAGGAACTCAAAATTTTCTAACCATCAAATGTTTCAAGAGACCAATTATGAGTATGAGAATCCAATGGAACGATTAAGTCTCATGTGCATGCCCTTCCACCAGAAGACTGTTAGTAAATGGGCTTTCATTGTTCGACCAAGAAACTTAGACCTTCTCACATTTATTAATCACTAATAAATACAGCATTGCACCAACCAACAGCAAATGTCAAGAAATATGAAGATAAGCAAGGCAACTAACCTGTGCATGGACCCGCCTCTTTCTTGCTACAGCCAATCCTGAATTAGTATCATATGCTGAATCTGACCCACCATAGGCATCCTTACCTCTGAATCCCTGTGAGCTTGCTTGAGCTTTCACATCAACCTTGTTCTGTGAACTGGCTGAACGCATCCAGCCTTGTAAGTTGTGAACGACAGTTGTAATGCCATTGTTATGTTTATCAATCAATGAGGGCAAGGTTTTTGCTGCAAAGGAATCATCTACAAGCATCCTCAGTTTCATGGAGCATCTCTCTTTTGTCCTATACAATTCCATGCTACGTTTCTCTACAGCAATTATGTCCTCCTTAATATATTGGAGATCACTTTGAATCTTCATTAAAAAAAGTATAACACATAAGACCATCAATCAAAATATAAAATAAAACATGCCTTGACACCCTCCCCCTCCCCCAAAAAAGAGAAAAAGAAAAATATTAAGAAAGACTAATGACAGGCAAAAAGATTACTGAACTATGAATCCAGGGAATGTTATAGACCTAAAGCCAAAAAGTATGGCAATGCTGTCTTTCATCTTGTATCCATAAAACAATTGTAAATGCGAAGTACCATCAAAGTAAAATACAAAATTTGGACTCAAATCTCTATGGGCTCTACCTATTGGGTTCTTAAATGATCATTTTATGCCTACCTATCAATAGATTCTTACGTAGTTCATTTTCTCTTCCATCAATAATCTTACCAGTTTGTTGCTAAGAGTTCAGTTTCTGAAAGCAATTATCAGTAAATGCAATCAACCTAATGAATTGTGGCCATGCAAACGGGCTGGAAGAATGTTATAATTCCAGGAACATGTAAATTCAAGTTTAAGGACCTCATTAAGCTCTTCAAGCTTTTGCTTCCTTAGGCAGTTCAAGAAATCAAGCAAAATCTGCATGTTTGTCTCTGCTTCCTGTTGCTCCATCTTTCTCTTCTTGTCAACAAGTAGCGCCAACAAGCCATCTAGCTCCTTAGCTGACACCTCACAACCCTGTCTAAGGATCACAAGGAGAGTCATTCTGTTAATTGATATCAACTACTCATTATTACATGCATGGTGAAGAGAGAATGCATCTACAAATAATTTTAAACAAGTTAAGACTGACTAATGATAAAAGCCCATTCATTAAGGAATTCAAAAAGTTCCTTAGCAATCGAATGTTAAGTACTAAAACAAATGCATAACCACATGACCAAGTTGATCAGGTTCCACATACAATTTAAGCAGAAAAGTTACTATCATAATTAGTGTTTCTGGGAAAAATAATGCTCTAATATAGTATAACTGACCTGCTGTATTGCTTTACGAAGATGTTCTACTGGAGATGCAGTTCTTGCTAATTGACGAGCAGAAGTTTTCTTCAGTAACTGCAAAATTTAAAAGACTGCGTTAATAAAACAAATTTTAAACCCAGAAAAAAGCATATAAATATATTTGCATTGTCAGTTGCATGAACGATCAGCAGACAAAACTAAATATTATAATTGGTTTTATAAAGGGTACATGACAAAGAAGTTTTATCCAGTTAGTTGTTACGTTGATCTTTCCTACCACTAAACTAGGAATATAGACAAGCATCCAAGTAACAGTCAGTTGAGTTGGCAACTGCAAAGAGTAAAGAAATCTAGAATACAAATGAGTAGGCTTTCTACAATTTATTTACCCAAACTCAACACAGCTTAACCAATTTAACTACCATAGATATCTAAGTCTAGAAAATCATACCATGAAAATAGAGCAATGGCTAAATCATTTAACACCACTGAAATTAAAGCCTCGCATCCAAATAATGACGTCATTATTCAAACTACTAATAATAATGGAGTGATGAAATCTCAAGTTTTCATTTCTGAAGGACCAGGTCTAATGCTACTCTTTGATCAGGCTTCAGTGTCCTTTGGATTAAAAATGAATGTAAGATTAAAAATTCTAGTTCTGAAGAGCCAAACATATTAAGGATCATCCTAAATACTGATATAATTAAATATAAACAAGATTGAAAAAGGAAAAAAAATTGAGAAAAAAAGAAAACCTTGTTAAGCAAAATATTAGCGAAGATATGGTTATTTGTGAGATAATGAGAACAACATGGACAATCGCTCTTATTTCGAAGATGAGTCAAAATGCACATATAACAAAAGCTATGACCACAAGCCGTTAGAAAAGCGTCTTTGATTATCTGCATGCATATCGGACACAGCATGTCCTTGTCCATGTCAGCTTCGGCAGCCTCTTCCTCCGCCGAGGACGGCGGCACTGGCGGTGGCGGTGGAGGAGGCGGAGGAAGTGGAACAGTTGGCGGAGGCAAAGGAGTGGAGCTTTCCGGCGATGATGGCTGTTGTTCAGATTTAGTTGCGGTGGGAACAAGTGCCCCACCCATTGAACTCTCTCCCATGTTTTTACAATTCTTCTTTTCAGAGTTGTTCTCTCTTTAAAAAAAAAAAAAAATCTGTATGGGAAAAAGGAATTTGTGGTTGGACTTTGCAGTTAAGTGTACAGAAGTGGAGTGAAGAATATGAAGTAGTATTGCTGGTTAGTTGGGGAGCTTATGTCCGTACAAGAGAAAGTAAACGAAAAAAAGAACCGTTTGAGAGAAAAGAAAATGGTGTTTGTTAGTTCAGTGATTGATTGACGAGACAGAGAGAGAGAGGTTGTGTGTGGTGTAGGGGAAGATTTTGTGAGGGTGAAAAGAGTACACGTTGGGCGGGCGTTTTCCTGATTCGTCTGGCTCCTCAACTCAATCAATATACACGATTATTATATAGACGTAGATATATACTTCCCAAAGGACTTCTCGACACAACCGAATCGGTGCCGTTTCGGTGCCTCTGCTCTGACTTACATAAATTTGTTTTTGCTTTTGATTTGCCGTTTTGGGTGAGGCGGCGTATTTAATTACTAGTAGCTACTATTATCAGGATACTTATTTTGTAAAACTTATATATACTGCAAATAAATGCCCTTTTTTTGTTCAGAAAAATATCTTATACTTTGAAAACGAACTTAAATTGCATTAATTGTCTAACCAATATTGCATTAATAATGGGAAGAAGATGCATCCATTCTAACGAATCTACTATTCATTCATAATCAAAATTGACTTTAGTGACCAACCAATTAACGTGAAATCAGTTCAACCATCGACTTTGATGCCTAAAATTTCTTTTAAGTCTGGACAAAAATGATCCATGTACTAAAATTCATTTCAATTCCCAAATTTTATTTTTTATGTATATCTTAAAACCAATTACACTAAATTATTCTCCTTTAGGCGGTTGGGTTTCCATGAATCTATATATATCCCTGGCTACGCGATTCTCTGCATCAGCGGGTCAACCGTGAAAACCACCTCTTCTTGTAACAATTGGAATGGTTTGAACATTAAGAAAGAGCTCATTGTAGGTGTGGCAGCCTAAGGATCACAATTCAAATTTTAGTACCGCATTAAAGGCATGCTGGTACCGGTGTCTCCCCACCGACCAGCATGTTGTCATGTTCAAGGTCATGCTACATGCATGGCATTTCAGCGATCGTGGAGGCTTTAATTCGTTAGATAGAAACGAAATCACCATCAACCTATTGTTATTTTTGCCACACAGGCTTCAATCATGTTCAACAGGATACTTTTCTGTTAAGCAGGGAAAATTTTCCAAATTGCATGAAGGTAAGAAATATAACACTTCGTTTACTAATCAAAGGCACGTATTGGAGCTATGTAATTTTCTTTGTGTATACATATTTGTAGATTCACAAGTTAAACTCATCTATTTCTCTCAAATGTCTCCGTTTTGTTTTACTTTAGTTGACGTAAATGATTTCTTCATACAGTCTACAATACCTTCACAATCTGCTTCTGAAATCATACAGCCAGGCATGTCTTCAAAGCCATCTTCTGAAAATGAATGAGGAGAGCGAAGGTTTCCATGAGTCTGACAGGCCTTCATTGTCTTACAATGTTCAGCTTCATCATCTCTGATGTTCAAAAACACGTCATACAAATTATCTGAGAAAGGACATAGAATTCAATCCGCTTATGTCAATATAAGTCCCACACCCAACTATTTAGCAACAAAATTCATATAGTTTTCTTGTCATACCCTGTGCAGGCTATTATTTGTCACTTAACCAATTTAATGACACATAATTCAAAATTGTTACTTAACATAAGAATGATGTTAATATAAACCACATAGAAGAGGAGGTGGGGGTGGGGAATCTAGTAAATAAAAGCATGGATTTCTATTTAACTTCCTTTGTAACATTGGAAAACATACAGGCCATGAAAAGGGATAAAAACAAGAAGAGGAAACAAATCTTCTCTTTTACCTATTTTTGGTCTTCGTGAACAGGGAGCTCTATCAGTTTGAAATTCATCTGGGAGAAATGTGGAGAAATTTTTAAACAAATATGACATATTAAAAGACTGAACAATGCACCGTAAAAAGAAATACTCACCAAACAAATACAAGTCACCTCCAGTATAGTACTTTATAGCAACCTCAGGAGCAGGCTTTTTTTTCAACTCCTCTACAAAGAACAGAAGGAACATATCAGGTCCAAATTGGTAAAATCAGTCAAAAGAAATATGAAATGAAAATCTATTATGCTGATGTGATGAAAATCATATTTGATGGGATGCAAGAATCTAAAAACTTGTCGAAAAAGCCCTTAATACTAATTACGTGCCAGTCTAACCGACTTGGGGGGCCTCCAAACTGCCCCTAGCAAGAGAAGTTGCAAATTAAAAGTACCCTTGAATCATGTTATGGTTGAGTTGTAGCATCTGAGGTTACACAACATACTGTTTACTTATGAAAGATAATTTCAAACTAGAATTTTTGTCAATCTTATGACACATGTGCATACAGCAAGCTAGCTAAGTAAGACAAACAATCTGGAATCTGTCAACTTACCTCCTCGGGCCCTTATAAATTTGTCATAAGTTTCAAATGCATGGCTCTCTACACATTCAGAAAAGTGATCTGCAGTAGTCATGAAACCAATATATTTAAATAAGCATCTTCAATTAATAAAAGTGAGTGTGGTTCAATCTAGGAACCTACTCTAGAAAACTTATTTCATGTGGTACAGGCTTACAGCTACGTGACCATAAAACAGCATGGCAGAAACAAAGAGAAATTTCCAAAATGTGAAGCATTTTCTCTTTATGATGAATTCACAAGAAAAGCAACCAACAGAGTAGAGGTTTCATGTGTGCTAATGGAGCAGAGGTTAAGATATGTAAAACCATCTTTTCATTCTGTCTTTGGTCTCTTTCTTGTTAAAACCCGTAAAATAGGTCAATGGTAGTGCAGCAGGCCATTGGTTCTATGCCAAGAAAGACTACTAACTAAGTTACTTTACTTGGCGCCTTTAGTCTCAATAACTACTTAAGTCCATGAATAGGTTTTCCCTACTTGCTCATTAGTGTTTAACTGAACAGGATACATCCCTTATCATTCAGGATGATGGGGCCAGAAGGATCCCAGAAATCATGTGTGCGCACACAAGTGCAAGAGAGGGAGAGAAAGAGAGGCAATTGTAAAGTAAAATCCAGATAAATGAACTTACATGCCATCCTGGGGCTTAATGCATACATTAAAACTGTCATAATGTAATAAAAGATTGCAATATGTTGAGCAAGAAAGCGGTCAAACCACCAAGAATTCCCCCCCAATTCCTGCAACCAAAATGCTATATGATAAGAAAAGTTAAGTAATTCAGACACATACAAGAACAATTTGCAGCGTGTTTGGTTTTTTTCCCCCTTAAAGCATCATTAAAGAAACCATCCATCATATTCGCCCTTTATAATTTTCAATTCTCTCTTCAACTCAATCTAAATCACCTCATGTTCATCAAGGTTATCTTCACCACTCATTCAACTATACTAGGACCTTACTTCCATGATAAGCAGGTGGTGCATCTCATTCCAGCTCTCAGCAAAATGCACTTTTAGATAGTCTGCTCTTCTCCACCAACCAAAACTCTCGTACATGTGCAGGACAGATATAAAAGCTGCCATAAAAACAAAAAATAAAGTGCCCATGTCAACAAGAAATTCTTTTCAGTTATCTCAGGAAAATGAAAGATCATATCAGCAAGTTTGAGTAAAATGGCAAAACAAATAAATTTCTCCTAAATGGCTACACCTACAATCAATAGCATGTTGCCCCCTTTTTTCTGTACATTGTACAATTTATAAAATAAAACCTGAAATATTTACGATGATCCTATTTTCAAATGCAGTATTGGTGATATGAGAATAAGGAACAAGTAAATAAAGGATGTAAAGAAACAGTAAAGTCACAGACCGAAATAGGGAACTCTTGCAATGGTTTCCAACACAAAGAATCTGGCATAATCTCTGTCATGGTACAAAGTATCAAGTAGCTTTATAACTGAATCCTGTAGAAAAACGTTCAAACATCTTCAATAACAAATCAAATTGCTAACAAAAAGCGTTGAGTTACAGTAATTCCAACCAAAAATTACAGAATAGAAAAGAATGTAAGATTTTACCGTGAGGAAGATATTCACAGATTGTTCAACCTTGATCACCCATCTCTCCAAACCATTAGATGATGAATTCACACGTGATTCCCCTACTTCTTCAACCTCGTTTCCTGGAAAACTTTTTGTCTGAAATGATTTTTCTACGACAACTTCTTCTTCGTTTTCTTGCAGAAGTGCTGCTTTGACTGGATACAACTTCCTAAAATTAAGCAAATAAAAAACATAAGAATTAATCTTTTCTTTTTATAATTATAACATGAGGAAAATGAAGAAATTACTCGAACAAATTACCTGGACAGCGGTCGATAAGAAGGACTGCTACGCAAAGGGTTTTGGATGTTGAAAGTAAGAGAGGTTTTAGAATTTCTAGCTTTGAAGGAGGAGGAGGCTGAGATTGCAAACGCCGAAGAAGAGAGACTCATCGTCATCGAAATTTCTTCTGCGTGCTAAAAGAATTCCAAAAACTAAGAAGAGAAATGGCAATTTGCCAGTAATAAAATCTCTGTGGAAGCCTAGTTTTACCTGTCCTTACTCATGCGTCACTTTGACAATGAAAACCAATTTAGGTGGGCGCATATTCCCTTGTGCCTGCGGTTTGGATTCGGCCTTTATTGTAGTTTTGGGCTTCCTAGAGCTTTTTTTTTCTTTAGGCCTTTTACTATAATTCATTTTTTTTCCGTGAACCAATAAATATTGAATAATAATAAAAATTTTAGGGATAATTATATTTCTACTCTACCAAACCATTCTTCAAACCTTTCTAAGCAAGCTACAAATTTTTTTTCTACTTCATTCTTACATCTCTTAGTATGTAAAGAATTTTTGAACAGGTGTTCTTCACCTTGTTTTTGTCTCTTTCTGGTTAGATAAGTATTCTTAAATAGAGCTTTGACCTTCCTCTTTTGCTTACCGCCTTTAACCATTATAGAGAAGCTTATCGAATAACTCGTGATGGTTCACAGAAACTCGTTGAACAAGTCGTGATGGTTTAAAGAATCGTGGGACAGAAACAAAATTATTAAACAAAAGCAAATTTTTAATATTCATTAGTTTTAAATCAGAGTGATGCAAGTGTAATGAATAGAAATATATTTATATATAATATAATTTTTTTAAATTATAAAATAAGATTTTATATTTATAAATAACTCAAAATTTATATATTATCATATAAGTAATAACCACATTTCGAAAGAACTATGCTAAAAAGGTTGATGACTACTATTCTGAAATATTTACTTGTTATGTCTTTCTCATCTATTCTCTATTATTTAATTTTTAATCTATTAATACTACTATTTTTTTTTTTTTTGTGTAAACAGCAATTTTGTTATTAAACTTTTTAAAAATACCTTTTACACATAACATTTTTATTTTTATTAATAAGGGTAAATTTATTATAATATTCTAAATTTTAAGTTTTAAAGGTCAACACATTTCCAATCCTTTACAATAAGTAATTAATTAAATTAATTTTTACTTCAGATACAAAACACTGCATTAGTAATAATTAATAAATTGAAACAGATGAAAAACTAACAGTCTTGCATAACACGGATGTTATAATAAAATGATACAAAAATATATACTAAATACAAGAAAATTTAAATGCAGGAATATCCTTCCTACGAACTTCATATCTACCAGCAAATTTTTGTCATTTAGCATTCCATAAAAATCTTAAGGTAGTCTAATTATCAGAGAAAGTAATCTAATCCGAAATCGACGGGTTTTGATTCAACTTAACTTTTTATGATCGATTTTTTTTTTTTAAATTGGGTATCAGGTCGAATAATATAAGAAAAAATTAATATCAGATTTTAGACAAACCCAACCCAATATATATAAATTATTTTGTTAATTATTTATTTAATTTTATATTTATATATATTATATACATTTAATTTTATATTTATATTAAAAAATAATAATTTATATTTAAAAATAATAATTTATTAATTTCGAGTCAAATCAAATTAAATACGATTTTATATAATGTTGAATCAAATCGAATTTGAATATAAAAATAAAAAAATTATTGGGTCAGGTCGAGTTCGAGCTTTATATATATATATAATCAAGTCGAATTCGATGTAAAAGAAAATCCGTTATGACTCAACTCGTTGTCATTACTACTAATTATTCTAGTAATATGTAGTAAATAACCTAATTGTTGAACAAAGAAGATTATTTCTTCTCATTCAAAAATATATAAACAATTTGAAGTTAAATTATTTTTTTGGTATACTTTACTTTAGTTGAAAGCAATACCACTATAATAAAATTTTGTCACTAAAACTTTATTGCTAGTGATAGCAGTTAATCATAACCATTTTACTCTACCAACTATTCTTTAACCTGTTTAAGTGAGTTAGACCTAAAATTATTACACCTAGTACTCCTACCATAAATTATACTTTTTTATTTACTTATATATATTAACATATAAGTTTATAAACACATTTAGAGGGAATTGCGTTGAGATAGTTGATGGCTGTTGTTCTGGATATTTATTTGTTTTATTTTTTAACCTATTCTCTATTATTTAATTTCTAATTCATTAAGACTACTAATTTCTTAGTGTAATAAATAATTTTGTTAGTAAGCTTTACTAGTAAACTTCCTAAGATATCTCTTACATATAACATTTCTTAGTGTAATAAATAACCTGAAGGGCCTGCCTTTGACAATCTAATTTGGTAAAAGCTTATACCATCAAGTAGCTTCCTTAGACCACCGCCTATCACCTCCATCACCCTGTTTTCCTTAACAACTACGCGTAAGATTAAGGTTCAAAATTCTCCAGAAACTGTCCAGTCATTAAAGGCCCCACGATTAACAAAACTAATTATGCAGTAGTAATATTAAAATACTATACACTATTATAAACACAATACACATAAATTAAGAGAGTTGAAAGAATCATTTCTTATTTCTTATTCATTCAAGTGATTAACTCACAATAGGAATCTGACTTTGACAAAGTTCCCAAAGCTATGGAAAGTGAAACGCAGTCTTTGTTATTTTGAAAGCAAATTCAGGCTACATAACTCAAGGAATTTGATTAAAGTTGAATCCTATCTGCAAGCCTACCTTCCATGCTAGTTGATAAATCTATACCTACATTTAGAGAGGATTATGCTGACAAGCAGGGTTGAAGCCAGATTTTTTGCTTTAGAGGAATAAATATAAAAATAATATGAATTGATAAAAGTTTAATAAAGAAAATTAATGTTAAATAAAATAATAATAATGTAATTAAATAAATAGGTATAAATTTCTTTTTACAATTAAAGGAAATTGTTGAATATTTAAAGAAAAATTAAATTCTAACTAATAATTTTTTGAAAAAATAAAAAATAAAAGTAATACTTTAAAAGGTTTAGTTTTAGAAATGAAAAGTTTGGTAAAAATAAAAAAAAAATTATAATGTACAATTAAATTTGTAATTTTATGTGCATAATATATAGGCGGTTGAACTTTTTTAATTGTATTTATTTTTTTACTTATATAAAAAGAAATATTTTGACATAAGAATTAATATCAACATGCTTGTTTAATTAATTGAAAAGAAATTTTCATTTTAAGGAACTAAAAAATTCAATGAAATAATAATGATTAGGGTAAACTGTTTATTGAAGGAGGAAAGAAGATCAAATTATTTATTGCATCTACAAGTAAAAAATTTAATAAGTTATGAAATTTACCATATCATTACAATTGTTATTAAAGGAAGGGCTAAATTATTAATTTTTTGGGGGTAAATTTTGATTTTACCTTTTTTTGAATGAAAATATATTCTTCCTACAATAATTTTGAGGAACAAGGGGGTTAAGCCCCAACAAGCCCTTTTAAAGTTAACTCAACTCGTTTTCGACGGATTTTAATCCGACTTGATTTTATAAAGTCGATTTTTTTTTTTAAATTAGGTTTCGGATCAGGTCGGGTTAAGTAAGGCTAAAAAAAAATTATGATCGAATCGGATTCGAATTTTAGACAAACTCGACTTGACCTGATCCGTTATTATATAAAAAATTATTATTTAATTAATTAATTTATATATATTTATATAATTATATATTCAAATATTTATATTTAAAAATATATATTTTATATTTAAAAAATAATATTTTATTAATTTTGGGTCGAAAATAATTTATACAGTATAAATTCATGATCGGATTCGGATATAAAAAAATTTTTAAAAAGAATTCGGATCGAATTGAATTCGAATTTGATGAACATAAAATCAGATCGAATTTGAAACGAATAAAAACTTGCCTCTATCCGACCCTTTGCCAACTCTAACCCCTTTAGATTCACCTTTGCTGAAAGTGGTCGATGGCTACTATTTTGGAATATTTACTTATTCAATCTTTCTCACCCATTCTCAATTATTTAATTTCTAATTCATTAAGACTACTTATTTTTTGGTGTAAACAGTAGCTTTCTTAGTAAGTTCCCTAAGATAACTTTTAGACATAACATTTTTATCCTTATTAATAAATGTGAGAATGTTACCATACAGCAAGTTGGTGGCTTTAGAGGTGAATAAATTTCTCATCTTTGAAGCAAATAATGGGCTAAATTAATTTTGACTCCAAATACCATACAGTACATTAGCTATAATTTCTCAATTGTAATGGATGAAAAACTATTAATCTTGCATAACACAAAATGTTGCACTAAAATGATACAAAAATATATATTCTGTCTTTAACTGCTTGACTTAGAGGTCAAGATAACTTTAAAGAGGACATCAAGATTGGATTCAAACTTTAATCTTCTCTCTCCCCTTTAATGTAAGATTCTGCTCATTTGAATGACAAAATATATATATATATACTCAATGCAAGCAAATTGACTAGCAAGACTATCCTTCACATGAGCTTCGTTTTTACTTCCAAATTTCTTAAATCTTTGAACATGTAAAAAATTTCTGAATGTTCTTCACTTTGTCTTTGTCTCTTTATGGTTGGATAATTATTCTTGGATGGAGCCTCTACCTTTCTCTTTTGCCTGCCACCTTTAGCTATTGTAGAGAAGCTTGTTCAGAGAATATTGGGAGAGAAGTAAACGAAGGATATTTGTCTTTCTCCTTTCCTTTCCTTTCTTTTGCTTTTTCACGATAGCATATTTTTTTTCTGATCAATCCATTTTCATATTATTTATATAGTTTATTTTATTTTTTTTTTTTTGTGAAAATTTTAATTTATGATAATTTTAATTGAAATTTATTTATTTAAAAAAATTATTCTCTTTATTTCCACTCTTTTAAACTTTCAAATAATTTACGTTAGAATATTTTGTCAAAAGATATTGTAAAAGAAAAGAAATAGAGGGATGAATAAAAAAAATCAATAAAAAAAAAACCCAAAGTCTGTAAACCAATTAGGCCAGAAAAGGCCCAAGGCTTTTTTTTTTTTTTTACGGGAGATTGATCCTATTGATTCAAGTATCACGGATTTAAGGGAGAATCTTAAATTTCACATTGAACATAATAGGAGGATCATTGGGATATAAAAGAGTTCACATTATCTTCGCCTTGTGAGGTACTTTTTGTAGGACAAAATCATGAGATTAAAGAGGTCAGAGCGGACAATTCCTCACAAGGGTGTGAACCGTGACGGAAGGTTGATCTGGGATGCCATAAGAGTGAATGCCCGGATCCCAGAGTCGCACGAATTTAAAGCTTAAATCTCGATCCGTAACACAACAACATAACTTCTAAACTGGATTATGTTTTTACGAACTTCAAAGAAATTTAAAAGGAAAAGCTTTGTATTTCTATTGCCTTTTGAAATTGTCTTTCTTTTATACCGATTCCAAAATATTGTTATTCATTTATTCAGAAAAAAAAAAAAAAAAAGGAAAAAACTTTGGACTTAACTTGCAAGGCGTACAAGAAAAGTTCACACTTAGACTACATAAGCAATGAATGAAAGGCATTAATTATTAAAGAACATTTTTCTTTACAATCGCCAGCACTGAACATCTGTCCCAATCCCATGTTTCTTTTAGTTTTGGAATAAAGAGTTGAGCACATGTCCAAGGCATATGCGCCCATCTTAATAATTTCCTTTTATATCATGTCTATTATAATTGGGGTCTTCAGGTGAAACATTGTGCCAGAAACCCTGTGTTTTTTGGGTTTCACAAGAGATGAAGTTAGCTCTTGTATTGTATGCACCACTTGCCAAGCTTTTTGATACATATACCTTTCGGTGATGCTGAAATTGGATGTAACATTGTAAATCACATGAATTTGAAAATCAACCATTCAAACTTGTTTCCCAGCGTTGGAAATATCTGGTCAAGGAAATTCATTTATTTTTTTCCTAATCCTAATAATCATTGATTAGTCTTGATCAAAATGATAAGGAGCAGTAAGGGCATAAAAGGTTTGACATTGCTTAATCCTAGTAATAATCTAGTTGAAAGGGTTTAAAACCTTCTATTTCAAGCAACAAATTTTAGAGTTAAAAATGGAGATGAATCTTGTTGAAAGTGGGAAATTTCTCATATGCAAATTAAGTAATAATAATTAATTTAAATCAGATGGCAAAGACCTGCCACGTGAACACTCATTGTTTATCCCGATATAGCAGTCAATTGTATGACTTTTGAGTGGGGAATACCCAAAAAAAATATATATATATATATATATGAATATAGTTTATATTTAATAAATTATTAATATATAAATTTTATATTATTAAAAAATTAAATGATATTATTATGTTAATATATAAATATTAATTTTTTAAATAAATATATAAAATTAATATTTTAAAAAATTTTATTTATTAATAAAATAATATTTTGATTCACTTAATTAATAAGATAATATTATTTTATTTATTAATAATATTTTAAATATAAATTCACATATATGATATATATATAGATATATATGGGGAAATTTGCATTATCTTTTTGGTTTTTTTTAAAGGCTTAAAGGATGGCAATGGCATATATGCCACCCAAAGTTGACATGCAATTGGAAGGCTTATGATGAAAAACTGAAACCTTTGCCACTGTGGCGCCTTAGCATTAATGATGCAAAAGGAAAGATCGAACGGGAACAGAAACAGAAACGGAAAACAGAGGGAGTTGGATTCGCTCGACGAAAAAGCTATGTCCATCTCTTTCTCTTTCTCTCTCCTCCATTTCTCAAAAATCTTTACTTTCAAACCCAGCAATCACGAGATACCCCTGAAGTCTCTGCTTTGAATTCATCTTTCTGCTGCTAAACGACCTAATCTCTGGTGACACTATTACAAAAGAAGCCGTGAAAATTTGCTCCTCATTTCAAGCCTTTTTCCATGAAACACTGAAACCCCCACAATCACTTTCTCTACTTTTTATTCGTCTATATGCAACTCATTGCGCTCCCATGAAATTCTCATTGCTACCATCTCTGTTTTCAACCACATAATATGTGGAACGGAAACATGTTGTTTGATTCCCTGTCTCTCTTATGTGTCTCAAAGGCTTGGAGGGTTCTCTTTGATCTTTTCACTCTTTTGAGTAATTCATGAAAACCATTCTCTCTTTTTCATTCTTCCAGCAAACCCATGTTTTTGAATCAGTTCATGCGGTTCCTAAAATCAATTCACACATTCAGAAGGAAAATACCTTTTGATTGTTTGTTTTTACAGGATAAAGTTTCCCATACAGTTCCTTAAATCCATATCACATAAAGGGCTAAACAAGCTTGACTTCAATGGGAACCTCATGTTTCCATGCATTTCGCCTTCGAAAATCGAAGAGCAAACATTTGCCAGTCCCTTCCTCATCAAAAACACAGTTGAATTCTGATATGGAGAACATGGAAAAGAAGAGATTTGATAGCTTCGAATCATGGTCAATGATTTTGGACTCTGAAAATGTTGAGACTTGGGAAGTTTCAAAGGAGGATCAAGAAGAGGAGTGGACTGCTGATCTTTCTCAATTGTTTATAGGTAATAAATTTGCCTCTGGAGCTCACAGTAGAATTTATCGTGGAATTTACAAGCAGAGAGCTGTTGCTGTGAAAATGGTGAAGATTCCAAACCAAAAGGAGGAGACTAGAGCCAAACTTGAGCAGCAGTTTAAGTCTGAAGTAGCTTTGCTATCACGTCTCTTTCACCCCAATATAGTACAGGTACGACTTGGAAAAAGAAATATGTACGGTTTAGCACACACGTGGTATCGGTAAGAATGTTTTTCTATCTGATTATGTTGAAGAAATTCTACGATTCTTTCAAATATCCTTATATTCATGTCAGTAACTAGAGCTGGTCTTGTTGTTAGACGAATGCCACGCTGCATCATAAGAGACTGAAAATCTTGACACTACTCTGTTTGAACACCAAAGAACTTTTGTGTCATGTAAGACATCGTTTTGGTAGATGTCTGTTACCTGTTATACTCAGCTTGATGCATGGGAGCATGTAAATGTAATCTAAAGACAACTAAGTTTCTGCACCAAATTTTTGTGAAATTCTAGGAATTTTACTAGCTTGCATTGCCTTTGGGAATTGTAGTGATAGTTTACAAGCTTCGCTAGATATAAATTATTCTTAATCATTTTCATCTTACTTCACTATCTTTTCAATTCAAACTTTCAATCGTGGCTCAATCCTCTGAAGCTGATAAATATCACAATGGTTTTGCATATGTTGGAAAAGCAATCTGAGTCCTTAATGCCAGATTATGTAACAAATACTTTTAGTACTTCAGCTCTCATACTTTACAGCCTTTTTTCATGAAATTCCTCTGTTTCCGTTTGTTTAATTCTGTTGTTAATATCCTAGACAGCGGTCTCCTTTTATATTTCTTTACAAGAATAATGGGACAAGATGGGTCAATCGTTTCCTCTTATCTTGGTTAAATGGATCAACAGTCAGAAGCTTTTGTTGCTAAAGTTTGTCCTTTTTACAGTTTATTGCTGCTTGTAAGAAGCCACCTGTCTACTGTATCATCACAGAATACATGTCACAAGGGACTTTGAGGATGTACCTGAACAAGAAAGAGCCATACTCACTTTCAACAGAAACGATACTGAGGTTAGCTCTTGACATATCCCGAGGAATGGAGTATCTTCATTCGCAAGGTGTGATCCACAGAGACCTCAAATCAAATAATCTGCTTCTAAATGATGAAATGCGGGTTAAGGTGGCAGATTTTGGTACATCATGCCTAGAAACGCAGTGCCAGGAAACGAAAGGAAACATGGGGACTTACCGCTGGATGGCACCAGAAATGATTAAAGAGAAACCCTATACTAGGAAAGTTGATGTGTATAGCTTTGGGATTGTATTATGGGAGCTTACAACTGCTTTGCTTCCCTTTCAAGGAATGACCCCTGTGCAGGCTGCATTTGCTGTGGCTGAAAAGGTTAGAAATCTATAGCAAGATTCAAATTTTCTGTATTTTTTTGGATGGCTTCTACGGCTTTATTGCATCTGCTTCAGTTCTTTTCCAAAACCATGATTTTTGAGTGGTAGCAATTATGATCCTTCCAGTTGAAGCAACTAGTTCCATGGACTGAATTGAGATGATTTATTAAACGCTTCTTAAAGTTTCTAGAGGAAATGTTAAGCCATCAATACACCCCATTGTATTTGGAAGTTTGAATCATCTTTAAGTATTTACCTTTTCTTCCCGCTTTAATGAAGCAATGAGATGCTACATAGAGAATTGAAAACAGCTGCATTAGGCCCCTTTTTCAGGCCATTAAGGACATTTTCACTTCCTAATCATTGATAATCACACTTTCAATGGTAGCTTCTTCTGGCAATGTTGATTCCAACACTGCTGATACTTGATGCAGTTCCTCTAATGTTGATTCTTTGTTTTGGCAGAATGAACGGCCTCCACTGCGAGAGAGTTGTCAACCAGCACTTGCACACCTTATAAAGCGCTGCTGGGCAGCAAACCCTGCAAAGCGGCCAGACTTCTGTGACATTGTTTCTGCCTTGGAAAAGTATGACGAATGTGTTAAGAAGGGCCTTCCATTAACTTCCCACTCAGGACTGGTCAGCCGAAATGCCATTCTTGAACGGTTAAGGGGATGTGTATCTATGAGCTCATCTATACCTGTACATGCCTGACTCTAGTAGAAGTTATTGCTATTGGTCCTCCCTCTTTAACGTCAAGATTATTTCATAATAATTTGTACATACTTGATGTTCTTTAATTATCCAAGGATGAAGGGTGCTGGTAGCGCTCTAACATGAGTTACATGGAGTGATTTAGGATTTGAACCCACTATTCTATTGTTCCCTACTTCATTAGCCAGTTTTTAGTTGTTTGATTTTGAGTTTTCGCTAAGCAACTACTCTATAGTGGAAAACAATATGAACAGAAACAGCTACAACGATAGAGTAAGTTTGATGTTGTCTTTGATCATATGATCAATAGGAGCTATCGAATGTGGGTCTAGCTCGGGCAGCCATGCCAAGACCATCCCTGCGATCAGCAAGGGTAGAGCCTTCTATTCCTTTAGTATAAATGAAACTGTTGTTTACTATGTTTACTGACCGAAGAATATTTTTTTTCTTTTTTTTCTTTCAAGAATATTCCCTTTTTATTTTTGCATTGTGGTTTTTAGAATGTTGTTCCTGGAGAAGAAATCACTGATTTTGGCTGCTGCTTTGCTTCGAATGGTCGAAGATAAACAGATACTCTGGGCCTATGCCCGATTTGTTTCTCTCCAGTGTCCACTGGTAAATCCTCCGAAGGAGGTCCCACGGCAGGCCTAACTCCTTTTTTAAAGTAAGCAGGAGAGAGGAGAAGCCAAACCCACTTGCAAGCCGTTAGCTTAAGAAATGTTACCTTTCAAGAACAAAGTTTTCAAATTTCAGTTATGGATGAAAGAGAAACCCACTTTCATGATAAGAGGAATCTTGACCCAATATACATATCTGTTCAGTCAACCTCAATGATTGATCACGATACTCTTCCTGACCCTGAAATTGAATCATAAACATGAATCATACACTCCATTAGAGATTGCACTTTCTATAACATTACATTTTGTTGAACAAGTCTTTTCGTCATTGTCTAAATGTGTAATGGTAAGTTAATTGACAATCATGTCTTTATTCTAAAGCTAAGATTCAAATTCAATTCTTCTCCTTTGAATTAATAATTTTAAAAGCATTGCGATCCAATATATATTCGATTATTTAATCTCATACATTTCACACTTTTTCTAAACCCTTTTTAACGTATAGCATTCGTAAAGTAAGTCAGGAGAAGCCTTTCGAGTTTCAATATTAAACTAAGATCAAACTGAGAGATACTGACCTAACCTAGTGGAGATACACGCTGCCTAGCTGCCTATGGGTTATGTTGTATGCTCAATATTGCTCTGCTCATCATGGGAGAGAACGATTCAAACGCGGCTGGCTTGACTTTGGAAATGCGAGCCAAATTCTTTTCACGTTCAAAGCTGTAGTGGCAAGAAAAGAGGTCGAATGTTCTTCATCTAACCCTGGACTTTGTGGACTAGCCTGGTCAATCTCCCTTGTTACTCTAGTAAGTAGATCTTGACTGTTGACTCAGTCCTAACTGGGTGTATTTGTGTTTCCAACTAAAAACTAAATTTCGTAAATATTACTAGTGCTCACTTAGCTAGCTAAGCTCCAAGCAATAGGGACTAAGTTTTGTGAATTAGGAGCAGATACCACTGATCCTTGGTCATCATTGATGTTGAACTTTTTTGCATGTAAAAGCGTTCTGATTATCTTAGTATGGAATTGGAAACGAAAAGCCAAAGTGAAATTTAAAAGTAAAAACTAGTTATTCTTATGCAAACAATGGAAAACTTAGAAATGTCTTCAGTAAGATATCAGAAACCAATCTTATAAATTCCTTTCTTTTTTTTTTCTGGTTCTTTTGATGGAGCATAGCTTACAATGAAAAGGCCAAACATTAGCAAAGAATTTGAGATTGCAGACAAAACGTAAAATGACAAGTGAAGGGTGTGGTCATTTTGGTTGGGGGAATATGTGCCATGGTAATTGGGGTCATCGCACCGAGACTTGAGCCAGTTGTCCCCTCTTTCTGTGTTTTATTGGCCAAACCCAAAGCAGGCAGATGCGATTTGCTAAGATACTACTCGTGTTTTAATGTTTTATTATAGTATCATTATTCCAGGGAAGAGAAGGGAAGGGATGAGATAAAGACATGGCCATAGGGTGCCAAAGCATTTTGAAATTTGACTTATTCCCTCTACTTTTCAATCTGGCCTAAACTCCAACTTAATTAATTATTAAATGCCATATACCATGTACTAATTGCTCTTCAACAAAATTGGTACAAGGATGGCTAGTAATCATAGAATATATCAGAGATGCCATTACACAAGTAGGAAATTAGGTTTTCTGAGACAAACCATGACTCGATCTTTAAGGTGCAGAAATGATATACTTGCAAAGAAGAAGAGGATAATAATCATATAATATGGCAAAAGAAATAAGAGTAAGTAACATTTGACGGACAGGATTTATCACATTAATGGAAGGAATAAATAGCCTTGGGGAACAACGAAAAGGAATTTGGACTGGAGTCGTTAGTGGGGGCACTTTACATTATATTATTTGGGGCCTTTGCTTTAATCGAAGCCTTACTTTTGCCGACCTCGTTCATGCTCACAAACCACATCTACACCTTCATTTCAATCAGCCTTTTCCGCAGCCTCCAGTCTCCATGCATGCATGCCCATTGTGCCCTTTCTTTTTCAATTACCAAAAGTGCCACTCCCTTACCCAGTTCTTTTAGCTTTTCTTTGGGCAAATGTAATCAACCTCGAGGACAGTTACGCAAGTACAATTCTGTCCTAGGATTTCCAGCAATTGGGCAAAGCTTAATACAAACGCCATCGTTAAGAAACCATGGATCCCACTTTTAGTACTTCAGGGGTTTCATGCTTGCAATAAGATGCTAACCCTGGCACCTGGGAGAAATATAAAAGGGAAGAAAACGAGCAGAACAATGATTCTTGGCTATTTCCCCATTTTTCCCTTATTTTCTTTTCAGGTTCAATTGTATGGATCATCATACACAGCATACACTAATAATAGTGATTTCCATCATCATCATCATCATCATATCATAATTTTTGAGCTAGTACAATTTTTTTTCTCATCTTAATAGTAACTGTATTAGACTGAAATGAAGATAATCTTATGAGCTAAATTATCAGTTGGTTGAAGTGGAAAAGACCAACATTAATAGCTATCTTATGATCCTTATCTCTAGGTGTCTATAAAAATTCATTCATAATTATCACTTTTTGAATTGGGTCGGCATTATTATTAACATAGAGATCGATTGCCGGGCATCTGCACTTCAGAGAGAACACTAAATTGAGTGATAGATCGAGCATATTGCCATCTCTAAACAGAATCCAATTTCAATCCCCAAAACATTACATGCATAAAAAAAGTTCAAAAAAAAAAAAAAAAAAACAAGAGTTGAGGAAAACACAAGGAAAATGTCAGAAACATGTACAGAGAATATAAGAAATAAATTTGCTTCACAGTCGAAAAAAAGATCATTTTATTATCCTCATTTCCAATGATCATAAGCTTATAGCTAATCTGAAAATGGTATGTATTATATATAGAGAGAGCTTAAGCTAGAAAATGGGGAAATTTTATCAAAAGGTTGCTTCAAGAACAACAAAAACATGATTGATTCAAGATTAAGCTACCCATTTTCACATTGTAAAAGGGCGTAATATACAAAAAAAGGGAAAATTAATTAAAAAGGTAGATAAAAATTTTCATTTTTCTTTCTCTTATAGAGAGGAAAAGGTTGGAGTTAAACCCACCTCTATACCTCGATTCTCGTCTAAATTCCTTGGCCCCAAACATTCCAAATCCTCTCTCCAATGAAGTTCACAATCCTCCTTACTGAGCCCTTGTCTGTTCCTTGTTCACCGTCATCCCCACAATCTTCACCACCACCACTACTGCTACAGCTACTCTCTTCCACCAATTTCAACTCACTTGAGTCGTCCTTTCGTAAGCTCAAATCGGGTCGTTTCAAACCAGCAGACCCATCAGCACCACCGCCTTTCTTTTTCCTATCTTTCTTGCTCTTTGACTTCTTGCTTTGAACTAACCCTTCTTCAAAAGCATCTATAACCTCGTGTATCAGCTGCCGGTTGGGCGATGAGTCCCACCTGACCCAGTAACTCATGTAGCACCTGAAACAATCACAGGTAAAAAGAGGTGGATGATCATGATCGCTGCTGCTGCTGATGCTCCCTTTAGTTGGATTTTTTTGGGTGTTTTTGCGGTGGCTTGTAAAGTTGCCAAAATCATTGTTAGAACAAGAGATGAGATAGGCCAAGACTTCCCTGTCTTCGGGGGAAAGAGCAGCCGCAAGGGTTAAGATGGTTGCAGGAAGAAAGGACAGATGATTGGTTGAGATTGGTGGTGATGGATGAACCGCGCCTCTGCGGTAGAGCTTCTTCATAGTTAAATTTGATGATCAGCCACAGAGAGACAAAAGAGAAAGGGAAAAGCTTTATCTAACAGACAAGAGCTTTGAAAGAAAGAAGAGAGTTTAGACTTTGAAGGGCTGATGAGGTTTTATTATTCTCTGTCTGAGAGAGAGAGAGAACATCGGGGTTGGTGACGTACTTTAGAGGTGCGTTCGAGTGCGGCGCGTGAATTAATGAGTGAACGGTACAATCAGATATCTGAATCATATTATTAACGTTATTCGTCGTCGTTTGAAGTTGCAGTTGAGCAGTTGGTGCAGTGACGTGAATGTGATGGGACCTACTCTTCGATTGGTCACTGTATGTCTCACTGCACTGTCCCCCTTCATACGTCAACATAATAAAAGAAAAAACAAAACGTAGGTTGGTGGTGGTATTGGGCAATGGGCATTCCTGCATGCATAGCATTGGTGCGGCTCTGGCTGGGCTTAGCCCAACCTCAGACCCAGTGGGCTATAATACCTCCAATTCGACCAACTCATCTCATCACTCCAGGAATTAGATCATAAATTCCAGGTATTCGGAATCTTTTGGAACCAATCAGTTCTTCAAAGCTCAGGTCTGGTCTTGATGTTGTTGATTTTGACTAGGCACCATCTCTTAATTAATTGGATATATACTCTCTGACTTAAAAACTGATAAGAAATTACTGTTAAAAATTAATTAGCCACATAAGAATATCCTTGGGGCCAGCCACCCTCTCATCTTCGCCTAACCTGCGGTCTGAACTCGTTTCAGTATAAGCTAAGCAGATAGAATTTGTGACAAAATATAGTTTCTTTAGTATATAATATAAGAGGTCAATAAAAATAGCAAAACACCAACAAGTCAGGCTCTTTCCCGTACATAATGAATACTGAATTCTCTGCTGATTGTGACAGTCAAGCAGCATGGATATAATCAATATCAGGCATTTCAGGATGTTCGTCAATCTTCTTGCCTAAATCAAATTTATATTAAGGTAGGTAACGATTTGCTATGCAAGTGAAGCGGTTAGATCATACATCATTCTCTGTAGTCCAAGTGTAGGAACTTTTATTTTAAATAAAGCAACATTACAGAAGTTGACGCACAACTAATAATAATCAAAATATGAAAAATACCCTCAAAAGTCACCCTCCCATATATTATAATATTTAATTAATTAACAATTTCACTAAAAACCAATTACAATAATTTGATACGGTTCTCAAGATAATCAAACCTCTATGATGAACTTTGTAGACGAGTCTTGATCCATGATTCGAGGAACTGCAGCTCATCGTTGCTTATTGAATGGCCAAGACCAGGGTCAGCCTGCAGAATCATAGGTAACGAATTTCAGCAGATCAGCAGATGCCATAACAGAATATCAGAAAAATGTTTAAGATGTATACCTTAAACTCACAGCTTACTCCCGCTTGTTCAAGGAAAGGGGGCCCTGCTTGTCCAGCCTCAAAAAGCACAGTTCTGTCAGCCATGCCGTGAGACCACAAAATAGGTGTCTGCAAATGTTTCAGGCCTCACACCATTTGTAAACATATTGCAAAGAATAAGAAATTTCAGTACAAATGTTTGCTGTTCTGGAGGAATTCATAATCTCCAAAAGATCAACAGTAGATAACATATTATATCCATGAAAGTATAACAGACACTGTTCACAATCTCACCTGTGTCAATCAGGATGCATAGTTTGTAGAACTAATACATATCTATTAGTTGGACAGATATTTCAGACGTGCAAATGTTCTATCTGAAAATATCAATTAATTATCAAGCATTGAATGCAGTCGACAGAATGCTTTCTCTAAACCAAGGCACTAAGATCTCTTGATATATCGAGCTTTAACAGGCTAATGTATCACCAAACAACACAGGAAAATGAATGGAGTAAGTTAAGCAAAATAGATACACTTTCTGCATGAGAAGAAAAACACCTTCTTTGCATCTTCTGGGAATTTTTCTATCATTGAAAAATTGAAAGGAACCCATCAACTGAAGACTGCACCCCCACCAAGCTATTTTGGGTACATAAGAACACTAGCCAAGGTCAAGGCACCTGAAAAGAAGTTGTTATAATTTGCAATGTACCACAAGTAATGAAATCTATTATCTATTGCTCCTTAGAGGGAGGCTTCCTACCTCCTTGACTAAATCCACACACAAATACATTATTAGGATCAGTCCCAGCAGCTACTTCCTTATCTATCATTGCATGCACATTCTGAACTGCTTTAAGAATGTCACTTTCATCTTTTGGAGAATCCTATACATATAAACAAAACTAAATTAATATCTCAATTGAATCAGCATCACAATGAGCAGAGCATCCACATCCTCATTGTGGATAACGTAGAAAGTGGTTGTAATATGGTGTTAACCTTTCAAGTGTAACAGAAAAGTAAACAAATATTTGCATGACATCAACAAATAGTCAAATGGAAATATCTTTCATCTGTACAACATGGCACAGCAAGAAATGCAAAGCAAAACCAGCTCATAATGAAGCTTATGAAGATTGAAAGGGTAGAATATACGGCCAGAAAACAGGTTGACCAAAAATCTCGAGGTTTGTATTTGAGGAAACCTTGCAGGTTGTATTTGAATTATCTTAACATAGAACTTTTCACATTGAAAGTGAACAGCTTACACAAAGTACCATCAGTGTTATTTTTGCAGATAAAAAAGAAGTCAATCAATCATTAACCATAACAATTTCCAAGAGATCACAAAGTTGCAGCTTTATGATCCATTACATATGCAGAATGTTGATATGCCAAAAAGTCCACAAATCATGATGGTTAGTCCAACTAAGCATGCATGCATGCATAAACATTAAAGTCAAGAAAGACAATCAATGGTAGGACAATTAAGACTGAACTCATGTACCCACATCAGATAATCTTATATTTACTAATAAGCAATAAAAAGGCAGTATTTCTTACCACCACAACTCAATGGAACTTAAGTGTAGATTAGAAACAAAAAAGGAAGAAAAATCCATTTTGTATAACAATTAACAATGAAATCAACATAATTTCGTTTAAAGAATATGAATGATACCTAATTGATATCTGAAGGAGAAAGGACCTTGCAGTATGTCAAATTGGCAAAAGGAAATGGAAAGAAAACAAGCATAACTTACAGCTGTCACAGGAATCTCATGAATGTCAAACCAAGAAGGCATCCTCATTCCATCTGCAAATGAAAAAATCTATCAGGGTAGAAAAATTGAGATATCATTACGAATAATAAAGGCTGTCCCAGACATTGTCACTCTCTTAAGAATATATCTAAAGTCGATTCACGACAGTAGCTACATTGTCTGAGATACAAAACTTTAAGAGAATCTAGCAAGTTGATACAGTACTAGAACCCCAATCCATGAGCCATCAAGGGATACTCAAAAGTTGAACATAGGTCCTAAAGACCGCAACTGATGAAAAGCAGGGACTATCACATTCATGCAAATGCCAATTGCTAAATTACAATCCGGCTTGACAAAGAAAGGTAACTAAGTATATTTACCACAGCAATACCAAAAGATCATGAAGCAGCTTCACAATGAAAGTATATGCAAAAATTAAACCATCCTCTTCCTATGAATTTGCTCTTGTTAGCTCTACCCTATTCTCTGTTCTTAGCATCATTCGAATAACATCTCACAATTGGACTAAAAGCAACAAAACAATAAATTTAGAATAAAACTGGGTTTCCGCACTTAATCCTTGCCAACCACTCCAAATTATTTCTTCATAATTTTAGTATCCACCAGAAATTTTTTTTCAAAATTACCCACCTCAATCAGCTTTAGCCCAATACTTTTTCCCAAAAAATTTCCCAAGGTATTCACTGCCATTCATGACACTGAAACTCTAATTAAGCTAGAAAAATCAGACACATACAGACCATTTAATTCGAAACACAAAAACAAGTCAATAAGCAGAACCAATTCGTCATATATGTATATAATGAGGCTCACAGTTGCAGGTAACGGGGTTTTGAGGAGCAGAAGGGAAAGACCATTTGGTGTTTCTGAACTCAGGAGACCTGAAGAGGGTCTTGATGGGTTCATTGGCGGGCCCAGAGTCACCTAGCCCGTGAAGCCAAAGAACAAGGCTTCGAGCAGCCATGGAGCCCCGTCTTCGAGAAGAAGACAGCTGGCGCGGTTGGAAAAATAGTACGAAGATGATGGTGCTACAGAGGGTCACGGCAAGAAGAACTGTCGGCTTCGTTAACAGCATAGGCTGCATCCCTTCGGTCATCCACGCTGACCCTTTTGTTCTACATTTGATTAAATATTTTTTGGTCAAATTTTTCTAGAACGATGTTGGAGCCGAGCCCAATTTACCTACCAGTACCTTCGAACTAGCTAGCCCATTTGTCATGTGGGCTCGTTTATGTTTTTGTCATATAGGGCCATTTTCTTAATCCTGGATCCATCCAAGAAATGAATGGAATTAATCGAAGTCAAATTTGTTTATGAAATCAACACCTTCCCACTCTAACCCTTCAGTAATCAGTAGAAGAGAACAATTTTTCCCTTGGTTTTGTTAAGAGAGTGCCCTCTGCGGCACTGCCATACAAAAACTGAAACCCTGAGAAAGCAAATATGCTGAATTGAACTTGCATGATGCTTTATTCTTTATTCGAGTGAACTAAAAGCTCTCAATGAGGCTCAATGGCACAAACACAAGGATGATTCAGCAGCTTTTAACTTATTGAAACCAATCAAAGAAGCTCATCTTTGTCTGCTTACATTACTTCACATATTCTACACTGACATGATAAGCATAGATTTAGAAATTTGCAGGGGCATTGCCATTTGCTTAATCCATCTTTATAAGAGATTTGCAAGAAGTGAGATGGCTGCAGGGGGTGCAAGAGTGATTGGAACTTGAAATCAAGAAACAATGGTGCTAGAAAGAATGAGATGGAATCTCATTTATGTTGGCACTGAGCTAAGCTTAGTGAACTCTTCTAATGAATTGTGAACATTTGAACTAAATCACAAAAACAACAGCCACACCAAATTAGTAAATTATGGATGACTCACAGCAATCTCAGCAGGGTGGCTTTATAGGTTCCACTTTGATCCCAAACTAAAAATAGTTCATCAACTGAATAGATTGAAGAACAAATAACTCTCACACAAGCTCGTGTGCAGCCTTCAAATTGAGACAGAATCTAGTCTGAATTGAGGTAACCAAAAAGAGAAGAGAAAGTTTCGATTACTGGCACAATCAAGAACATCAAACGTACAAAAATGTCTAAGCAAAACTCAACAAAGGGTCTAAGAGATGAAATTAGTGAACTTTGTTAACATGAAAGGGGCATATATTACATAATATCCAGCTTTGCCACGTTGTTCAGTAAGACAATTCCCAAGTAAGCTTTGATGGTACTAAGGAAAAGAAACCTCCTTGCCTATCTTGTTTGGCTAGTAAGAAATCTGTCAAACTCCTTGCATTGCATCTTCAAATGGTAGCTTGATATTCATCAATGGTTTGTTTCATTGCATCAAGTTGAGAGAGAACATATTGGAGTTTCTTACAACAGATATCATTCGATACTCTGGAACTATAATCACACTTCTCAAATGTGCGGTACTCACAAGCACTCTTGATTTCATCCCTCAAAGTCACTTGGATGTCCTGGTTTTTGAAAACAGATTTCAATCCTTCAAACTATAACTAATGGTCCAATTCAATCTTAATTCAAGCCAAAGTTCAAAAGTGACAAGTTTAACCTTAATTTAAATCTTATCAGGCAATTCAAGCTTAAGAACAAATACACCACAATGAAGCTAAAAAGAAGGAAAGCAGGAACCTTGATCATCTTCATGAATTCACGGCAATGATTGTTAATCAATTCTTTCCTGGGACCGGTTGGATTTGCGAGTTCATCCATGACACCTCCGGTCAGCTCCAGAACCTTAACTATTCTCTGTATCCAATCAAACCATCAAAGCAAATTTCTCTTCTTGTTCTAAAAAAAATATCAATTTTGGCTAAAGAAATTGGAAGTGGATATAATTTATTACCTTCTCCACATTTTGAAGTCGCTGCAAGGAAGTGTTCTGAGTGGGAGAATCCATGAAAGTTTCGGTTCTTCAATTCCAGCAAAACCCAAAATGACCTCTCAGAATCCTGAAACAAATCTCGTCTCATGACGAGTCAAAACGTGCCGTTTCACCATTTATTGTACTACTAGGCAGCCGTTTGAAAATCATAAGGCAACTTTGATTGCGTGGCAAGATGTGATTGGCTACATTCTCGAGCAGAGCTGACTTGTGCAGCACAAATAAGCTGCCAACCCAAACGAGAACCCAATTTTTTGTTAGACCAAAAATTCAGTAAATTAAGAGGGGAGAAACAGTTGAATCCATGGCATCCCACCCAGCCGGGCCCAAAACCAGTGAGTTGACTCGCTCGTTCTTTTAATCCGATAACTAATACGGTATCAATTATTCGTATTAATAGATCCTTTTTTTTGTCATTTTTTGCGATTAATTAAAAAAAAAAAAGAAAAGTCTCAATTTGTCTCATTTTTTCTTTGACAAGTTTGATGCTTTTGGACTTAAGATTTTCTAAGAGCTAACGTTGGATGTTTTGTTTGGATTTTGGAGGTTGGATCGTTAAACTTCTAAACTGTCGTCTGGTATTTGAATTTCTCTTTAATCTGTTTTTGGCTAGAAGTGTGAAACCTGTAGCTTCGATAAATCGTAAAGCTTTTTGGATTATTATTATTATATTATTCAGTTCGAATTGGGGCTGTTGCCAGAAAGTAGATTTGGTGCAAACAGGTGAGCTTCTTTTAATTTGAATGCCCTGGTAGATTGACTTCTTCTAAACATCAAACTGATGTTTTTTATTTAAAAAAATAGGATAATGAACGAAGCCATATAGATTCTCAAAATGGAGCAACTGCCTTTCTTTAATCAATTTAAGGTAAACTTGAAACTGCACCATTTAGAAAGAGTACTAATATCCCATGAGTCCATGGCATTTGAATGAGTATAGATTGTATTCATTACATACCTGAGAGTGAAGAACAGTTGCAACTATGATTGGCATTTAGATTACAGAACTGATGGAGGGATATGAGGTGTATGACTTATGAGCTTCTGGTAATCCCATGAACACAAATATAAATTGATATTTTGTAGATAACATATAGAATCAGCAAAAGTGGTATTTTAATTTATTCCGATTGTCGATTTTAAAGTGCGCATAAGCTAACAGCTTGTTTCATTTCAGTTCACTTTTGGGCACCAACTTTTAAATGGGGCATTAGCATAGCCAATGTAGCCGACTTCTCTAAACCACCTGAAAAACTTTCCTATCCTCAGCAAATAGGTACGTGGTGTTTATGGAGCTTTAATGTACGTTAATCTGTGTATTGCCCATTTCTCACCAGCTCTTATTGTACCCTCATAGTTGTCGCTATATGTTCAAGACATTCAATTTTTGGTATCTAAATTTTAACATTTTACTTTTACATAAAGATGCAGTGGTCTTGTAGTTTTCTGACTATCGGTATATGCTATCCAGCTGTTACTTGCACTGGAATTATCTGGTCTCGCTACAGCACCGTAATCACTCCGGTAAGTTTGATGATTGATTGGGTTACCTGCCTTTTAACAGTCCAGAAATTTAACATTATCGAAGAGAAATATATATGAAGAATACACAAGTGTGTATATGCAGATTCGCACCTAGATCACTGCCTTAATGGGAATCTTCTTCTTCTTTTTACACTTGCCTTCATGATTAGACGTACAGTCTAATTTGTGCTGTAGTCATTTAAATTGCTTTTGATTCTGTCATTTCTTGATTCTAAATGCAGAAAAACTGGAATCTCTTTAGTGTAAACGTTGTTATGGCTGGAACAGGCTTATACCAACTAGCACGAAAAATACAGTAAGTCAACTCACATATGATATCTGTTTTCCTTCGCTTATTCGAACTTTTGCTGCATGTTTTGGATCTATTGGCAGAGCAAGCAAATAGATCTTTCTTATTCCAATCATTTTACCAAATGCTTGTTTTGATGTCTGGCTAAATGATATGTGCTTCTTCTCTTCCACTGTAAAAATGGTGTAAATAAAGAACCTGAAACCCTACTCGCCTTTGTATATAAAATGATAGGCTTCTGTTGGATAGATTACTAGGAACGTTTTTGAAAACTTGATTTCCATTATCTTTCCCTCCATTTTCAAAGCTTTGTCGTTATTACCATTTATTTGGTATGGCTGCTTTCTGATTTACTGTTTTATATGTTTTTTCTCCATGTTCAGACATGATTACTCTTCCGAGTCAGAGGCAGAGCCAGCTATTGTAAAGAATAATGATGAAATCTTCCAAACTCCTTTGTTTTCTGGGGCAATATCAGTCATCTCCCCTTTTTTTTTTTTTGCAGCTAATTAAAGTTCACTTGCCTCTATGGCCTTGTATTCAAGCATGCTCTGTTGTGGAAATTTGTAGCTTGATGATGATTGTCATTCTGATTGTAGAGGCATCAATAGATACTGAGCAACAGAACCGCTAAAAATTCTGATTAGCGTAATAATGCCTTTTAAAAAGTTAAAATGCTTTTCTTCCTTCAGTTCTCTCGTACAGTCTTTAGGTACAATTTACTTACAAGAAGGATTTCATAGTGGAAATTGCAAATTTTCTTCCCTACGGCATTCATCCAAAATTTTGGTTTCTCTTTGTAGTATTTTTATTGGCTGTCTAACTGTTACAGAGATCTTATAATAGTCCATGATTTTAACCCAAATCCTACTAGCTTAACATACTCCAATAGATTTGGAAGGCATGTCACCATGTCACCTGTGTATGACAGCTAGGACCTTTTTGATAATGGATACAAATCATGCAAAGTCAGAATATTTCCATAAAAACTATCGAGAGAACCAATTTAATCTGTACGTCCAACATGTTCTATCCCCAAGATGTCCTACAAATCTAGAGGGGAAACAAAAATATGGTATGTCCAACAAAAAATAGGTTGGTCTGTTCTCAATCAATACAAGTCGCAATCAGCTCAGCAAGGGAGTATCAAACAAAAGACTAAAAATACAATGATAAGCCATTTCAGTGCATTTAGCTTAAGAAAACTGACCGCCGGATAGATGGCCGAAGGGAAAATTGAATCTCTAAGAAACAAGTCATGAACGACTAGGTCGATGTCTACTTATCATCTTCATTAGTCTATTAGCTGAAACGACCAGCACAGCTACACTCATGTCCCACCGCTACTTGATTTCACTCTTTCCAACCGCCCATTTTGATTTGTTTTTGAATCAGACTCAACATCATGGGCTATCAAACCCAAACTTAAATCCAAAGCGCTTTCATTCAGATCTTGTCGAACTATTTTATTATCCTCCTGAGACAAAATTGAAGTTGAGCCAATAATAGAGGTAAGACTTTCAACTCATGAACCAAAATTTTCAGTCATTCTTTATGGGGCTAATGAATACAAAATGAAACTATTCTTGTAGCATTCAAAATTAGTAGACTTTTCTCAATGACATGAAAATAATGTTACAAAAGTGGCCCATCAGATTGACATCAGTTTCATCAGTTTGCTCCACAAATCAGTGTGTTGAGATGCCATTTATGCATTAGTTTTTTAAAGAACTCAAACCAAGAGCCCCTGTCCTAAACCATCCCCAACCCCTCCCCCAAAGGGAAAGAGATGTAGAATGACACTGCTCACCTGACTTTCGTCCATAGGTACATCATTAATGTCTGGTTTTTCATTATAACCATCATTCCTGGAAGTTGGCTCTGCTGTACGAGGGCCAGCCTCATTTGGATTAGCTTCATCATCACCGTTTTCTGCAGCCTCATTTTCTGCATCTTCCTTTTTCTGTTCCTCTAGCAAAGCAATCTGCATGTTCAAGCAGTCAAAATAGTTATATGTTCATAGGATTTGAACATTGAACTGATCCTAGAACTTATTTCCACCTAAAATTTGCTATACAAAGCAGTTTGACAAACCTGTGAACGTCACCTTTTTGAGATAATCTAATCCAATTCTTAATATGAATACAAGTAATAGACAAAAGCATGAATTCTCTGTGTTTTGATACAAACAAAGGCAGAAACATTGTGTATCACGGCCATGCAATGCAATTGACGATCCAAACAACAAATTGTAGTTATACAATAAGGATTTTAAAGGGATTTGAGCCAAGGCAAGACTTCTGGTGCCAAATACCATATGGATTTGTCTCTGTCAGTAAGATTTTCCTATGCCATGTATCATGCTATCATAATTTCACATACTAGATTAAAACCATTAGGGTTAAGCACTACCACAACCAAATTTAGCTTGAAGCAACTGAATAGGATGTCATTAGAATTAGAATAGTCAGAGAAAAGAAATGGGATATATCATACAAGTCTCAGTCCTCCTCCCTTTCTATCTCCACTCCAACAGTTTCACCATCATTATATCATTGGTTTTCAAAAGATTTCCAAACCTCAGACTGCAATTATGAGCATGAGGATGACAAGCAGCTAAATTTTATATATCCTTTATACATGATTTCCAAATTAGCAATGTAATTAAAAAAGTGCTGATAAGCAAGCTATGATTCTAGGAACAGGTTTTGGGTAATTATAAAATTGACAAGAGTAAAGCAAAAATAGTGACTCCACGTGCTTCCAGACCAGCACAAAATAAAGTGAACAAAAATTTATAGGAGAAATATTTATCTCCTAAATTTTCAGTCATTGATCAAAGAAATAACAGCCAACGGCAAGCTAACTCATAGTTCCGTTGCATCTAACCATAAAAGAAACCCTCAAAACACTATTAACCCAAACCCCAGCTCACATATTGAGTAATTATAGAAATGACACACCAAAATCAAATACTAATTCACACCATCACCCCACCATGAAACTCAATACACTAAAATGAACGTAAAAGAAATATGCATAAATAAAAAAAAATTACATGACAACTAAAAATAAAATTGATGAAAACCCAAGGAAGGAAATACCGGAATGTATTTAAATTTCCGCCTTGGTGGCTCCTCGGGCGCCGCCACAGCATCGTCCTTGGAAGAATCATTGTTTTCATTGTTGTTGTTGTTTTTTTGGCTTTGGGATATTGGAGTCCACTTTAAAAGGACGAGATGTGAACCGTTATTACCGTTGGAAATACCGTTGCTGCCGTGGCGATTATGAGAGTGATTATTGTTGTTGCTGCTGCCGCTGTTATATGGGGAAACGTAGACCCATTGCTTCTTCCATTTCCTTATCGGCCCAGTGAACACCGTAGCCGGTCCGTACCGAGTGGAAGACCGCCCGAGTCGAGCCCCCACTCCTTCCATTAGCTCGGTTGCGTTAGATCGGTGGCGAATTTGCCGTGACTCGCTCTAAATTAAAAGGAGTTTTTCTTTTCCTTTTTTCTTTTCACTCTCCCTCTCTATATGTCTCGTCTCCCTTGTTTTTTCTTTCCTTTTTTTTTCACCTAGAAGACGGTGGATTAATTTCTTTTGCGCATTTATGTTTAAAAATTCGGGTCGGACTCGGTGATGATAGTTCCGGATTCCTACTTTAGGGACGATTGACGAATCAGAACCGTTAAATCTATTTACTGGCTCTATAATTTGGTAATTTTACTGCCTTTGTGATGATGATTCGGAATGATTTGATGATCCATTCCATTGCATGAAGTCATTTTCACCTTCTTCTTTTTTTGAAATAATTTTTTTTTTATCATTTTGGATAAGTTGTATTTTATTTATCCAAAAAAATTAATAAAATTATTACAGTATATACACTCCATATATACAATCAAATTATATTTTAATTATTATGTAATATAGTTTTATTTATATTTTACGCATCACACAAAATCTTATTGACTGAATCAACAACAATCGAACACAATCCATGTAATCGAGTCTTAATAGCATCTTTAATTAGCTCATACACTTATTCTTCTATTCCTTCTTTATTCTTGAATAATATGTGGCTCATTTCTCTCCATATGTAGTATATATGAGCATTCTAAGCAATGCGCAATACTACTGATATCAGTGCTTTGCCTTTTATCCTTGTCACTATCCATTTCAATTCTTCAGTCCATTCCCCGACTACTCTGTCAGTCTTACATAATTGTAATACCCTTCTCTACACTATTTTTGTATATTCACAACCAAAAAATAAGTGGTCTCTAGATTTTCTTCCATGTTGACATAGGCAGCACCTTTCATATACTTTTATTCTTCAATTCCTCAATCTATCTTTTGTTGAAAACCTATTTAGTATAGTCATCTATGTAATCATTGAGTGTTTCGAGATATGATACTGAAACCAGATTAGTCTATATCACTCAACCTTTCGTTGCTTAAACCCTATCTCATTCCAAACCGCTGTAATAGAATAGCCATTGCTACGGACAGGTCATACCTCAATACCATTTTCTTGTTTTATGAATTGGCGTGTAGTAGTTTAAAGTTGAAGTAGTTTCCTCCAACCCTAACTATTACCCTGCTGTGGTTCAACTTGCCATATACTTTTGTCTTTCAAGACTAGGCTTCAATCCAAGCTATCCATATAGATTTTCCTTTTTAGAAAATAGACCAAATATTCCTCATCATGCATGCCTTGTTCCAAGTTAGTGTGTTTTTTATACCCAACTTTTCTTCAGACTTAGAGTGGTAAATAGCTTCCCAGCTGACTTTAGCTCCTCTGGCAGTCTCTTCCTGTCTTTTTCAAATGAAGCTAGAGTAAAGTTGATTAATCTTTTTTAACGCATGCTTAGGTAATATAAAATGTTTATACTAATAATTGTGTATACTAAAAAGTATTGGCTGGATTAGCTATAGTCTTCCAACATAAGATAAGTACTTATTAGTCCATCATTTAATCTTAACTGTGATCTTCTCAAACAATGAAGCACAATCTTTTATAGTGAGTCTTTTAGTGACTAGTGGGACTCCTAAGTATCTAATAGGAAGTAAGCCTACTTTGAATCTTGTGGCTTGTTGAATTGATTGGATCTATTTCTTGTCTATTCCTATAGCATATATCTCACTCTTTTATAATTTAATTGCAGCCCTGAGAACAAGAGCTTTCATAACCTCCTTGACACCAATGATTGAATCCTTGCTTCCTTTTGCAAAAATTAACAAATAATTTGCAAAACATAAATGCGTTAGCTTGATCTTTTTGCACTTAGGATGACAGGCAAACACTCCAAACTTTGCACTTTATCTAGCATTCTTAACAACACATTCATTGCTAGAGCAAATAGATATGGGGAGAGTGGATCCCCTTGCCTTATTATTCTAGCTCCTTGAAAATAGCCCATTAACCCTCCATTAAGTGATATAAAAAACATTAGGGTTGTAATACAATTGTTGATCTAGCCTATAAATTTTAAAGACAATCCAATGGCTGCCAAAATGTTGAGGATAAAATTTCAATCCAATGTATCAAAAGCCTTTTGCAAATCAATCTTTATAGCACACTTTAGGGATAATATGGTTCTACCATATCTCCTTACCATCTCCTATGCCATAAACACATTATTTGTGATGCTTCTCCCTTCTATGAAAGTATTTTGACTTTTACTTATGATATTTGGCAGGATATGTTTAAGCCTATTTGTCAAAATCCTGGTAATGCACTTGTAAATGATAGTACAACATGATATGGGCCTGAATCTATAATCCTGCTTGGATTTGCACACTTTTGGAACTAATGTGATAATGGTTAAGTTAAATACAGAAAGTATATGCCCAGTTTGAAAGAAGTGCAATATAGTATTTGTAACATCCTCACCAACAATGGACCAAGATTGCTTGAAAAAATGGGCTGTGTATCCATCAGGACCAAAAGCTTTTTCACTGTTCATAAAAACATAATAGTTTTGATTTCTTCTTTCAACACTGGACTTACGAATGCATCTTGATCCACAGAAGATATTGGAGCTTGAAGAAGTTCAATCACGAATTCTTGTGAACAAACTTTAACACCCTTATCAGGTGTACCAATCAAAATTTGGAAGAATGATACCACTTCTCTAGAGATTTGCAAAAAATTTTCTAGTTTGATGCTTTTTTTTTTTCATTTTGTGTATCCATAAATATTTTCATTTTTTTTTATCAAAAACAATATTTTTATGTTTAACATAAATGCAATGAGAACTTTGTTTTTTCAAAGACAATTAAGGATAATTCTTGTGTATCAATGAAAGCTTTTGTACTTGTACATTCTTTTAGTAATTGTTTGGATTTTGAATTAAAGCATGCTTGTGATCCATTTTTTATTAGATTTTAATCACTTTATGATATATTATTACTTTTTTGAACACTATTTATTTAGTTCTAATGAATTGAAAAATTACTAGCTCGTGTGTTTGGTGTTTTAAAAATGACACTCTAATAATTAAAAATTAAAATAATTTTTTTATGAAGATGTATTAAGTTTAAAAAATAAAATAATGATTTTGTGATATTAAAATTAGATTTTAAAAATGTTGAATTTTATTTTATCAAATTAAATTTGGAGTAAATAAGTTCTCCAATTAAAGGAAAGGAAGATGTGTTATATTTTACAAATAAACTAAGCATTGGAAATTAAGTGCTTAACATCAACAATATGTCATAAATGGTTCAAATTGAAAACTATTTGTTGAAGTTGAGATAGGCATTGCTTGGCTTGAATATGAAAAAGGAGATTTTTTTAAAATTTAGTAATTAGGTATTATGATCATTTTTCTATTTTGTAGCTTAGATTAAATTACTTTTTTTCTTTTTTTTTTTAATTTCTACTTTCTATCCTCCCAAAAAGAAAATGTATGGTATTATATATTTTTTTTTCAAATCCAATTACACCAAAAAAAAAAAAAACCAACTTGATTTTTTCTTATCTTTTAGTAGTAGCGCCAACTTGATCAATGAAATGAACATGTCAAGTACTATATAGACCATCACATATATTTTCTTTACCAATTTTCACCCCTATCATTCACGCTCAACAATGAGGGATTCTTTTTGAGTAATCGAGCATGAAGATAAACATTCGTATTAGTAAAAAACAGAAAACAAAAATTCGAAGAAATTTGGGCATCCATCCATGGGCTAATGCTAATGGAGGCACGTTTCTGAATTACAAGTCTGCAAATCCAGGCCCATTACAAAATTCAAAACGACGTCGATTGTTAGTTGCTGTAAAACCCTGCTTTTGCTTGTAAGAAATTTCTGAGAGAATACAGAAACCTCCATTTTTTTTTCTCGATCTTTGCGTTTCTCTTCGATTTTAATGGAAACGCAAAGCTTGTTTTCTGGGTTTTGCTCAAGCTCAGTAATCCCATCATCAAAAGACCCCCGGAATCTGTTAACTTCATCGCCACCTCCTCATTCTTATCCTTCTTGTTTCATTCAATGGAACAATCGGGTCTCTTTTAGACCCCAATGTTTCCCAGCTTCTCAAAGGCTAAGGTCTATAGGCCGGTTAGAGTGTAAAAACAGTTTAGAAAAAGAAAGCAAAGTTGTTTCCGGGAAGGAAGATTCTAAACCATGGGTCAAACGGAAAAGGCTAGCGGTTTTTGTCTCAGGTGGAGGCTCGAATTTCAGGGCAATTCACCAAGCTTGCGTTGAGGGCTCTGTCAATGGAGATGTTGTTGTTTTGGTCACTAATAAACGTGGTAATTTCAACATTTGTTCCAGTGAATGAAAATTCTAGTGAAAGTTACAACTTTGTATTTCTCTCTCTTCTAATTCGCCAGAATCTAAGTATTTTAACGAAAACTTTGAAGTAGAACATAGTTTAATTAATGTTAATCCAATTTACAATCTATGAGTTACTACCCTTGATAGAATCATGCTCATATAAGAGGCTCTGAATCTAATTCATTTATCCTTTGTTGGTGAATTGCAATTTTAAATGTTGAGTCTTGAGATGGTAAAACCGTTCTTGCAGCTTTGGGAATTATAGATATTCTTTTTCGTGATGGCAGCTTGTGGAGGTGCACAATATGCCGGAGATAAAGGCATCCCAGTTATTTTGTTCCCAAAAACAAAAGATGTAGCTGATGGTCTGTCTTCAGATGAACTTGTAAATGTTCTTAGGTTGTCTTCTTCTTTCAAAACTAGTTATTTTGTTAATTTTCAATTTGGAATTTGTAAGTGGCGTATCATTGTTTATAGCGTTACACTTAGTGCCTCTATTATATTGAAATGTTCATTAATAACATAATCCGAAGCAAACGCCAGATGTGTCTGAAGACTTGTGAGAAAGTTTGTTTGCACTTTCTTATTGCTTATGGAAATGGTAATTACTTGTTCATATATGATGTTTTATCTTACTCAGGAGATTCGAGGTTGACTTTATTCTTCTGGCTGGATATCTGAAACTTATACCAGTGGAGTTGATTCAAGCTTATTCGAAATCAATTTTTAACATCCATCCATCTCTTCTTCCAGCTTTTGGAGGCAAAGGCTATTATGGTATGAAAGTGCATAAAGCAGTTATTGCTTCTGGAGCAAGGTATTCTATTTCTCTCTTTAGTCTGCTCTATATTCCTATTGTATTGTGTTCAAGTAATCAAGCTTGCTTGTTCTTTGTGATTGGTTAGATACTCTGGTCCAACGATACATTTTGTTGATGAGCATTATGATACGGGTGGGATACTTGCACAAAGAGTTGTCCCTGTGCTTGCAAATGACACTGCAGAGGAGCTAGCTGCTAGAGTTCTTCGAGAGGTGAGTTGATTTTTTGTCAGTTTTTTTAGAAATTAAAAGATTAATCACTAGCCAAAACCTTTTCCTGCCATAAACTTCACTTTGAAATCATCATGGCAAATAGCTAGCAGGACAGTGATAAAATCAAATTATGGCTATTATCTATCAAGCTTACACCCTTCTGGATGATTAGAATGTTAAATTCAATTCCTGCATTTTGAATCAAAAGTCCATTCGGGATTTGATAACTTTCTGATGACTGTTTTGTGCTTATAGGAGCATAAATTATACGTAGAGGTGACAGCTGCTTTATGTGAAGACCGGATAGTTTGGAGAGAAGATGGCGTCCCTCTCATTCGAAGTAAAGAAAACCCTGAAGAATATTACTAACAGAATTAATATCAGCACTTGCATACAGTGGTTTGAGACTTTCCAAAGGATCACCTTTTTCTAAAGAATGCTCCATTTGGGCTAAAACCAAACCCTTCCATTAGTTTTCCTAAAAAAAAATCCTTCTAATACATTAACGAAGAGCCTTGCTTGATTCTGCTTGTTCTATAATAATCTAAATGTGATAACTGTTAAGGGTGTGGCTTGTATCAGGAGCTTGCATTCTTCAATACAGTTTGAAGTTGTCTCTTTGCTCAGAAGAAGTTGTAGTTTTGCAAGTTTAATATGTAGAATTCACATTTTTTCTCTAATAAGTTACTTGCCCTCTCAGCATTTGAATTGTTGTAAAATGTAATGATTTGCCCTCTCATCATCAAACCATGGAATGTTACATTTGCTCCTTTCAGGTGAAACAAGTGTATAGAAAAATTAGGGAGCTTTTACTTTTTCTACCTTATTTTGGTAAAATTAGTTGCCAGAGAAGGCCTAGCAGGAGCAGCACTCAACTTCTCACATTGCCAGAGAAGTTAACTGGCAGGTTTTCGTGATAAATCTCCGTCGACTAATCTTTTTACCCAACTGTCACATTTACTTTTATTAATTCGTTATGTAGTCTTCTTGTGTTTTGATAGAGAAAAGTTGAGAAGGGGAGAGAAGAGAAAAAGGGCATCGGATTTGGGTTTTTCGAGAGACCCCTCTCTAACAGAGAAGAGGCCAATCTGCTTTGCTTCCCTGCAGTTTCCATCTATAGCAGCCTGTTTTCCATTTTCGTTTTTCTTTTTCAAGTCAATATTTCAGAGAAAAGTTTTAGTGTTACTAGTTCTTGGGGAATAAATGACCGCAGTCTAATATGTTCTATTATACGGGCCAACTAGGTGTTTGGGGAAGCTTTAGTCTCCCAAAAGGTGTGTTTTCTTTTTGACACATTTGACCATAATATTCTGAAGCCCAGCTTTAGTATTTTGCTATTGGGCCTGAGAGTTGCAAGTTTGCAAACAATGCCGACTATTTTTCATATAAATGGCCATGCAAACAGGAATACCACTTTATTTGACAAAAAAAAAAAGAAAGAAATCAGACATCACAAATCTTGTCAGGGAGCTTCCAAGAAATAATTGAGCCTTTAATCACTTGTATAGAAGACAAATCCTTCGTAAGAAACAAATGAGAGCATAAAAACATGCTTTAAGCCTTAAATTCATATGAAAATATTTCCAAAGTGCAGAAACCAGGGTGTCGACATTTTAGTCTATTATGATAGAGAATGTGGAAATCTTTGTCAAAGTCAAGCATAACTGCTAGTTAGCAACTTAACAAACAACGCAGTACGCCCATCGAAGCGGACAAAATTGCAACACTTCACCTCAGGACTCAGAATCCGCCCTTTTTTAAGTACATCTCAATAAGATTCTAACAAACCCCCCCCCCCCCAAAAAAAAAAAAAAAAAAAAAAACAGAAGGTCATTGAACTAGAACGAAAAGCATAAACAATCGATTCCACTCTCCAGCTACAGCTAGAGGTAGCCTTCAAAAACTTGAACCATCTTCTTCTCTTTATGTACAATGCAATCCCGCGCAATGACCACAACTGTTCCTAGCTAGTGCTGTTGAAGGCAGCAGCTAAATACCCAACTTTCAACCCAGCTTTGCTGGCATAATTATCTCTGCAGTGGAAAGATATAGTCGGGATGGCCTCAAACCCGACCGGTCTCCTTGCTGGAGCAGGTACAGAATTATTAGACTGTGATGCATTTGGAACAGGAAATTCATTGACGGTACGCCCGTAACGAGCAAACCACTTCAATTGCATGTACCCGCTTCGCCTCCAGGGTGGCACGTGCATGTCTCTGCTTTCCATGGATTCTCTCATTGCTTTGCACATTAGCTTTACAATCCGCTTGAGCTCTTTGGTTTTACCAACGAAAATTGGTGGAATATCCTCCAGTAATGAAGCGTAACAAGTTGTTGGTCGAGCTATTTCAAACTCTCCCCTTAGATTTACTTCAACAATGTAGCGAATTCCATTGATATTCACATCTACATATTCATAATTCCCAGCTATATGCTGACCTACTTTTTCCCACCGGGATTTGCACAGACCTGTATATGGAAATCGTAAAGAGAGCTTAAGGCTACGCAACACTGCATGTCAATATCAATACCAATATCTACTTCTAATTATTGTAAGAACAATTAAATAAGGAAATCATAGAATTATCATATGGTATACTTCACCATTAATGTCCATATATACCATTGCATATATGATTATATAGTTTCTACTAACTGCAAACTACCAGAAATTATGAACAAAAGTGCTAATTAGCCAAAGAACTGACCAGCATCAAAACCCTTGTCGCGCAAATGAGACACCAACTGACGCTTAAAGCCCTCGGACAACCTGTCGCCTATGATCAACTGACATGCAAGTTCTGTCTCTTTCCTAATCTTTTGCTTCACATCCTCTTCTTGGTTGCCATCATGGGCGTTGCTTAGCAAATTCTTCAACATCTGTTTCGTATCATATTCTGACCAAAAACCATCTGAGTCATCTTGCTTCTCCTCCTCCTCCTCTTGATGAATCTTTCCTTCATCAGTTTGAATCTCGCAATCTCTCTCCAAGAAAGAATTCACAAGATCTGAAAGATCAGTGGAATCCTCTGGAGAGTGCTCGCTGCCGCTGCTCTGGCAGAGCCGCATGGGAGCCTTCGCTGCTTCGTTGAAAGCCACTGCTATCCTATTCAACCTCCCTGGAATCCTCGACATCATAGACAAAATCAAAATTTTAAAATTAATTAAAAACTGTCTATCCCCTTCCCTGTTTTCCGTCTTACTTTTTTTTATGCCTTGCTAATCGCAATCGCTCTTTTGAGAGTGAGTGATTGAAGAAGAGACGGAATTTTGGCTCTGCTTAAGTTACTTATATCCAAAAAATGCAATCATGGTTTATGTCATCATCCTACTGTCATGAACAAAAAACATAAGCACATCCAATTAAAATATTCCCAAAAAATCAGGCTAGATTGTGAGAACAATAATAGAAAGTATATAACAGCCTCCTATTAATGCAGAAAGGAGATAGATACAGACTCTGCTATGCTATGGGGTGAATGTGGGGCGTAATTCTTCTATGAACATACACCCTTTACAAGGACAAATACAGTTTACTAAAACCTTAAGGTTCAAGTATAATATATAGCAACATTGAATTAATGAATCTGAAAAATTTTTTCTTGACCAAAACTGAGATATGCCACGTTGGTTTTTTAGTTATCTCATAAGTGAATCTGATGTAAAAATTTCGTAATTGGCTGGGTTTATTTGTTTAAACTTTTTTATTAAAAATTTTTAACTATGGCAGTAGCTCAATCAAAACTCGCAACATGTTTTTGAGTTGACTTGTTCAGTGCACTCGGCGGCCGTGGTAGGACGAGCGTCTGATTTAAGCGTCCATGCAAATTCCATGCGGTTTACACGTGCTAAATTGCAGCAGTGGCTTGCAGAATTATGGTGCTCTGTGTAATTCATGATTTTACTCTCCCAACTGGTTTCGACGTGGAAAATAGTGTTTTTGTTAACAGGATTAAATGGCCTAGTTCAATGAACATAAATATGTCTAGGTACATTGAATCTGATGTTTCCCTAATCATAACAATTTTTTCAAGGTAAAGAAAACAACATTCTACGGTAGATATTTTCTTTAATTAAGTTGTTAATCAGGTCAAGTTAGTTTCAAATCTTTTTGTATCGTAACATAAACTTGTCTCCCCTTTTCAATAGAATGGTGTATAAGACCGCCATTCCATCTTGATACATACTTTTATTAGTACAAAAGCTTCGCATATGATTTTCGATAGTTAACTTTTTTTGTTTTTATCAATATGAATTTTGATTATTAAAAGTAAAAACTTAACATTTAATCGTTAATTTCTCAAAACAAAGTCTAATTAGTTAGTCTTCTTCCGAGATTGATCCGAATAGCATACATGGGCTTAGACAACAAATTGAAGAAGATTTCCTTTTCTCTCCTCATAAGATGGCTCAAAAAATTGCGAGACCATTTAAGTTTGTTCCTTTCTTAAAAGAATATTATTTAAAATTTCCTGTGCATGGATAAACATTGTATTCAATTTATTCGTTGGACAAATCAGATTGGTCATTCGAACTTTGTTGACAAAGAGATATTGTGCAGTACATTGGAGCCAACTTAATCCTGCATCATTGGTTACCGAACCTTGGTTGACTGCCGATATTAAATTTGGAGCATAAGATTGGAAAGGTTTCAATCTATCTTGTGCAGTTCATTTATCTTATTGTTCTTGATTATGTAGTTCGTTCTGTGATTTCATGTCACTATGAGTCCGTTTAACAATGTGTTGTGGATGCTTTAAAGCTTTTGTACAAGTTTTCTGTAGTTAGTCCAGGTGGGGTTCTTATGATAATAACATAAATCAGGTTCAGATCAGAAGTCAGAACATGATCATTATAGCGGATGATTAAGCAGTTTGAGGGAAGCACATTTTGGCATTAGTTAATGGTTTGATTTTATGTTTAAGACTCCTTTGTTGCGTGCTTGTTTATGTTAATTTATTGCATAATCATCAGATCATTTCTGATGGCTATCCTGATCTAGTGATATTTAGCGGAAATGCAAAAGAGAACTGCCAAAGAGTGTATCATTTGAATTCCTCAGGTTCATTGATGTTTGGTTTTCTGACTGATAGGTGGATCCAATTTGAAGCTAAAGGGGCCAGCCCTCTTCTAGCTGAACTGATTCGGCATATCGGTCAGAAGTCCATTCCGGATACAAATTTCTAACTAAAGAAGCAATTTAGTAGCATTATCCGAAAGGAAGTAATGCAATTGGTCTACATGGATTCCAGCCAAAACTTACAAAAAGGCCAATGGAATTGGCTAGAGAAGTAGAGATAAGTTGCATCTTGCCAGTTTATTAAATCTAACCAGATGAAAGCACTCCAAATCGTCACAAGGAAAAACAGCTGTCTTTTTATGTACAAAATTTAACGCAATTTCATGGAATGACTACAATTGCAAACCAATGCTGCCATTTGCATTAAAGGCAGCAGTCAAATAACCAACTTTCAAACCAGCTTTACTCGCGAAATTGTCTCTGCAGTGATAAGAAACCGTTGGCAACGTCTCAAACCCAACTGATCTTTTGGTTGCAACTGCGTCATTCTTCAGTGATGCGTTTTTAGCTGAAATTTCATTGGTTGTACGCTTGTAATGAGCAGACCACTTGGCCTGCAGGTAACCGTTTCGCCTCCAAGGAGGCACCTTAATGCCCTTACTTTTCATTGATTCTCTTATTGCTCTGCACATCACTCTTACAATCTGCTTGAGTTCTTCTGGTTTTCCCACGAAAATTGGTGGGAAAACATCGATTAATGAAGTGTAACTGCTTGTTGGTCGAGCTATTTCAAATTCTCCAGCAAGATTTACTTCAATAATGTAACGAGTCCCGTTAACATTTACATCTACATATTCATAACTCCCAGCCGGATGCCGCCCAAATTTCTCCCACCGAGATTTGCACAGTCCTGTTTAAGTAAATATATATAATTACTTACTTCCTAATGTAAAAAAATACCATAAACAGAACTGAATAAACTTGAACTATTAATACTGCTATCGTCTACATTTAATTATAATTCCCAGTTGGTTCTCTACAATTCTGAATTTATTGACCCTTAAACTAGGAATTAATGGAATGAATGAAAATTAACATATGAGCAAAGGTGTTGGAATTTACCAGCATCAAAGCCCTTGTCTCGCAGACGAGACATCAACCGACGTTTAAATCCCTCAGAAGACATGTTCTCTGCACCCCAATAAGCAAGTTCTGTCTGTACGAGAATCTTTTGCTTCACATCATCATCTTCGTTCCCATCACAGATTTTATCACCCACCAAACTCTTTAACATATCTTTGGTCTCAGAATCTGACCAATAAACCTTTGATCCATCGTTCTCATTTTCCTTCTCTTGTTCGGTCTTATCCTCTTCAGTTTCAACCCCGCAATTGCTCTCAATGAAAGAATTCACAAGATCCGAAAGATCAGTCAAATCCTCCGGAGAGTGGTCGCTGCCACTGGTCTCACATTGCCGTACCGGTGGCGCCCTTGCCGCTTCATTGAAAGCTGCCGCTATCCTATTGAACCTCACTGGAATTCTCGCCATCAAGAACGAAATAGAAGTAACTTCCACCGCCCTTTCTCTGTCTTGCTTTTTCGTGTTTCTCTTTCGCTCTTTTTGTGGGAGAACGATTGAAGGCGATGTACAGGTAAGTTTGGTGTTTATATTGAAAGAGGAAATTTTCAGTTTGGCAATGGTGTCTTTATGTGCTCATTATTGTGTCAAATATAAGGCCAAAAAGAAAGGAGATTCCCAGAATATGTCGCCAGATTACACAAAGATGTTGAAATAAAGTGAATTAAACAGCGTTATTATATTCATAGAGATACATAATCCTGTCGCGGGATATTCGTTGGAATAGGATTGACTTGATTCCTTCAGTGTTTCCAATAAATTCATCCGTTTCCTGGACCGGTTTTACATAAATTATCTAGGATATCACGGTAAACAGAACACATTAATAATGAACCTGTTCATTTTCCTCGATCAAAAACTAGCTAAAGATGCCACGTAGTCTTACTTATCACTTCAATTCTATAAATTTATTATTGATTTAATTGTTTAACGAATTTATATTCCATAAATTATCAATTTATAAATATTAAATATTATCATTGAATAAAAAATAATAATTTATTAATAAATAAATATCAACACTTAAAATAATATATAAATTAAATTTTTTAAAATTTTATTTATTAATGAATTATTTAATTTATTGAGAATATATAAAATTTATATATTCATAATGTATCAAATATTAATATTGAGGCGTAAGAATCGACTGTTTCTGAAATTCCAATTCTTTTATCAAGAGAATTTGTGCTTGACTTGGCAGGATTTAGAAGGCCATGCTGTTGAGTTGAGTTCCCTCGAGGACAGTGCGTTACGTCGCCACCTCATTCTTAGTTTTCACTAATAGTACTATTTACGGTCATGTCTGATTACGACGTGGAAAATAGACACCGAGTTCGTTTTTTGGACGTTCCATAATCCAGAGTTTGCTCAAAACTGAAGGTTGATAACTGGATTTTGGAATGACCAGGTTCAATGAATCTGATTTCCTTTGATGAAACATTAATCTGCAATAAATGAAAAAAAAAATTATTTACTAAGTACGTACTTCAATTCGGTGCTTGAAATACATAGAACAATAGAAGTCCAATCTTGCTTTCTAACATTAGCTTGTAATTGGTCAAATTTGTAAACTTAAGCACTGAACCAAGTCAAATCTAATTGGAATTGAGTGAATTATCTTATACCCCCGTGTGAGTATACCATAATAGGTGTATGTATCCAGCTGCTATTCCATCTTGGTACATTGACAGAGAGGAAATGCTTACAACTTGCAGCAATGAATCTTTTCATCAACAATTAAGAAAACATAGCTAAAAAGGTTGATCCATATGCAAAAATTGAGGGGTTTTTAATGATTTCTTATTTTGTAGTTCCAAATCCAGTGATTAGAATAAAATTATAATACACCAATAAATATATAATCGCATAATAAATGCACATCAATAACAACGACGTGACATGATTATAATTACACTATTATTTATAAGATAGTATTATTTTCTTGATGCAATACGATGTTGTTTTATTATTATTATTTGAAGATATTGTATTGTTAAATTTATAAAACATATATACATAAGAAACTGCCCTAATAGAAAAAGTGGCATTGGTTGGGCCGAAAAACAAGTGATTGAGCCCATTAATTTGGGTTGACATAAGCCCATTTTATCCTACCTGATCTTCACGCCGAGTTTCAAAGTTTATAGGCTTGCGTCGACTGATTTAGGCCCATTATCAAATTTGACACCTTCGTGGGGACATTTCTTTTCCTTCCCCTCCCCCCCCCCCCCTCCCAAAAATGAAACTTCTATAAAAATAAATATAAAAAAAGGAAATTAGAATCCCCCTTTCTCTCTGTTTCTTTGCCTCGAATGCCCAAAAAGAACAGGCTCCCAGTTATCCCTGGTTTTGTTAAAAAAAAAAAAAAGTAAACTTTGAGTCTCTTTTATTTATTTATTTATTTATATAAAGAGGGAGAGCATGATAAATTTAATTCCAGCAGAGAATAATGAGATCTGTCTCCGCCAACAAGGTTCGATTTTTCCTTCTCTTTTTATTGTTCATTGTTTTATGATTTGATTAGATGTGGTTTGTTTGGTTAGTGATTGTTGTTCAATTTCGGAGCAAAGTGTTTTGTAATCTGGGATCTTGACATATACGTCCTCGTACTGGAATCTAAGTGATACGTCCTCGTACTGGAATCTAAGTGTTATGTTAATAGCATGATGTAACTGAATTTTGGATTAATTGCTTAAGAAATTCTTAAATGTCGGGATGTGAATGGTAGCTTGAAAAGTGCAAATCCTTGGGTATTGGTAAAATTGAGACCATGAGTAAGCTTCTTGATTATTGCCTCGTTAAGCTTTGCGCTGATATATATATATATATATGTATATATATATATTGCTTTATAGATTAAATTAAATATTGTATGTGACGAAATTGTTTACTCAGCTTTATGATGTTGCTTTTTTGCGTTTAATCTCATTAGCTGAGATTGAGGTGAAGCTCAATATTTTCCTTCTCTGCTGTCTCACTTTCTCCTTAAGTCTAGCTTAGACAGGAATGAAGGTTATTGCTTTAGCTTATTTGTTTTCCCTAATATTTGAAAGAAAGTAATTATGCTGATTGCTGTGCTTCCATCTCTCTCAGCAATGCGTCATCAAGAGATTTTGCGCTTATCTTCATCATGCTTAACTTTGGAACTTGTTTTCGCAGGACATGATTTGAAGGTTTTATAAGCTCTGCAACCTTCTGAGGCTGGAGATCAATTGAGCATATTCCCAGTTGTATGCATTTATAGCAGAGAATGGCAGATGGAATATCAAGCTTTTGGGGTCCTGTCACATCTACTATTGAGTGTTGTGAGAAGAATTATGCCTACTCCTCTTATATTGCAGAATTTCACAATACCATGTCAAATATCCCGACCATTCTTTTAGCACTCATTGGTCTTGTAAATGCCTTAAGACAAAGGTTTGAGAAAAGATTCAGCATTCTTCACGTATCTAATATGATACTTGCCATTGGAAGCATGCTATACCATGCCACCTTGCAGCGTGTGTAAGTGCCAATCTTGCCTATGCATTCTCTAGTTCAGAATTAATAGGTTGTTGGCTATTCAGTGCAATAGATTTTGCTTTCTGCTCTGATTGCAACAATTATGGTGTATCAATTGATAAACCTGTTGAGTAATAATCTTTTGTGTGATTAAAAAGTTCATATAGAGCTGGAAGGTGTAGAAAAACAGTTTTCTTCACATGCATGCTTTATTTTGACTTAGAGTGCTTCAATCTGTAGCTTTTGCCTTAAGCTATAGTGGTATCTTCTTCACAGATGGTAATTGTTTGATTGATTTGCATCTGAAGAGATTTGCTCTAATTTATTTCCAGGCAACAACAGAGTGATGAAACTCCTATGGTATGGGAGATGCTTCTCTATATTTACATCCTGTACTCACCAGATTGGCATTATCGCAGCACAATGCCCACTTTCCTTTTTCTCTATGGTGCTGTTTTTGCTGTTGTTCATTCTATGGTTCGTTTTGGCATTGGCTTCAAGGTGCATTATGTGATTCTCTGCCTTCTCTGTATCCCTCGAATGTATAAGTACTACATTCACACCCAAGATGCCTCTGCTAAGTGGCTTGCAAAGTTTTATGTGGCTACTCTTGCAATAGGCAGTTTATGCTGGTTCTGTGATCGGGTATTCTGCAAACAGTTATCAAGTTGGCCAATCAACCCTCAGGGTCATGCCCTATGGCATGTGTTCATGGGTTTCAATTGCTACTTTGCAAACACATTTTTAATGTTCTGTCGTGCTCAGCAATGCAAATGGAACCCGAAAGTTGTCTATTTTATGGGTATTCTCCCATATGTGAAGATTGAGAAACCAAAAACACAATGACAAATTGAGGGAACTCAGAAATATAGTTTTCTTTTCCTGTAATTGGAGGTAGGCAAGAGAAGTAATGAAAAGGCTAGTCTAAATTTTTTGTTCATCTGGATGGATCATAAGGACGATTAATTATTGAAGTTGTTGGTTGGAATCTCACTGAAGTTTACTTTGTAAAAGTGGAAGGTGTACCATATTTAAATGCTTTTGTTTGAAATGGCTTAATAGTTAGGGTTTTTGTTTTTTTTGGGAATGGCAAGGCTGTGATAAATTTGCCGCTGGACGCTAGGCAAATTATGAATTTTGGTTCTGTTTAATTCTATTTTCCTTTACTGAGTGTTAAAAATTTTGGTGGCTGATACATCTGTTCAAGCCTTTTGATTTGGTTACATATCAAGGTGAGGTTTCCTCCATAGCATGTTGTAGTTTGTCAATGCGTTTTATTGGACGAAGCTATGTATCTTGCATGCTTCTCTCATGGCACCTCTACGAGGGTTAATTTAGCAGCATTACATCCAGATGGAAGCAATGATAACTGGCGTTGGGCTGCTGAGATGTGAGAAATTTGAATCATATTTAAACCTTGCCAACCAACGAAATTAGCAAACAGATATGAACTGTTGATTCGATGAAATTAATTTTTGTTGGGAACGTGGGCTCTTTGACTCCGAGTACTCTTCAGCAGTGTGGTGTAACACAATCTTTCGAAAGGAAAACATACGATTTCTGGGCTGATAAGCTTTTGTCACTTTTATTGGGCTCCAATGACCCATGCTCAAGTACAGATTGAACTAGCACCCTAAAGCGGAGACCAGCCTGGCTTCAGGTTCAAATAGTTTAATCTTAGCTCATGCTTAGACCCAGAACCAAAAACCGAGAGTGGGTCAACCCAGTGCAACTTTTAAAGTTATGTTACCATTCAATCACCAACCTTATCGAGACGATTCTGCCTATTCAGTTCTTTGCAATGCTCAAACCGAAAAAACCCCCCCCCAAAAAAAAAAAAAAGGGGAACCAGAAACACCAAAATAAATACTCCGTTAATGTTTCATGTATATTAATTAGTAATTAATCGGTTGCTTAACATACACTATACAGAGTAAGCGCATAAAGAATAGTACCTCTGCTTGAGAATGGAAAAAGCAAGAGCACAACACCATATACAATGCATTTTCTTCTCCTCTTTTGCTGTTGCACCACCATGTGTAGAGAAAGGAAGAGACAATAGCTTGCTTGCTTGCACAGAATTAATTAAGCCAACATATTTAAGCATGTCCAAGTCTTTCCTGCAATATCTGCCCTAGCTTCATGAAAAGTGTTTGCTGCTCCTCAAAGTTAAGGTTCGTCAATATCTGCGTAGCAACAATAACTCAGTTAAAAGTATAATACTTATAGTATCATTTATGGTTATTGAACAAGTGAAAACGGAAGACCAGCTAAGCATAACACTAAAGATTTACCTGGTCCATGATCATTTCAACTGAGATGCCTTCACGCACAACAAATGACTGGTGATAGATATATGCAAATACTGCCATCACCATCTACATTAAATGACCCAATAAGTCAGAGCCCCACATAATAAACCCATTCTCATAAAATGTCGACCCATTCGGGACTTTTACCACGTAACAAACCTCATAAGGCTATAACTTAATAACTGAATTCGGGATCCATCCTTCCACTTCTTTTTTTTTTTTCCATTTGTAAGAGCTAAAATATCATTATCTTCAGCTTAGATATACAGACGTGACATGTAATTGAAAATGTTGAACTAAGATAAAAAGTCTCAATTTTCTCACCTGGCAATCCATTCTATCCGTAATTCCACCATGTCCAGGAATACTATCACCAAAATCCTGTGCCAATATTGAAAGTGGGAGTTAACAGAATATACCTGAGTCAGTATCCCTAAGAAAGCTATGTAAAATTCTGAAAAGAGAATAGGAAAGGAGCTAATACCTTGATTTTAAAAGCTCTCTTAAAGCCACTGGCAAAAAAGCCCCCAAAAGGTGCTATAATTGATGCAAACAGACCAAAGCATAAAGCATGCCACTGAACTGGCAAAATAGAGATCTCTTTCCAAGGAAACTGCAAAAAAGTCTAACAAGTGATGGAGATCATTGTAACTGAGACAATAGCATTTCCATTTTTTTAATGAGACAACTAACTTTTTAACCTATCCAATCCATCAGCAACCTGCTTCATCATGATAAAGTTCCCAGTCTTAGAATTTGATCACAGGACTTAAAGAAACCCAAGCACTTTGAGTTGAGGTGATAATCATTCAACTAATTGACATTGATGAAGACACTAAAGATGTTTAGAAGGCTTATTATCGATAACTAGCAGGAATGGGAATATGGCATCTCATCCACCGAGATAGCTAATTTTTTAGTAAGAAATACATCCAAATTGAACATAACTTTTCTGCTGGCTGTCTGCTGTAATTCAAACATCTGGTCTTTCCCTTTAACCAGGGAATTCGGAACCATCAGACTAGAAGTTCAAAGTGATAAATTTTTATGGGAAATTTAGAAGTGTAATCCATTCTTTTCAAGACAACCAAATCTTACCAACTGATGGAATAATTAGGACAATAAATTCAGTGAAAATTAAATTTAAGCTTACCCATTGAGTAATCCATCCTGGTAAAGTATGATGCTCAGGCTTAAACAATGGACCTGGGTCACATTGAAGCCAACCAGTTGATAAATCCTGCATGCATTACCCTCACACCCTAAGTTTTCTGTAAAAGGAAGTGGAATGCTTCTTGAAGCATCAAAGAATATGTTGAATCCAATAATTACCTTCCTTGGACAGGTTAGCCACTTGAAACGACCCAAGATATTTGCAAGCTGCATATTCAAAAACTCACTCCATGTTTATGAACACATACTAGCATGAAAACCTATACATAAAACAAAAGGCAAATAACACAACTTTCCTAGTTCCACTAAAGGTTCATGTATTTCCTTATTGGAGCACAATGAAAATATGCAACAAAATGAATGTTCATAATATACTTGATTCAGCACCATTAACCAAGGCATTTTCATTGGATCTTTGGATTACAGGTTTAGGATGAACTTTCACATGCATGCCAAAAACAACAAGACGTCTAATAGATCCTTCACAAATGATCTTTGGGAAGATTGCTCATCACTGCATAGCTTAAATGTAATCCATTAAACTGGTCTAGACATGTAAATATCAACTATGACTCCTAAAGCTTATACCATGAACAAAAGAAAAAGGAACAATTAGAGAAAATGACAGGCCCCATAACACAATCAGTAAGAAGGATCAGTCATATTGCCTGCACTAAAATTGTTAGATCAGCTGTGAAAAAAGTAAGAACCGACTGCTAACACAATAACCTTTTCATAAAAAACTTGATTAACCAGAATAATCATAAAGTCACCTGGATTACGTCATTCTATTTGCCATTCATAACTAGTGAATTTCCCATCTAGTGATGTAAAACTAGCACAAGATAAATAATACCCTTATTACAAACAAGATGGAGTCAACTCCAATATGGAAAAACTATGCTCACCACAAATGCAGAGATGATAGTTGTAACAGATGCTCCAATAAATCCTTCCCATGTTTTCTTTGGAGATAATTTGATTAACGGGGTTCTTCCGAAGAAGAAACCAAAGATATAAGCAAAAATGTCATTGATAATAATAAGCGATGCAGGAAGAAGAAACCTGGAAAAAAAATATTTCTTTGGGTTAAGCAAGAGGAAGAAGAAGAATAGGGAAGAGAGAGAGAGAGAGAGAGAGAGAGTGGTCAAAGCACCAACAACATTCAATTGATTGCATAAATAGTTAGGAGGTAACACATTACAGTTTTTTTTTACTTTTGCCACAAGATTAAGTTTATTAATGAGAAAAACTACCAAAATTAGACCCTTGTTTTCTTCTTTTTTAACTGTGTACACAGGTATGTGCACATCTAGTACAAGTGCGCCTGGGAAGGTAGGAAGGGTGTTTGAGAAAGAGAAGTTACCAAAAAATTCCTTCAAAGATATTGGCCACAGTAAAGGATGACTGTGTAAACACAACGATCAGAATCATATGTGTCCATGCATACTGGCCAAATTGATACTTGTACATCTTCTTCTTCAACGTAAGAATAAACCACATAAAACCTGATAAAAAAGAAAGAAAAAGGATATCAATGGTCATATGTAATTATATATAAAAGGGAAATTCAAGGTGAAATCACCATAAATAACAAGTAAGAAAACCATATAGCATATAAGAAAATAATATAGATATTTACAGAAATAGAAGGCATCTAGTCCCACTTTGGTCAAAATTGAAATTTAAAATATCAATTGGTGAATGCTTGATATAATTATCCCTCCAAGCTGTCAGTCAAAAACAAAAAATAATATGCTTAACAAACCTGCAATGTATGAGAAGTAACAGATAGCCATATGATACTTGATAAGGTTGCTGACAAACTGATACAAAAACTTATCCGAAGTTACGGTATTGACAAGTGGTTGACTTAGAAGGCGACCATATACAAATAACATTGCAGTGAAGAAGAAGTGCCTGAGCCCATAAAACAAAGATGAACATATTCTAATGAGTAAAAACAAGCAAGATTTAAGACTAATTTCTATGGCACAAAAATGTATAGGTTGCCACATGGAAGGTAAAAGTAGTATTCTCACCAATTTAATAGCCTAAATCCCGGAAGATGCCTATCTTCATGTGCTTTCCTGAGTAGATTGAACAGCTCTTTTGCCATAAATATTTGGATAACCACCACCATAGCTGTAATATAGAGATGACCCATGTAGACAATTAATGCAAAGCCCCCAATCATCCAAACGGTAGAGTGTGTTCGGATCCACATCGATTTGTATTTGTTACGGTCATCAACAAGAAAATTTCCACCATTAGCTTTGCTAGGTTCTGGAACAACCTGATAGCATGTTTGAATTTTATGAAGGAAAAAAATTTCCTTGTTTGCAAAGGAAAATATCCTTTAAAAATGCAACAACATCAGGAACCCCTGACCATATACATGAAAAAGGAACCAAAGAAAACGCATCAATATTTCAGTAACCAACCTCACTGGATCGTTTACGGTGCCGAATCCTAGTAGTACCAGCTGATGGGACAGCAGCATTATTATTTTCCTTTTGCATGTCAATTGTCGAAAGAAAAAACACATAAATTTGTGAGGCAGGAAAATTTGCTGCCTGAGCTACCAAATTACACACTCTAAAAGAGAAGAGAGCTGGGACTCACTGAAAGAAACATGAACAAATTCTATTAAGCAAGTTATATAGAAGATAACTTATCTTAATGCAATGATGGAATGTAGGCAACCTTAATAGTGACAAATTTTCAGCAGAAAAGCTATGATCAGCTAGTTGAAGAAATGCATGTAGAAAGAATGCATAGACACACAAAAATCTCTCAAATATGCGTGCAGCAAAAGATTCAGTCACAATAATCGCTTAAACCTTTTTTCTGAAACATGTGGAAGGTATAGCCTTACATTCACAATGTTGAACCATTAAAGCTAACAAAAAGACATACACAAAGCACCTGCTTATTAAAATATAACAACAAACAAACTAAGCCTTAAAAAGATATGAAAATTCCATCCAGGCCAAAATTGTGCATATAATATGTTTTTATGTGTTCTTTCGCTATCTAAATCTTCAGCCTTTTTATTACCTTATAGGACCTCATAAACAAGTCTTTCTCACTGGGTAGTTATTTGAACCAATAGAAAAGCCAGTATCCCACCTGTCACATTCTCATTGACAAGAGCTACCTCGTTACAACCCACTGCCCATCCCCCTGGAGAAAAAGACAAAAGAGAAAGAAAAAAAGACACTAAAAAGATCTTTTTTTTTCAATGGAAACTGATGAGATGAGAGCACCACAGAAAGTGCACAATCGCTATACTTGACAATACCACATCTTTATACCTTCTTTTAGCTAGGCAATATTCAAACCTTAAAGGCATAAACTATTCTGCATAAAAATTAAGCACAAACCATGAAGTGAACTTTTCTTGATACTGAATGAAAACTTTTAATAGGAACCACACAAGATTTCATGGATTCAACGATAACCTAATCTATATAGCAAACGTTTAAAAGAAAAAAAAATGACATAGAAATCGATACCTAAACCAACGAAGAAATTGACCAATTAGAGAACATATAATACTCCCATTAAGCTTTCATGGACCAAGGTTTAAAATTTCCAATTCCAGTTTCCACCAGCAACAGCAAGTTTTAAAAAGTAGAACTCTACTCAAACTCTTAAGCTAATTAATTAAAAAAAAATCCATAGAAACTGAATCAAATAGCGCAAACCCAGAAAAGTAAACCACCCAAACTTAAATTTAGCAGAAAGGAACTCAGTTTTCTGAACCTAAAAGATCGGACAGAAAAACCAGAGATGAAAGCAAGAGAGAGTTATAAACCTGGGTTTAGCCTTTAGTTGCAGCAAAATTTCGAAACCCTCCACGTGAGAGCAAGCGAAAAAGTGAGTGTGACAGAGATTATAAAAATAATAAAAGAGGTGAGGAGGCCAAGCAAACCAAAAGGAGTTTTTTTTTTTTTTTTTGTTATTGATTTTCTGGAATATGAAAAACAAATATAGCAGTATGATATAAAAATTGGAAAAAAAAATCGAAAGCTGTTCTGTCTTACTTTTTATTTTTGTATTTGAAGAGAAATGCTAGACAGACAGCTGTTTATGATTTCGGGTTGATTATCTGGTTTCCACGTGGACGAAATATTTGTGGTCACATGTAGAAACTTGGTTTGTATGTTCGCCCTTCCACTTTTCTTTAATAAAATCTAGTTTTTTTTTTTTTTTTTTCCTTTTTTTGGATTTTTTATGGTGAAAATAGAATAAAATTTTATTTGTAATTAATCACATCTAATAAACAAAATTTTATTTATAATTATATGATAAATTTCAAGTATTTAATCTTATTAAGTGAGAAAGAATTTCAAAGTTGTTTTTTTAATTTTTAGTGCTAAATTTTTTATATCCGATAATAACTTTAAATTTTGATTAATTTAAAATTAAATTAAGTTGAATTTCATAAAAAAAAAAGTAAACTCTTTCGATGTTTATTTTTTTTATTCATAAAATTTAAAATCAAAATTTTATTTAAAAAAAATTTGACATCCTTAATCACTCAGGATCAAACGTAATAAAAATCACTTCCAAACTATAATATTTTCTACAAAGTACCAATCTCCTCTCCAAATCCATGTTGAAGATGCTGCCTGGATTGATGTTTCATTTTCATCCCTTGCCCCATCAAATTGGACAACCATCCCCCTAGTATATGCCAGAATAACACTTGACTAGTGATTTTAATATTCAATAACCATTTATTTTTATTTTTCATCGAGGAAACAGTTGTCCACTACAATTCAATATTAAAACTTGATGGATAAAACGAAAGGCTCCAAATCTTATCTTACAAGGTAAAAGGACATTTTAGTTAAAAATCAAACCGACATCTCATGCAAAATGCTATTACCCCCGCTTTTAAATGTGCAAAACCTTTGAATAGGGATACTCGAATAAAGTGTCGAAAGAACAGAACAAGTTAGTTGCTAGATTTTCATTTCTAAATGCCTCAGAGCTGACCAAAATTTTATGTTTGAGAATCTTTATCAACAAGACGGAAAGGAAAAACGTTATGTTTCTTTTTTTCTTTTCCTTTTTGGTTATTTTACTCGTTCCCTTTAGAGAGTTGTCAGGAAAGATGGAATTAATTAGTCCTTTTAAGGCATAGTTGAAGTTCTGATAATTGCAGAAGCCAGTGAGAATTATAAAATGGAAGAGCACATGGGAGAAGCTAAATTCTTAATGACGTCAAACCTGCTAAGCTAATTGATCAGACGGCCAGTTGTTGGGTGCCGAAGCTTCATTTGTTTGATCAGGCTAGACTTGTAGCTGTTGGTTTTAGCTTTTAACCGGTTAATCATTCAATGATGTGTGTACTTTGCAAACCCTAGAGACCTCTAAAAAATTCAGATTGTAAGCCCATGCCAAACTATATACAATGTCTTAGGTTAGGTATGAGAGGTAGTGCTGCCTCCTAGTCCATAAAAGAGGATCTGATCAGCAACTTGAATGAATCACACTGATCAGTCACAAAGAAAGAATGAAGTGTTAGGCTCTTTAATTACACCCTGGTCATTAATGTTGATAGCTGTTCTTAGTTAATAAGGAGCTACAAAACGATGATCTCAACGACATCTAATTAGTGCTATGGTACTTTGGGACGCCTTTGTACTCTTGCAGTTGCAGGCAAATCAAATTTTCTTTGCTAGTCAAACTCCATTCTTGCAACCACCAAAGCAAAGTACACTTGCCAATTGGCAATCTGAAAGCCAATGATCCATAAATTTCCATCTTTATACATGTTACAGCGGCACTCCCTGGATGCTGCCATGCCCAAGAAAACAGATACAGTACCTCTCCAGTCGCTTTATAGGGCTCCAAATGCGTAATTGGAGAACTTTCTCGCATGAGTATCTTTCTCAAATGCAACAGGTTTTCGTTGTTCCAACTAATTGTACGTGAGACAAAAAATGGATATCAAAGACCACCGAATCCTCTGACTCTATAGATGTGGAGAGTGTGCTTGTCGTATTTTCTGATTCTTGCGGATTTGAACGGTCGGTCACCTTGCTTTTTATCACTTTCTGGTCAATTAATTCAGCTGGATTCCAACTTTGAGTTATTGGTCAATGCTCTGTGGGAGGAGAAGAAAAGAAAATGTCCTTTGTGAAGAGTAATTCACGATCACTACATTTATGAACTGTTGCTAGAGAATAGATTATTTGTATTAAGCTTGAAAACTAGTTGAAGCTACACAACGGATTCCATGAAAAAGCAATTAATTTTCAAGTTGAAAATTGCTTCTATATTAGAGATGATAAAAGATTAATAAAACAATGATGACACCTGAGCTCATCCCGTTGTTCTCATTAGCATCTCTCCCAGACTTCTCCGTCTTGACAGCCCTTTGCTCTTTGTAATCCCCTCATAAATACTTATCCAAGTTGTCCCAACTTTTGCTAATCATCGAAGCTATTTGTCATTGGTGATTGTATTTCCTAATTAAGGAGGTCCAATGGGGGCAAAAGGAAGCAAGCACTCCAATAAGCGAGAAGCCAAGGCATTGACTTCAAATGTTCGTAGTTCAAGTCGAGGATCATCCATCATTGAAACCATCAAGCCCAAGTGCCTGAAAAAGAGGAAGACGAAGAAGAAGGAGATGAAAAGATCGTTGCAATCACCTGAGAAGAGGATTACAAAAGCTAGGAAGTTGACTCTAGAGGACTGGCTATTAGCTTCTCCTGGTCCTGCTGGGTTGCGGCAAGATTGTCTTAATGGAGGTGAACTTTATGTTTTCAAACACTTCCCTAGCATGGAACATCCATCTTTTTCTAGAGAACGTGAAGCCGTTCCCCCCACACCACGGGACAGTTTGTCTGTGGATCTTCCTCCAGGTGATGCTTCACGTTCTTCATTTAACAGAAGCCAAAGTGGGAAGTTGAAAAAGAAGGTGAGCTTTAGGTTGCCTGAGGAGGCTGACATTGTGATATTTTACTCACCGTCAGAGACATTTGGGAGTGATCAAGAATCCTTTTATTGTCATGCTTCGTGTTGCATTTTGCTGGCTTGCTTTGACATTGATTGTTTACGGTGTTTCTTACTCTGAATAGTCAAATCTTTCTCATACGGACCTTTTCTTTTTGGCAATTTTACGAGATTCAAAATTACATATACATGAATTTTTTCCAGGTTACTTTAAACGTTAAGAACCATTGCCATTGGATCAAAATTTCATCTTCTCTGTCAAAGGTAAAATACCCTGCACCGGTCTAACAAGGTTTCTAAAGTTGTATAAAAATGACTTGACATTTGCCTATAATAAGATTTGGAAATTTGAAGAGTCATGTACATATATTAATCTTACATTCCTACTGTAGGTTTTGGTAATTATAAATAGTTACAAAAAGATCAACAACATCAATCCCTGGACAAAAAAAGCCTCAAATAATTGAGAAAACATTTCACTACCTTGATTCTGTATAACAAGTCTTTCATAAATTATTCTTGTTTGCTTCTTATTATTCTTGGTTTCAAGTTGGGAAAGAAAAAATGAAAAAGAAAAACATGGTGTGGAGTGTAGCGGGCGGTTGTCTATTGCTAGAGTTAACAAGGTGGTGTTGCAGTAGCACCTAGGCGGATCTTCCAACGATGCGGAAACCCCATATCCAAACAAAATAAGGAAATGGGGACCATGGGCTTAAACATAAAAAAGACATGTGCTTTATGAAAACCATATAGGGGACAAAAGAAGTTAGTTGGTTCAAAATGCTACTAGTACATAGGGCAGGCAAATCAAAATTAACTGGGGACAAAACCTGAATTGACGAGGCAGAGTGCAATTCATGTGGGTGGTCCGGTGGATCATTCTCGGCCGTGTGAGTATATATACTCAGGCAATGACAACTGGGAAAAAGTTTAGGTTGGAAATTGTTTACTTACAAATTCTTTTCTACCTTTTTCAGTTCATCTGGTTATGCTTTATGGAAAGCTGATATGCCAAGTGCTTTCAACAAGATTAAACACAACCTTGGAATATATGGATGGAACACTTGGATTTTCAATCAGAACAGTCTGATAAGTAACAAATTTGAGAAATTTTACCATGTTCTATACATTAATGCATCCGTGACCATAGCCCAATATGGTGTTTGGGAGAAGTTTGGTAAGTACTGTCAAAAATTAATAGGCTCACACATATTCATGTAAAGCTGTTAATGCACTGTTCGAGTAGGAGATTAAAAGAAGTACTAATATTTTTCTATTGCTCGCCACGTATCAACCATTAATTTATGAATTTCATTTCATATGATATATGATTCATTATACTTTCAAAATCAAATATCATATGGTAAATATTGGTCATAGATACTTTTGAATTATCCATTTAGAATATATATATATATGCAATGTAATAAAAAAATAGATTAGAGCATATGCCCTTCTTTACTTGAACGAAAGTTGAAAACATTAAAGAATGGAAAGTTCTTAATCCTTGTTAAGGCAAACAAATTTAGGTAAACATTAGAATGGTAGTTGATGGTAGTTAGGTTGTTGCCCAATGAACCGTGTTGTGCAACTTTCAACCAAACCAAAGGGTATTTTAGACGTAAGGTATGAAGCTAGAAAGGGTTTAACCCTGCACGGAGAGCTCCAAATTTAACAAGCATGACACTTGATGTAGACTTTTATTAGGGCGTTCACACCAACCATTCCTCCGTTACTTTCGTTTGGGAAGCTGCCCTTCCCAAGTCCCAACTGTGCTAAAAAAGCGCCCCTTTCTTGCTTAACTAACACTTCACCTCTTCACCTCTCTCTTACCTCTCTCTCCCTCGCTCGCTCGCTCGCTCGCTCTTTTTTTCAGTTTTTCTCTTTCAAAGAAGTATCTTTCCAAGGAACACAGTTTCTTGTTTTGCTTTCCCAGTTTTCTGTTCAATGACAATGGCTATTGTGAAGACGGCGATGGCTCTGCTTATCGTGGCAACGAGTCTTGGAGTGAAATGGGCTGAAGCACAAGTGCACCATGTGGTCGGAGGTGACCGTGGGTGGGATCCTTCCTCTGACGTGGCATCTTGGTCTTCCGGTAGGAGCTTCAGGGTTGGAGACAAAATCTGTAAGCTTCTACTTTACTCTTTCTAATTAGCTTAGACAAAATCTTGGTTTTTTTAGTAATGGAAAAATACAAAAAGTTAAGAAAGTCAATCAAAGCATCATAACTCTAGCTTTAGTGATTCGTACAAAGGTCAGGGACTCTGTTTGCTACACTCCTTATACAAAGACTGTAGGTTAGTAAAATATGGAGCAGAATAGAAATAGGTTCTCCTTCTTCACCATTTTTCATCGATCAAATGGAACAAAAACTAACCTATAGTTTCTTACTTTGGATATATGCTTTCGTGAAGAAAATATGACTGAATCAAGCTGTAAAGCTGCTGTGACCCATGAATGAAGAAACACAGCATTTGCTTTCCAAGGAAACTAAAGAAAAACCAAAGATTTCAGCTTTTTTTTTTTAAAACGTAATCGTTCCTTTTCTACCTTTCTTTATGGTAAATTTGAAGAAAACATCTCGGTTTATTCTTCAATAAAGATTCACGACGCGTTATTAAACATTTAAACTGTTGAATAGGGTTCGCCTACTCTGCTGCACAAGAAAGCATTGCTGAGCTGAAGGGCAAGGATGAATATGAGTCGTGCGATATCAGCAACCCCTTAAAGATGTACACGGACGGTTTAGATGGAATCCAATTGGACGGGGAAGGAATCCGATACTTCGTAAGCAGCAGACCTGAGAGCTGCAAGAACGGTCTAAAGCTACACGTGGATGTGTTGCCGTTAGGGAGCCCTGAGACCGAAAAGCCCAAAATCGCAGTGTCAGAGAACTCTGTTTCGACCAAGGCTGCGGCGCCCACATCCCCTTCTGGATCAGTCCAGCTTCACGTAAGCTCCATGTTGTTATTGGTTGGGCTAGGGATTTGCTATATGGCTATTTAGTAATGACCTAGGCGTTCTACAACCTTTTGACTTTTATGCTATGTATATATTCTGCTTTATATGAAAAATCTAATTTAATTTTCAAATAATTTGTCTCACCTATAACCTTTGGAAAATGGCAAGCCATGGAAAATTTATATTATCGTATCTTATAAAATATTATATTTATTCTATATTTTATATAAAAATTTTATATAAACATTAAAATATAAAATATAATTTTTTAATTTTATTAATTTATTTATATATTTATTTTAATTTTAAATTATATATTTATTTATATTATTTTTATGTCGAATTATCATATAATATTTTAAAATTTTAAATTATCATAAGATTTTTAAAATTTTTTAAGTCTTTAAAGCTGCAATTGCGGAAACTCAAATTTCCGGCCAAAATGTTAAAATAACTAATGGGTGGTAAGAATATTTTTTAAAATGATGGTAAACAATTTCAACAGTACGATATGGCAAGAAGGAAAAGGCGGCATGCCGAAACCTACAGCTGAAATTTAGAACTTCGTGCGACTCTTTAGCCATTCTTCTATTGGCATAATACGGTAAGTCCCAATAACAAAATGTGAAACCGTAAATTCTAGAAAATACACGTTGGCATAGAATATCCAGGTACCGGTCTTAAAATTCACAGGATAACAGAAAGTCTAATGTTTCTGGCCTTCTTGCTGAAACGGGAATCACCTCTTGCCAGATCGATTTCCAGGAAATGCAAGATGATTATCCAGCCCCACCATCTTCCCCTCACTCTTGAGAATAATGCACAGGAAAACGTGGAGATCTAACCATTACTTTTCTCTCAAGACGACGTAGTTATTAGGTCCATTTGTCTTTTGTATCTTAGAAATTCGCCTAAGAATATCTGCAAAACCCTTCTTATCCTGCAACAAAGAGATTTTATCAACTTAAAGAGAGTAATTCCTCGAAAAGAAAACAAAAGAGAGACAGTAACAAATGCATGAACAGACCTGAACATATCTTGAGTAAATCTTCTTGTTTTTAGACTAATCTCTTTATCTTAAAGGGCCTATCATGCCTTCTTGGTCTAGAACTACCCAGTGCAGTTACTAATATGCAAGCACAAGATCTATGATACTAAACTGTTTATTCTTCTGAGATAAAAACCAGATTCTCTATCCTAAGAAAGGATGTGGACCCACAAATCTGAAACTGAAAAGAATCTAACCTAATAACAATAAAAACCATATGCACATTTCAGATACCTATGAATGCTTAATATATAGACCTAAACAATGGAGTGATTATAGATTTCAGAAAGCCAATTAATAAATATTGAACCGATGAAACAAATAAATCAATTTCAAGTAACAAAACAGGCAAAAAGAATTGATTATGGAAGACAGTATACCTCGGGAGATTTTAGCCTAGCTTTGAATTTAGCAACAAGATCTTGTGTCGTTACAGGTGCCTTTTGCAATAAAACAGCTCTAATTTCTTCTTCAGTTACTGGTCCAGCAGTTGATGCAGATCCTGCTTTTGAAGATGATGATGCACCAGCAGCTGATGTTGATCCAGCTTTTGCAGATGATGGTGTGCCTTTGGAAGGCACGCTACCTTTGGAAGCAGGTGTACTTTCCTCTTTCACAGAAGATTTTGACTCCTGCCCCTCAAAAAGTACAAATTAAGTTAAAATTTAAAACAAATTTCTTCTTAAAAATATCTACAGGTGCAAAGAGGCAAGCTTATGAGCTTTGGTAACATACAGATTCTGATTTAACCTTCTTCAGAGGGGTACCATTAGAAGCTTTTGTATCATCACCATTTGCTTTTCTCTTTCCCTTTGCTGACTTAGATGTACTTGGGGTTCCACGAGCAGAAGCTGAAGGTGCTGGTTTAATTGGACTGTTTTCAGCAGGTTCTTCTTTAGGTGCATCCTTCTGTTTAGGAGCTAGTACTGGATTAAAGCTCAAATCATCATCCACCTGAAGAAGCAAAAAAAAAAAAAACCCTCTTGGGATAAGCATGATTGGAATAGACACCAACAAAAAACTCAACTAAAATCAGGCACCTGATCAGTTGGTTCTCTCTTACTAAAGAAGAGATGAAACATGCAATATAACTATACAGAAAAAGATAAACCAGAATGATGAAATAAAAAGAAAGCCAAATCAATCTTGTTAGCATTTGTAAGCTAACAAAGTATTACAATCAGCCATTAGGTTCAAAACTCACATCCTCATCGTCATCGTCATCATCTGCATCTGAATCGTCAAGCCCACCAGCTTTCCCTAATAGCTTCTTCAACTCTTTTCCAGACTTACTCAGTCCTCCTTCCTGCTCTTCATCCTCCTCATCTTCATCCTGAAAGAAAACAGAAAAAACATTATCTGCTATTGCTATAAAGGAGATTACATTATCTACTATTGCTATAAAGGGGATCAAGTTTCAGTCATGGTGATGCTTTATAAAATGAAAAGAAATAAAACCTCTAGCAATATAAGTAAGAAATTATTTTGTTGACAAAAGGCACAAAATGCAAGCAGTACTAGCATAACTTTACTCTGAATCAGGCACTAGTGACAATCCAGTTGATGCATATGTGCAGCAAACACATGGAAGCAAAAGCAGTCTATCACCAAAAACAAGTTTAACTCTCAAGCAACTTTATATCATAATATTTCTTGGAACTGGAAATTTACATTTATTGGCATTCTTCTAAATAGATTTTTTTGGTGCAGAATGAGGGAGCCTCTATTGGATTTCTATAAGATAGTCTCAACTACTTCTGTTTATTACTAGATTTTACTTATGAAAATCTCACTTTCCTCTTAACCCACTGTGATTAAAAAAGATCTATGCAGCGGCCTTTGAATAGAGAAATTAAAAGAAAAAAAAAAAAGGGAAGAATGACGCTGCATACAGTACAAAGTTGCTAAAGGTCCAAAATTAACCTCCTTATCTTGGAGTATTTATGAGGCTCAAAACTGATTCTTATGAGACAAACAAGATTCTAACAAGGCAATGCTGTCCTTAACCTGCATGTCTGATAAAACTGATAAAATATACCTCCTTGATTTCTGGAGGAGCAGGAACTTCAGGTGCCAAATCCCTCTCCTCGGGATCATTACCAACAGCTTCATCATCATCAGTGAATATTTCTTCATGCTCCCAATCATCACCTAAATAAAAACACACATAAATAAACTAGGAGTGAAAACACCAAATCTGCTAAAAAAGAGAAAAGCTAGGGACCTTTAATGTTAAATGTGTGTACATATGCATGCATGTGGCCATCATAGAACAGCATTAGCAAATACCTTTACAGGTAGTGCTGTTATTCGGTTCAAAATATTTTGGAAAAAATAAAAAATCATAAAGTACATTCAGCAAAGCCTTAAAACTAACAATTTTGCATTAACTACAAAAAAGACATTTTAACCATTTATTCAAAATTAGGGATAGTAAAGGTCCAATTCAAGGGCGAGCAACATTATAGAAGATGAAATTAGGTGTCACTGTCATCTACCACAATAGTGAATTTATACTACTTATATGTTAATTTCATTGATCTTCTGGGTCACATAGAGAATTAACAAAATAGTCAATAAATCAAAAGATAATGAATAAAAAATAGATACCAACCAAGACAAAAACATGTGAAGAGCTCACCTTTCTCAATATCATCATCATCCATATCAAGATCACCTCCCCTTGGACCTTCTTCATCATCATCACCACTTTTTTTGTTAAGCGCAAGCCTATTCTTTCTGGCTGCTTCATCTTCTTCATCTTCCTCTCCTTTATCAGAAACATGACCTTCATCATCATCACCAGTTGCTTTTTTACGCCCCCTCCCACTAGCCACGCTATTATCCTTGTCATCAAACTTCTCCACCTCGCCAAATGCAGCAGCTCCATTATTTGCAGCTTTCATCATCCATCTTTCATATCCATCTGCAGTCTTCCTCCTGTTCTTCATTTTTTCTTCCGCTTCTTCCAATGTAAGCTGTTTATATTGCGCAACCTTGTGGAAGTTGTACCTGTCAAACAGTTCCACAATTAAACATCCCATCTAACGAGATTCAAATATAGCAATATTGTCACTACAAATAACCTATTAAAATAGTGCAATGAGTGAAGGGAACATCATTACGTAGTCAAAACAAACAAATATATTTGTCACTCATACCAAGAGCCAGCCGGAATAGCTACAAATTCCTTTCCTTGCATCATAAGCAGGTAATAAGTTGCAGACTGTGAACCTTCAAGATGACCCTGATACTGAGCCTGGCCTGTTTCATCCTCCAACAACCAAGGTTTGTTCTTATACTTCTCCTACATAATATAGGTCAACAATAACGGCAGTTAGCATCATAAGGGCATTAATATATCCGTCCAAGGAAAAGAAACATTTCCTCCTTAGAATATAGAATTTACTTATTAAATTCATGTAATCATCAACCTTGGTTATGTAAGCAAAATGATGTTTTATTCTACTTTTTACTCCTACTTCTATAGCAAGCAAAAAAACATGATATGCCCACAGAGAAAATATTGGTCTGGCTTTAAAGTCGAGAAAGAACACCATAAAACTTTCTTTAAAGACATAGTTGTCAATGTTCTAAACCTTTTCCCTGGAATGTGGAGTATGTTGGAACTATATAATTTTAGCTATCTCGTCTTACAGTGAAAGGTAGAAATATGCAAGCAACAGCTGAAAAGGGCAAATCTAGTACCCGCAAGGCATCAGTAAGTTGGCGTCCTTGTAGTCCTTCTTTTTGCAGAGACCATTTATTTTCAGCACTTTTCTTCTTTGAAAAATTGGGCAACCCAGTCACAAACCTCCCAATAAAGTAGTTCTTGTCGGTGCTAGAACTTGCTCTAACATTGTATTCCTAAATTAACAAAAAAAAAGGGGGAAATTACAATGAAGTCAGCTGAAAAGGGACGATTAAACACTATTTCCATCAACATAAATTCAAATAATTACGTTCAACAACCCGAGAACTGTAAACCTATTATTGAAACATGAATATAATTATAAGAAGATGTAGAGTGAGAAAATGAACTCGAATCAAGCGGGTGACAATGGCGCCACATTCGCAGCATTTGCCTTGGGTCTCGGCCATGGTTTTGCCACAAGTGACACACAAAGTCATGTGCTTGCAGTTGCTTCCATACAGATCATTGGTCGATCCGCAGCCGCTACATGACGGCTTCAAAATCAGATCGAAAGACATCTTCCCCCAGAGAAACAAAGAGGCTAGGGTTTTAAACGAACGTTAAAAATAAAATTGAATAATCAAATTATAAGCGCGTTTTTGCTGCTTGTTGAAATTAAAGGTTCGTTAGGAAATCGTTTCGGAAGAAGGAGATTTATTAGACTAGTCTTTTATCTACGAAAGGGGCGGTACAAGAGAGACCCCCTTTTTCCGATCGATGAAGCCTTTGCCTTTTGGAAGATATATAAAGCGGAGGGTAGCGTTTTCCTAACGAGAAGCGCCAGGGACACGTGTCAGGTTTATGGTAAAAATAAATATTATCCTTATTATTATAAGTTAGAATGTTAGTATTCTTTTAAATTTCTTTTAAATTTCTAATATATATTTTAATATTTTAATTTCTATCAACTTAATTTAACTGAAATCTCCTAATCTCTATCAACTTAATTTACTTCGCAGTACATTCGGTACTTAAATTTTTTAGAATTAGTAACTTTTAAATATATATCTCATTTTGTTAAAGGATTAGTTTAAGTTTTTAAACAATTTTACAAAATATAATATTAGAATATTTATTAACTAGCTTATGATTTATGCGATATATAAATTAATTTATTTATTTAATTTAAAATTATAATTATAAAATGATATTAAATTTTAAATAAATATTGCATAAAATATAAAAATATTATTCAAAATATTAAATTTTTTATTTTTTATAATTTTTAAGTGAAAATAGATTATCAATCTTTTCATAAACTATTTTCAAATTTTGTGTAATTATCAAATTTAAACTTAATAAACACTTTCTTAGATTTAAGGATATAAATTGGATAATGCTTAAAAATACAATGAAATACAAATGAATTAAATTATCATTCATAATTAAAAATATATAATTTCATTTTCACTTTAATTATTTTATCGTTTGTATTTAAATACCCGTATTTAATGAAAAAATTTATTATATTACAAAATTAAAGAAAATAATATTTTATTATTATTTGAATAATTTGATTCAAAAAGTAAACAAGTTGTAGATACTGTAGATAATTGTTTTCAAAAGTCTTATAAAAAAAAAAAAAAAAAGCCTATCATCTCCATCTCAATGTTAAGTTATTAATATAAGATAATAAAGTTTAGTAGTAAAGTAGATATACTTATCATCTTATAAAGTTAATATTTTCAATAAATAAAAGCAAGCGGTATTATATTATTTTCATAGTTTACTTTTTTTATTTGTACCGTAATGGAGTACCCTAACTCAATATATTTCACTTCTGCATTTCATGAATACAACATTTAACAATACAAAACAAACAAAGAAACTTTATATAGGATTATTTTACTGTTACTTATAAAGATCAAAGGTGCCTTAAGTTTTAATAATAAAGCTAACATATCTCAATTTTTACTTCCTACAATAATCTAATTAAACAAAATGTAATATTTAAATATTATCATTATAATTTTTATTGATTTTTACCTAGTAAAGCTCTTATTCTATTTGATGAGATGCTTGATTTTGAAGTTTAATTCTCCTAACTTAATATAGAACCTATTATTTCAGAAAGTAAGTTCTAGAAAAAGGTCATTGTAACATAAAATTCCCACAAATTAATGGCAAAACAATAATTATTGATCAAGTAGAACGAAATTGCTAGAAAACTTTTGTCACATTGGTATTTTTTAGAGAGAATATCAATCGTCGACGAAAACCCTCAAACCTCTTAAATGGATGCTTTGTAATTAACATCCATTTCAACCATTAACAAGTTGCTAAGAATTAAAATAGTAGTTTCCCAAAATAAAAAAAGAATATATGCTATTAGAGGTGTAAATGATACATTAGTACTTGCAAGCTACTTTAATTTGATTCGATTAAAATTTAAATTCAATTCAATAATTATCGAGCCGAGTTTGAGTTCGAACTCAACTCGAACAACTCGACTTATTTAATGAGTCGAGTTCGAGTATATTAGTAGTTGATTCAAATAGCGCACGAATCTAATCGAGCTTTTTTATTATATATTTTTATTATTTTTATTTATAAAATTACTATCTTACTCTTAACCTAAAAAACTTTAAGAGGACACTTGGTTGGAGAAATCTTAAAAAAAAATTAATAGAAGTTATTCAATGTGTTTTTAGTCAAAAATGCTTTCAATAATCCACTTTAATTTTTATGAGGTGATTATTCAATATGTTTTTAGATAAAAATACTTTAAATAATCCCCAAAAAAAGGTCACTCAATTTGGGAATTATTTAAGTTGTTTTATGGGCAGAAACGCCTTTAACAATCATCTCATAATTTTTAATAGGATTATTGAAAGTGTTTTTGGTCAAAAACACCCTCAATAATTCCCTTCAAATTTGTATTGAGGATTATTCAAATCGATTTTTCTCAGAAAATACCTTGAATAATCAATTCATAAAATTGAATAAGGTTATTCAAGGTGTTTTTTACTAAAAAAGCTTTTAATAACCTCCTTTAATTTTTATTAAGAGATTATTTAAGGTGTTTTTTTTTGTCAAAACTACCTTGAATAATCCCTTCTAAAAAATTAGAAGGATTATTCAAAATGTTTTTTTGTCAAAAACGCCTTCAATATTCCCCTTTCATTTTTTTACTAAAAAATTATTAAAAATGTTGTTAGCCATAAAACACCTTGAATAATCTCATTTTCATTTTTGTAAGGGATTATTCAAAGCATTTTTTAAGAAAAAATATTTTGAAGAATCCTTAATACAAATATAGAAGGAATTATTTGAGGCATTTATAACAAAAAATGCCTTGAGTAATCACTTCATAAAAATTTTTGAGGGCATTATTAAATACGTTTTTGATCATAAACGCCTTCAATAACCTCATTAAAAATATAGTATGGAATCAAACTTATTTTTTACTGATAAATGAGCATATTTGAGCAAGCTCAATAATTCAATTTTGATCACGAAACGAATTTGAATTAGAAAAATAAAACTCAATTAAGTTCGAATTGAGTATCGAATTACGAGTTATAAGTCGAGCTCGAGCTTCTCATTATATTATCTCGATTCGGCTCGATTACACCTCTATATGCTACTACTAATGAATGAAATAGATGAAGATGATATTTTATTTGATACAAGTATGACTAATACCATTGGCATGTGTAATTGATGGACTAAATGAGTAATGAGAGAAATTCAACAAAAGAATATTTCGTCAAGGTAGAAGGTGGCGTCCATTAAATAGTGAAATAAATTATATTTGGTATTTTAAAATTTATTAGAAAATTTATAAAAATAAATTTATATTTAAAATTTTTAAATTTAAAACAAATATATTTAGATTGTTAAAAGTATATTTAAATTATATATATTTAAAAAGAGAGCATATATCTAGATTGTTAGAGATAAATATAAATTATATATATATTTTTAAAGTTAAAAAGAGATGTATAGATGGTTTAATAATTCATTTAAAAAAAAAAACAAAATTATTGATTCTATTCAAAATGTTTTTGAAAAAAGTGAGTTTGGGATAACTTTTATGTGATTTAAATTAAATAAAACTCTTGAAATATTAAAATAAATCTAATTTTTAAAAATAAAATAATTATTGAATGGGATTATTTGGTTAAAATTTTAAATTAAATTATTATCTTACATGTCAAAAATATAAGTTATCCACGTGGCATACCTTATCAAATATTCATGTATTTTATAATGTAATATATATATATATATATATATATTAGATTTTGTTTTGTTTTTTAAAAATTTTGAATCATAATAAATTAAGGATTTTGTCATTTTTTAAATTTAAGATTCTAAAATCTTATTAAAAAATCTAAATATAAGATTAGAGCTTTGAAAAATTTTGGATTCAAATATATTAATTAAACCTTAATTATACGAGTATTAGATGTAGATTCGTAAATAGTAAATATGTTGAAGGGATAATAACTAAATTATTAAAATTGACATTAAATAGGAATAGGGGACAAGCAGTTGTAGTGTTATGAAAGAAATCTTGCAATTTTTTAAAGGACAGAATTAGTCATGTATAATTATAAGCAGAATTATCAACAAGAGATAAAAGTTTTAGGTTCTAATTGATAGTTTTTAATCGGAGTTATTTTGAAAATATATTATTTTTAATCATTATTTTTAAATTATCGGATATAATATATCTTATTTTGATTTAAAGATTAAATAATTTATTTATTATATATATATATATTTTAAAAAATTATGACTAGAATTAGCGATATCTAAGCTTTCCTTGAAGTATGCAATTGCAATTAACATGAAATATGCAATTGATATTTGATTAAGTATTTTAACTAACAAAAATATACATAAGCACAAATAAAGAGTTCTTCAACACATAGATATCAACTCCATATCATATTTTGTACATAAATTTGAATGGATAAGATATTATTTTATTAAATGTGATATGATCCATAAGTAACAATTTTATCCAATTACCCTTAGCTTCTTGAATTAGCTCTTTTTGAATGCTTAGGTTATACAACCCAGTCAAAGGTAAAAGTACATTCCAATCTTTTCAATATTTAAAATTAGAATACTTACTAGTATAAAATAAAAGAATGCACTGGGTAAAAAAAATTTAAAATAAAATGAATTACTAATTTCTTTACAATGAAAACAAAAAAAGCTTGATAGATGGAGTCTCTCATCACTATTTTAGCTAGCACGTATAAACAATAATCAAATACTACAACATTTGTCAATCTTAGTTATAAATAATAGAGAAAAGTGGCTTAATCCGACGGTGAAGGAAAGGAGGAGGAAAGTGAGCCGTGCGATCGTAGGAAGCGGATGACGATTATTATGGAGGGTTGGTGCATCATGTGGTTTACGTGCCAAAAGATAACTGAGGACCCACTTATCTTTCCGTGCACCAGAGGACTATCTGATTACAACGCATCGTCGGCGTACATGAGAACACGAAAAAAATATTACTACCAGCGAATTTAAATTAAAAAAAAGAAAAAAGACCCACAATTTCAGAACAGCTACCTACCGCGCTCGACCATCGACAGAGAAATGGAAGCAGAATGGAGAGACAAGAAGCTTTATCCTTTACTGGGAATACTTTTACTTTCGATACTTCTCTATCTCAACTTTGGCAACAATCTCATTAGTTTTTCAATTCCATGGCAACCCCAAATGGATTTTGTGTCTGCCAACTCCACGCATTTCATCATCGTCAACGCTGGTGCTGCTGCTGCAGAGAACCCGTCAACGGTCTACATCAACGGCTGGAACTCCTACTGGCTAATGCAGGAGAGCATTTGGGGTGGTCCGTCGAGATCAAGGGTGTCGAAGATGCTCCAGAAAGGGGCCCAAATGGGATTGACTGTGTGCAGAACTTGGGCCTTCAACGATGGTCATGGACCTAATTCCTTGCAGATCTCTCCTGGTGTCTTCAACGAAAGAGTCTTTCGGGTTTGTCTTCAATTTTATTTTCTTATTATATACCTATCCTTATTTGTTATTCTGTTTTATTTTCTTATAGTTTGCATGATAATGTGACAGGGATTGGATTATGTGATTGTTGAGGCAAGGAAGCATGGAATTAGATTGATACTAAGCTTGGTGAACAATTTAAATAACTTTGGTGGTAAAGCCCAGTATGTGAGATGGGCACAAGAAGCCAGAATGAATGTTTCTTCTTCAACTGATTCATTTTTTTCACACCCAATTATTAAAGATTACTACAAGGCTTACATCAAGGTAAGCTTCCATGGCCCTCGGTTATATTTTTTAAAGCTCTTTACTATGAAGATAAATGTACGATAGTGAATTGGCGGGAAGTCTTATAGCCATAGGAGTATTATAAATTTATCAAACTTTCAAATTGCTTGCCATTATTATTGAGATTGAGTCAAGGTATGAATGTTGCATGAAGCAAGGCCGAGTCCTTGGCCTTTATATCCAATAGGTTTATTAGGACTAGGATATCAATGGTATGAATGTTGTAGGCAGGGTAAGCATTTAAAAAGAATTGACCTATAAGCATCATTCTATGAATGTCCTCTAATAAGATCAACTTGAACACTTGATTGGATTATTTAAGAAAGTTAATGACTTACTCACTACATGTATTCTTCTTGTTTCGCTGTAGCAATCAAGTTAACTGTGTGTTTGTGTTGTGCATTTTATAGGGAATTTTGTGTAGAAAGAACTCCTTGAGTGGTGTTAAGTATGCTGATGAACCGGCAATATTTGCTTGGGAGCTGATGAATGAGCCCCGGTGTGCATCCAATTCCTCTGCTCCCATTCTTCAGGTGAATTATAGAACTCGCTGTCTCATTATTTTGTTACTATGTGTTTGTAAACTTCTGGACTGAAGACCTGAAGAATGGTTAAGAGAGTACTTCCATTTTTTTATCTCAAAGCATCAGTAGATTGTTATAATTTTCTATCTATGAGTAAAGTGGTGTTGGGTATTTTGATATCCAATGTAGCTTCTTGAGGATTTTATGCACTTTCCTTTTATTGTTTCTTTAGTTTTTCATTTGTTAGGAAATTCCTTGTTCTAAATATTGATGAGCATGGGTTTGTTTCATACTTTCATTTTATTTTTTCTTGATCTATTAGAATTTTATTAATGCTATTAGCTTGGAGTGCAGGCATGGATCACCGAGATGGCTGCTTTTGTCAAAAGTCTGGATCAAAAACATTTAGTGACTGTCGGACTTGAGGGGTTTTATGGCCTGAATACAACTAAGGGACCAGAAGTAAATCCTGGGGAGTGGGCAGCCTCACTAGGATCAGACTTTATACAGAACTCAGCAATTGAGAACATTGACTTTGCTTCCGTTCATGCATACCCTGATAGCTGGTTGTTAAATTTTTCTCTTAGTATGATTTGATAATGTCTTATGAATATCATGTCAAGTTGTCTGAAAATGTTGTCTGATACAATTACCAAGGGTGATTGCTTTATCTCATTTGGTCTGCTTAGGTCAATATGAAAAACATTACCATGCATTTTTAGAGTGCCAGGTTGATGCTTGATACTGCAACAAATTTCAAACCAGGGTCTTTCTGTTCTCTAGAAGTCTATCACAGCATGGCTCTTGCATTTGGACTATTTCTACATTGCAGAGGCATGGTTGACAGGGTCGATGGTGATGGATTAAATTGGTCACCACCTAAGTGCATATTTCATTGGGCATTTTTTATCTTCTATTCCTGAAATGTCAATGCTTATCTCTTTATAACATATGTTGTATATGTGTTGTAGGATACCACATGCTGATTTGGGAACAAAAGCTCGTTATCTTACTCAGTGGGTGGATTCTCACATAAGTGATGGGGATCATGTGCTAAGAAAACCGGTTCTCTTCACAGAAGTTGGCTCTTTGGTGCATGTGAACAAGCAAGGATTTGCTGATGAGGATATTCTGTTAAAGACCATGTATGATAAAATTTATGAGTCAGCGAAGAAGAGGCAATCTGGGGCAGGGGCATTAATTTGGCAGTTACTAGTTGAAGGAGTGGAGGAATATGGTGACAGATTTTCCTTGGTAGCCTGGGATAATCCCTCCATCTACAAGCTGATATTAAAGCAATCATGTAGGCTTCAAAGCGTTTTTGCAAAGAGCAGTTGGAACAGGAAACTTAACAAGGATCCTTGCTTTGGTCAACTACCTTGACAAGAGTTCATTGAAGGACGTATATAACCTGACCTCTTTTGTGGAGAAAGGAGTGTTAATAGTTGTATTGGGATCATTTTGGTATATTATTCAATTTGTAAAGAAAACAAGAGATAGATTTAAAATGGAGGAAATATGATAGCTCAAACTTGAGATTAAGGCATTTGTATCCATTCATTCAACAAATGTGTATGTAGAAAATCAATAGTTTGCTGGTTAGCAACCAGGTATTTATAAGCAGCTGGTTTCCTTTGAATATACTTGTAAAAAACGCATCTTCAATTCTTCATTCGCAAAAATACTTATAATAGGGTTTTTTTTTTTTTTTTTTTTTTCTATAGTGCATTAACTTAAATTGAGCCTAACATTTGTACATGAAATTTGAATATGTCATTATGTGTATATAATTTTTCAGAAATGATCAACGTTAAAAAATAATAAAAGAAAATATTAAATGAGCCTAACATTAAATCATGCATAGTTTCCATGCCAGCGAGCTCATCCATAGTTTCCACATAAATTAGATCTGCATCCCAAAACTACAATTATATATATTTCTCAGTATAAAAACCAACGTACTCAGCCCAATTATTATTTTATCTACTCACTAATCTTAACTCTTAATTTTTGTTAACTTGCAGTATCCTCCCCATTCTCTAGGAAGAGGATCTCTTTCTTTTCATTCTTAAAAACTGGCCATAAAATTAATCAAGAGAATAGATTAGCTACCTCAGTTTAGTTTTGGAAACAGGACGAGCGATCTATCTGCCTCAAAATATATAGGCGCCGTCCGATGCATTAGTTAAGCGTAATGGAATTCTTTATGCATATCCCTATTTTTAACCCGGTTGTTTCGGCCATCTGGACATGTAGGTTCGTCGTAGTCATATTCTTTTGGATGCTGGTGCTGCCGGTTTGGAGGGATGGACAAAATTCTTTTGACTTGTGGCCTAATTAATTTCTTTTTCTTCTTTTTATTTTTTTCTAGTTAGGCATGTAGTCAAATTACTAGTTATGTTGATCTCTGAAAATCCAAAATGAAACTGAAAACTGCGATTGGCACTTTTTATGTTCCTCCGAAACAGCAAAATGCTAGTGTTAATTGTTCTCTGAACCAGATAATCAGCTTCAGAATGGCAAATCAGTCACTTAGAAGCTTTTTTTTTTTTTTTTGTCTTCACCTATACCACATCAATCATTTGCAAAAACTTATATTGAAGAACCAACACCAAGTAATCATACAGCATCAGTTGATAAAATCTTCTATCCTAGTGTTTGCTGCTCGTATATCTGCATATGAGCTTCCAACAATGCAACCATCTGAGGAAGTGTTTCAGAAACATGCAAATCTTGCATCTCATTTCTTCAAAAAAATGAATCTCAGATGCATCATCCACTATTTGTAGCATTTCAGTCGCATAAATGAAAAACTACTTAGAAAATTACCATACTTCTTCCGACTTCCGCTGTACGAAGACCCTGTAGAACCGCTCATCAGGCTTACCATCATAAACAACATTAGCAATCAGATCATACTTGGAGCGCAACCTTTCATTCTCTCTGGTAGGTGCTGGTAGAGGAATGTAGTCCTTCAACTCTAGGTTTTTAACAGGAAAGTTCACTGCAAAAGAGAAACATTAAGTTAGTATAAAGTGAAACAAAAGCCAGACTAGGTCCCATGAGATACAGTGATTACATTTTATAGACTGATCAAGCAAATTCAAATATGTCCAAGAACATAAAACTCACCCAATGTTGTGTTCTTTTCTCTGAAGAAATTATTCTTAGTAAAGCAGTGCATGTGAAGTATCAAAGTACCGTGGCAATCTGGTGACACGATATCTCATCCTTGCTGGAGGATGAACAGTAGTCATTACAGTCTCACCATCAAACTTCTTCAGTATATTAAACAAAGGAACCTAAAGCAAAATCATAAATAAAATTAATCTTGATACACTAAAAGCATCAGAAATCATAAATTTCCTAGTTGGTTGGCCACTCCAAGTTTATTTCATAAGAGCATTTTCATTCATTCTGTCTGATCAACAGAGCCAACGTGAAATTTATAGACCATTATTGGTATCAAAGTCATTTGGCTTTTCAGCACAATCAACATTGACTTGCATAAGCTTCTTTGCCATTCATAACTCCCCTCTAGTGCATGTCATCTAAATTATCATCTAGAATTAATTGCATGCATAAATCTGATAAATGAGTTCATATGATGTCTGATACAGGTCGCAAGGGCCAATGATGTCTGATAATATGATGGATATGGGTTTAATTGTGTTGTTTTTGCATGTTAAGTAACCATTATAAAGTCACTCAAGGTGAATATTATGGAAGAAAGGGAGTGCGAGGAGCGTATAAGAGAACTTAAAAAGCAACAAAAGCAAAAGAAATACACTAAAAATTTCAAATATTATAAACATATTTGTTCACAATTCGAATCATGCAAGGAACCACCATCATTGAAGCTAGCAAGCAATGTACTTTAAATACTTTTGCACGCATGTCCAGAACTTAAAGGAAAAAAAACGCACATAGCATGTAAAATACCTGAGGTATTATATTTTTCTCCATCACATCTTTGAAAAGAGGTGGTTCTGGCAAATCCAATCCAAGCATCAGAAAGGGCATTCTATAATTCAGCAGCAACATTATTATTCTCAATTACACCGTCCGTAATCTTTGGAGCTCCATTCTGTTCCCCACCACTTTCTTTCTTCTCACTGTTAGCTTTGTTCTGTGTCTCTTTTACAACCTCCAGTTCCCCCTATTAATACCAAAGTGCAAAACAAGCACAATAAAATAACTTACACAAGATGCCAAAGCATGAAATAATAATTGCAAGGTTTTAGTTAGAACCTGAAAGCACTTATGGATGATGCTGCTACTTTTCTTTGAAGTTCTAAGATCTGCATGCAGTGTATTAAGAAGCCATGACATGAATTCAACTGGCTCAGACTGTGTACCCATTTGAAACCGTTTTTTACTGGCTTTCATAACTGCCTGTAGAAACTCATGAGGACTCACCTGTTGACATCAATAATTTGAAAAACCATGAATACAATGTGTTCCAGAACAACAATCAAGCAATAATATAAGCATGATCTGACCTGTCCTTTGAAGTTTCGAGCATGCCAAATCTTTCATGTGAGTTCTCCAAATCGATGAACAAGTGGAGACCTACAGTGCTGGTAATTTTCAGGGATAAGGAAAAAGTTTCTTAAGGGAGTAACTCTCATTAAAGATTGAATGGTGACATTGACAAAATCAGTCTTTTGAATATTATTCAGCCCTACCTGAAGATTTGCACAAACAATGAGATCATATTAACAGAAAAGAAGGAAAAAATTTAAACAATTATCGTAAATATGTGCCCTTGAATTTCAGAACAAAGATGGTTACCATTCCTGGAAGGTAATCTGAACCATCAAGTGCTCTAGACCACTGCTTAATCTTGTCAAGTTGTTCAACTTGTTCTCTGGGAAACCTGCAAATATGAACCCAAGAAAAAACTGTACATGCTTGAAAGTGAAGACCTCTCATTACCAAAGAAAAATTGAAAGGAATCATCTTCAAATATCAACCACTAAAGGGTAGTGTAGATCAGAAATCATTTTAACTTGTTGGCGAAAAGCCTCTAAAGAAAACATGTGTGCAAGCTAGATATCCAGAGAATGTTATGATGCAAATGCAAATATGCATGCATGTGCAGAGAAATGAAGAGAAAAAAAGGCGGGGCAAGTCAAAGCAATCAAGTGAGATATGAGCTAAACTTGGGTTTAAAACATGTCGTATATCATCCAATGACGGGTCATTAATTTCATACCCATCAGGGAGACAATACACCTTCTCTGTTCGAAGATTGATGTAGACATGATGTCCTGCTTCTAGACTATGAGTATAAGCATGGGACTTCTTCCCTCTTCCTTGATAATACTTCCCACAGACCAGGCATGCATACACATTCAAATTCGACAAAGAGACCGAACAAAACTTCTCAAAATCAAAATCCAGGACCTGTAAACAACTTAATAACCATTTGACAAATCTTAAAAGAAAAATAAAATCAAGTAATGTACAATTTACATGCTCATTCCAATTTCAACATTGAAGATTAAGTTAAATTCACCTGGCGGTTAACCGTATCAAGATAAGAGCAGTCTCTTCGTACTTCAACCTCGCGATTTGGCTTCTCTAGAATTGATCCTCCCCCATATGGGTCATTTTCGTTCTCATCATCATCTTCTTCACTTTCACCCATGTGACCGTCTTCTTCATCACCGCCGATGCGATTCAATGCCCTCCTTTCATCATCTTCATCGTCATTATAAGGCACGAGTGGCTCTTCAGAAGGTGAAGATCGAAAATTCGTAACTTTCTGCCGTTTCGAGTACCCTTCCCCGTCTACGCTATCACCATCTTCCCTATTGGCTTTCATCTTTTTCCCCTCCTTTACTCCCTCGATTTCCGCTACTAAAACACAATAACTTTCATCAACTAAATTAAATTCTCGTAAGATATTCCATTACATTTATTTAACTAAAAAAACTATTCCTTTATGGATGCTGAGAAAAAAAGAAGGAAAATTCGTAGCCTACTATCTAGGGTTCTTATCGAGTACCTGATAGAGATTTCTAATCAAAGTTAAAAGCTCAAGTAATTGATTCACTGCAAATTCTCCCCGGCCGTCGATGTTTTGAAGAGGCACTGACGAGAGATTAACGGTCTAACGGGTTTCTATTTCGGGTTACTAGCGCCAGCAAGATCCGGCTTTGAAAGCAACTTATTCTCCAACCCAACCCAACCCAATCAGATATGCTTCGGCCCGTTTCAAATTGGGTTTTAAATTATACAAATCTGTTCGGTGGAGATTGGGCTTGGGCACGGTCCAAATCTCAAAATCTTAGATTTTAAAGAGCAAGGGCACTGGCAATTTGTTAAAGGTACATGCGTGCTTAAAAGTTCGTAAGAGTTTGAAATTTTTTATTAAAAATTGTAAGTGCGTTTATCACCCAGCCATTTAGATTAAATTATATGATCAAATTTTGGTTGTAACTTGTAATATATAAGCCTTTGCTGGTGGTGACTTATAAGTTTGTAGAATCCATCTAACTTTTTTTTTTTTTTTCTATATATAAAAAAATGGAGAAGTGCTTCCATTCCTTGTCAATTTTTTTCAAGTTAATGAACTGACTCAAGCAGAAGATTCAAATTCAGCCCCTGCTTCACTGTCTCTTGCTTAATTGCATGGCTTTTATGAAACCATTGGAAAAGAAAAAGAAACAAAGTAATACTAGTTCGTTTGGTTGGGACAAAAAGATGGAAGAAAGTAGGGCTTAAGGGACATGCTTTGGCTAACTTTAACTTTCACGGTGAAGGAAAAAACAAACCATGCAATTATGAACGAACTCTTTAAAGTTTCAAGTTTTCGTTGTCCATTAAAAATGTGGTTACTACAATGCCAGGTGCAGATTAGCGGTTCCCAACTGATCAACCCTCGAAGTTCAACAGCTTAACTTTTTATTAATTGATTCCTACTGAAGAATGAATGTCTAACTGCAACTCGGATTCAGGGAAAAACAGAAAATGTTGATTGACTCTCTTCGTTGTGTAGTTGATCAGTCTCACATAGGAACAAAGAAAATGAATTACGGTCACATCTAAAGGAGACTTGGCAAACAATGGAGTCGAAGCAAAGCAATGACAGAGAAACTCGTAAGTAGTCTATGATTGCCATTCTTTGCGGATGTCAAAAGTGTAATTAATCTCCAAGTGGCACTTGTTGTCATCGTCAGCAAACTGCAAACAGAAAAAAAGTGCAATGGAAACGAACTCAGTAAGGCCTATATATGCTCACTCCCAAGATGGTACAAAAGTTTTCTACGATTCCATGTCCACAACTTCAGATGACCCACGAATTTGAATCTCAAAAGCCTGGCTCATTAATGCAATCTTTATCCGTAACTTAATTCTTACAAATATGGGGATCATTTATTTAGCATTGCTTAACGACTGAAGCGATTATTTAGGGCCATTTCCTAAGATGGTGACATAATCAAAACTGAATGATGGTGAAATTGAATTCAAAATAATGCATTTCCTCTATTTTTTTGGTCATCAAAGAAAACGACTGCATGACCTACACAATTATATGAGACACCAGCTAACAGAAGAATAAAAAAAGAATAGCGAATAAAGTGTTAAGCTTGTTCTGGTCAAAGCAACAGTAAACCAGATTCATAAAAATCAAAATGACAGGACATTCATGAACCGCTTAAAATGCTTTGGCATTTCTTTTTCCCCTAATAAATTATTTGGTGCAATACGGTGTAAAAGAGCTAATGAAACGTTGGAACAATTGTCAAATTTACCTTACTTCTAGCTGAATAATTTCCTCTAGCAAAAATACCAGATGGAGTTGTCTCTTCAGACATTTCATATGTGTATGGCTCTTCCTGGGGACTGAAGGTTCCAATCATCTCTTTCGTGCTATCCACTGTTACAAGATTTCATTGTGAAGAAAATTGAATCTAAAGGTTAGATAAAAAAGCATAATTCTTTCATATGAACAAGAGGAATTACCCTTGACACCAGTTTTCCAAACGGTATTAGTATACTTGAGGCCAGATACAATGTTGTTGCTCACTTGGAACGTGAATTGCAGGCTGTATTTGCTATCTTCTTTTAAGGTAAACCACAAACCTTTGGGCTTTCCGTCCTCTGGAATTGGAAGTACCATATCAGGTCTACCAGGTGATTTGACTGCAAGGCTCAGGATCTTAACCTCTGGTTCCAGATTTTCTACACCATCATAAACAATAGAAGAAAATGTTGGGATATAAAGAAAGGCAGTTCATTGGAAACTTTCTTCTTCCTTTAGTTTTTTAGGGGTTTGCAGGTGGTGGATTACCCCAACAAAATGCATATAAATTGCTAGCAGGATGAAACAAGAAATGAAGAAGCAACAGAGCAGGGAAATTACTGAGGAGATGAAAGACAAATGGAAAAAAAGAGGAGATGGCGTTGTAACCCTATGCTCTTCAACTTTAAGGTTAACCGTCAGCGGAATTGCAAACATATTTGTCAGATAAACATAATTCATCTTAAGATTAACTAGCAGCAATTTAGAATTCCAAGAACATTCGCTAATCATACATCTGAGAGTGAGAACCAACACAATGAGCAGAAAACTGCATAACAATATGCAGAAGTTCAATATTTAACGAAACAAATTGATCTTGTATCCATCTCTTAGCTTTCTAAGAGTGTACCTTTGAGGTCAGTGGTTCATATTCCACATATTTTAACCAGAATGCCAAAATAAAATTGCTAGCTAAAGCCATGTATTAAACTTCGACATCAGTTTTCATTCCATGAAAACTCGAGAGAGACAGAGGAATCTAGGCCAAAGTTCAAAAACTAACTCCCTCATAATCCAGATACGATTCTTACGCAAAAAAATTGCCCTATATAATTTCACCAACGGTCAAAGAGGGTCATAAAGTTTCAAAGAATAGAAATGAAAGACGAATGAGAAGTAGTAAGAGAACTCAAACCTCCAACTGACTCGAAATCCACAGTCCCAAGAAGTTGTTCCTTCCACCTCCTCAAGCTCTCATCATCCTGAATCCTCAAATTCCACCAGAAAAAATAAAGGAAAAAAAAAACTTAAAACTGAAACTGAAATATTAACAAAGAGACAAACTAACCAACCTTATCCTTTTCGAAATGTTCTTTAAGGCTGCACTGAGGGCCCAACTCAATCTTCCTCTCTTCGTCATCATCTTCATCCTCAGTTGGACAAAGAGAACTCTCGCTGGCTTTAATACTGATTCCAGGGTGATGTTCTTCAACGTTATCTTCGTTTGGAGGTATCTTTGATGTTTTTGTCTCAGAAGCTTCACTATCATTTCTGTCGTTGTCAAACCCCATCCTTTTAGAACTTGAATCCTCACCAACCGCCAAAGACATCAACACCCCATCAACAGTACAACAGAAAATGAGCTAATGCAAGATAAAGAGGTCAAACTCACTCACCGAAAATATAATTTAGTAACTAATAGAGTTGCCCAAAACGCAAAAGAACAGAAAAGAGAAACCAAAAAACGCACTAGGAAGAATCTCAGAAGAAAACAACAAAAGATGGAGGGAACCTCCAATTAAAAAAAAAAGTATTAAAAGAGGTATATTGGGTCGAAGAATCCCAGAAAGGTAAACAGTAACCAAATATCAAGAAAACCCACCAAAGGAATAGGATAATCCTTCAAACAAGAAAAGACACCAAGAAAGAGAGGATGGATAGCAAGAAAGAGAGATGGGTTGTTGAGGGAAGTTGAAACACCCGAGGAAAGGGTCATGTGGTGATCCGAAATTATGTATCATGGAACAAAAATAAGAGAAAGAGATGGCGAGATCGTGAAGGTCACTCCTGCACAAGCTTCCACGAAGACCAAGATTTGAGGAGGGGATAATTAGTAGTATTTCTTATTTAACAGGACACACTTGCACGCGAGAAACACAGAGAAAAAAGAGAGACAGACAGCCTAGCTAGCCTAGGATTGGGTGGATGATAGATGCCCTTTGACCTCTTCTCACGGAAACAATGATCGGAAAAATGGAAAAAAATAAAAGATGCTTAGAATTGTTTTACCTCGGATGTAAGTAGACTAGACACTCATCAGTTTCAGACTTTTCTGTAACCTGAATGAACTTTTTGATTGTCGTCCTGAATTACAATGTCGTACTTTCAAAGTGCAACACTTGGGATAAGTTGTCAAACGTGCTTCCATGCCTTGGGAATTTAGAATACCAATTCCAATTCACTGAAAATAGTACATAGGGACAACAGTTTTTACCAATTTGACTTCTCTCTAGAATTTGGAGGTTATTGGATTTAATAATTGATAAATGATGGAATTAATTGAAAGGATCCGCAAACTGATTATGCCTGATTGCGTGATTTAATTTAGTTTATTCTGATTCATGGACAAATAATCATCACCGGAATTAATTATGCTATATCTTCTTCCTTTTAAATATCACTCAACAACTGCATTGATGGAGGAATTCAAGTTTCATCCAGTGAATCCAACAAAATATTAATATATTGTTCAAAACTGCTTGCTTCAACACATACCTGTTTAAATTTCATTGGATTCTTCTACCAAGAGGGAGGTGGTTCGGCCATCATAATAGATGTTATAAAGAACACAACTAACTTGCTTCAATGTGATACGGTATTTGTACCCAAAGCAACCAGAGATTTTGAGCTGAGCAACTGACTGTCTGACTCCATGCTTCCGTCAGATGAAATTCTAGTGATGGAGACATTAATAAATGGTGGTATCCCAGTAGTCCGTGTCAACTTAAGAATGGCAAACTGGCCATGACAGCAATAGCCTCAATCATGAGGTACTAGTCCTAGGTCTCTTAACAACGAAACACGGGAGACCCAGCTTGAATGATGGCGAAATAACTATCATCACAGCCCTGCATCCCAATACAACTAGACTTATCTGTTGAGCTTCTTGCCAAAAATGGTCACCATTGGACCAACCAAATGTTCCAAACTATCTTAACCAACCTCCAACACCAGCATCATTATTCATTCCCAGTCTTCCACTACCTGCTTGCTGCTTCCTCTATTATTTTAATTTCTCAAATTCAATTTTCTTTTAGGCAATTGCACTTTCTAATGCTTTTTTAGCTTGTTCCTGCAACCATACACATGGCAAATTAACGTAAGTCTAATCAGGAAAATACATCATTAAACATGAAAGAATCATACTTGAAAGCTATCTGAACCATAAAATTCGTCATGCAAATACATTAACTTCTGAACAACAAATGGACTAAATGTACAAATTCATTTTGGTTGCGGGCCACGTTGAGAGATTGGCAGCCAGGTGATTCAGGCTGGGTCGAAAACGATGAGCGGAGAGGGTTTAGGCCAAGTCTTCGCATCTGCTGCTGATTAAAACACGCCCCATCCCCCTGCTCGTGTAAGGTCACGTCCACTATAAAGGTAATTTTAAGACAATTATAATAAGAAATTTTCATATCCTTAATTTTAGCGGTAATTTTAAGACCAAATTTGAATTGATTTGGGCGTGTGAAATCAGGCATAATATTCAAAAGGGAAACCAACAATAGCAAAGAAAGTTAAAGTCTCTTTCTTTTAATTCCAAGTTATGTGATGTCATGTTATTCGACATTTTTGTATACTTTACTTTTCCTCGCAAAAACTGTTCAAGTTCTATTACATATAAAAAAAATCAATTAATAAAAATAACAAAACTAATATTATAATTAATAAATCTCAGAATTTCAAGAATCTTTTTATGGTTAAAACCAAGACCTTCGTTGGCGAAAATATGAATTTTCCTAAGCAAGGCTTAGAAAGGAAAATATGGGCGTCGTTAATACATAACGGAGAAGTGAAGAATTCTCAGCCCTTGGATCAACCGATTTTCGTCATCAACATTCAACAGTTGTTGACCCACCCCCCACCGGTTCACGTCAGAAAACAAGAAATTAGAGAAACTCTCATCTATCTCATTGACCGATATGCCCCATAACCTGTTCTCCTGGGAAAAATGGGTCAGAAATACTATTCGGGTTAATATGGTAATTTTGTGGACAACTTAAGTTCTGTTCTGTCCCTGAGGACATCACTGTTTTATTTCAATTCTACTTTTTTTATTTTTATTCGTATAAATTAAGAATAAACAAAGGCCAATTTTGTCATTACACAGAATTTTAAAGCGAGGGAAAGAGAAAATGGAAAGGATCAACGTCATTGAAGTACATTTCTACCCCAACCACCTACCTCTAGAGCGGCTATGATCAGGGCACAGTCGTCTTTTTGCCTTAAATTTAAACAAAATTGAAGAAGGATTTTTTCGTCATTTAATGACTATAAGAGAGCGGAGTAGAGAGAGAACAGAGGAGAGAGAAAGACAGAGATAGGGAGAGAGAGAGAGAGAGAGAGAGAGAGAGAGAGATCAACGGTTCTTTTGTGTGTCCGTTTTTTCAGTTAAGTATTATATGAGGGAGGAAGCATGGCGTCGGACCAAGAAATTGCAAGAGGGGTGGAGACCGTGCTACGGCAGTCCGACCCCAACGCTATCACCACCTTAAACGGTGTCGTTCAGCAGCTGGAAGCCAAGCTAGGGCTCGACCTCTCCCATAAAGCTGGCTTCATTAAGGACCAGATCAACTTCCTCCTCCGCTCCCCCCAATCCCAGACTCAACTCCCTCCAAAGGACCTTTTTACCCTTCAACATCAACCACAATTCTCTTCTCATCAACACCAACAATTTCCTCCCCATTTTGCCCTCCAACATCACTCACCATTCCCTTCCCATGACCTTAACTTCCGCCAGCACCCTCCGCAGCCTCAGCCGCAACCGCATGCTCCACTTATGGCTCAACAACCCCCGCTGGTTCAGCCCCAATTGCAGCCTCAACAGCAACAGCTGCAGCCGCAGTCGAATGTTACGCAAACTGAAGTCTTCTCCCAAAATGCCGCCAGTGTTGCCACCACAGAAGTGCCTACAGAAAGGTTTCCCCTCGTATTTTCTCAATTTCCTGATTTAGCCCTTTTCTCTGTTTGGATTTTGGGGGAAGGTTGTGTAAGAAATGAGGTTGATTTTAAGGTTGTGTAAATATGAATTTGAGGGTTGAGCCTTTTATGTCCTTTTTTGCACGTTTTGTGCGACTGAAGTTGGGGTTTTCCTGCCTAAGTGTTTAGAGCTAGGAAGTTCGGGTTTTTAGTGTAATTTTTTTCCCTTTTAGGGATTTAGGATTGCTTTTCCGTGTTTTCACAAATTTACCATTTCTGGTTTGGTTGAAGCTGTAAATGGCTTGGATTAATAGCTAATTCGCGCTTAAATGAGTTCTCAAATAAAAAAAAAATCTTGACTAATAATTTATTTTGAAAATTCTTTCTTTTAAGAAGGTTATAACTGTGTTGCTGCTTTTGAACTGAGTTTTACTTTGGTTACGGAAAATTTTGTGATAAGGGCAGAGAACAGTTTCAGTGCTGTTTCCTAAAATAAATAATAATATCAAATTGCTCAGCTTGCAGATCCTTTTAGAATACCTAAAATTTTGCTCTTCAATGTGAGTAGAACCATGAACGTCATGGGAAAATTCCAAGTTTTTACCAATTCTCTTACCAGTTCACACTGCTGAGTGAGTGCACATTAGGAAACTAGCTTCAAAACGATTCAATCACTGCCTTTTTTCCTCTTAATTGTTAAAGAGAGAATCATTATTTTTTTCATTTAAATTTTTATGGATTTTAGATTAGCCGAGTGAATTTGAATATCCTGTCAGTTGTTGGCTATGTTCTTTGGGGTGATATGTTAGTGTGCAAGTATGAATTGTCATGTATGTGTTTTTATTGGATTTATTGTCAGCTTTACTAATATTCTGTGCATCATGATGTGAATTTGACTGTTGGTCCCTAATGTTTTATCATATTATCAGCTTCAGTGATGACCTAAGTGTCTGTTTATAATGTTATTGCAGTGCTCCAGTTGGTGCCAAAAGAAGAGGTGGACCAGGGGGTTTGAACAAAGTTTGTAGTGTTTCACCAGCACTTCAAGCCATTGTTGGTGAGCCAGCTTTGCCAAGGACTCAGGTTGGTTTCCCCAAATTAACCAAGATTGCAGTAATTTTTTTTTTAGTCAGAAGCGATCTAAAGTAAGTTTTCATGTGTAGATATTGCTATTCTAAAATATCTGCTCTGTTTGATTCAGATTGTCAAGCAACTGTGGGCATATATAAGGAAGAACAGCCTCCAAGATCCAAGTAACAAGAGAAAGATAATTTGTGATGATGCCTTACGATTGGTGTTTGAGACAGACTGCACTGACATGTTCAAGATGAACAAACTGCTAGCAAAACATATTACCCCACTTGAGCCTTCAAGTATGTGTTGATGAATTTTGTGCAATATATGTTTGTTCTGTGATGACTTGGATATAATGCTTTCTTCATTGGTTAAATAATCAAGCTAATCATTGCAGAGGAGTCAAGTCAAACTAAACGAGTGAAAGTAAATGTTGAGCGCACAACCGAAAGTGTTGAACCAAGTGCCAACCGTGTATTAATATCTGAAGCACTTGCCAAGTTTTTGGGTGCTGGAGGAAGGGAGATGCTAGGAACCGAGGCAGAAAGACGTGTCTGGGAGTACATAAAGGTCAATCATTTGGAGGTGGGTGGCTTGTGCACAAGTTTGTGCAACTCTTCCCATTAAACTTTTAGGTTTACTTTAGCTGGTTAAATACTTTGCCATGCTCTCTAGCATCTCTCTGAGAGAAAATTGCCCCCCCCCCCCTTCCTTCTCTCTTCCTTCAATTGGTTTTTTGTCTCTCAGGTTTTATACTGTTATTGTGATTGACTTGTTTTTTCTCATGTTTCAACCTCCCTTTATCCCACACATAATGGTTGTTTGGCTTAGATTTAGGAGTTTCTTCTGGTTCTCAGAATTATTTGTGGTTTTGTTTATATTAAAATGTTTTAATTTATTGTGGCTATAATGATAGACTATCTATAATTCAAATCTAGTGGAAGCAATGCATGGTATTAATCTTTTGGGAGTCTTCTTCTATTGTTTCAGGATCCAATAAATCCAATGGTTGTACAGTGTGATGCTAAGCTTTGTGAGCTTCTCGGATGTGAAAGCATATCTGTGATGGGGATACGTGACACACTGCTGCGTCATCATTTATTTAAGCACTCATAAGATCTGGTAGTGTTGACTGGTTAGTATAAATGCTTTATTTCTTCTTATACCTGCACACACGTGCATGAATGTATCTAAATTATAACATCTTTAGATCTTAGGATTTTTCCTTTGCTACCTTACTGCTTGTATCCTTATCATTGGCTTGTCTTTTGTTTTGACTTCTGGCTCCATTCTCCGGGTGTTTTCTTCCTCAACTAAATAACAATAGAACAATTTGTTGGTTTTTCCCTGTTATTGTTTTAGATATCATGATTAGATGAACACAGTCAGTTATGAGGTTTTTAGATAATTTGACATTTCCTCATTTGTGAGTTTCTGTTGATTTGTCCAATGTTCTAATTTATAAACAGCGTTTGTGAGTTTGATGGTTTTTGGAACTTGTTTTAGTAAGTTTATTATTTTTATGCAAGTCATGTTGGCATCTCTCTCTCATTTCTATTGATCTGTCCTTAATTGTTAATTTTTGGACGTTTTATCAGTCAATAGTTTTTTACACCTTTGCCTTTAATAGAATGGTTCTATCTTGTTTCCTGCAGGGACATGGGATGTCGGTAATCTGGTTATCTCTGATGGTAGAACAGATAGTGAAGACCTTTATCTTTTCTACTTGTTCATTTATGTTTTTTGCGCATTGACTTCTTTAGATGAGAAGCTTTTCACTAGTTGCTTGTTTACGGTCAGAACGAAAATGTAGCATGGGCCAATGGCAAGGATATTTTGTAGTTTTGCCATTAGCCTGGATCTAAGTGTACTTTTTTACTTTGATGTAGACCCGTCTTTCCAATGCTAACCTCAAACTAAACTGAAGGAAGTCTTAATGGAAATATAAGTTGTTTCAACTTCTCAGAAGGATCGGTTTATGCATCTAGTTACATGGTTTGGAGTGTTGGCTCAAACTTTTAGTAGCATTGCTTTCTTCAATCCTTTTTTTTTTTTTTTCTAATTATTCTTAGTATAAATTGCTATACATGTATTCTTGTAAAATTTGTAAGAGGACAGTTTGGATGAACAGAAAAATGTTGTGGGCCAAATTATATAATTTTCTAAACATTTGGGCTTAATCTTAAATATATTAAATTAATTGTAGGCCGGTAAATGAACAGTGAATTACTGAATAACCGACAAAAAAAAATTTTACCGTCCTTCAAGCGAAACGACACTGGTAAAGTGGAAAGTAGACGGAAGCCAACGTCTCGCTGTCATCGAAGGAGCAAAGATCAGAGTAGGATCCAGCGATGGCGGAAGATCTGGTGCTCGACAAGGCTATCAGAGATTGGGTGCTGATACCTCTATCAGTGGTGATGGTCCTCATCGGCATCCTCCGCTACTTTGTCTCCAAGCACATGCGCTCCTCTCAAGTTCCCGATCCTAAGATCGTCAAAGAAGGGCACTTCTCTCACAACTCTTCTTTTTTTTTTTTTTAATTTCGATAAATATAAATAGGTCTCAGATTCTCCGACATTCAAATTTTCTACTTTCAGGCAAGTAATTGTTAGGGCTCGGAAGTTGCGAGCTGCTGCTAATTTTATCCCTCCCAAGTCGTTTAGCTCTCGTAGGATTTATTTCAGCAATGAGGTTTGCCTTTTATTACCAAAATTTATAGTAGCACTTATTTATTTTCCATTTTTTGTGTCTTTTTTAAAGCTTTGTTGTTCTGTTAACCGATAATGCATTAACCATAAATAATCACGCGTTTGTAATCAGACTTCCATCAATTTATTATTATTATTTTTGGAATCAAACTTCAACTAATCTATGCGCTGCATAATGCACCTAGTATCAAGCCTAATGGAGTGTTAAAAATCAGGTTAAATTGATGAAAGTAATCCATTTACGTACATAATCATGTCAGAAACGCAGAAATTAAAGGTATTTTTATTGCATTTTTGTAGGAAAATGGATTACTGTTTGTTCCCAAGGGCCATCAAAATGTGCAGGCGCAAATGTTCTCTGACCCTAACATGGCTATGGACGTGATGAAGAAAAACCTCTCTATGATTATACCTCAGGTATTTTTATGGTGCATGGACCTCTAGTGTTCATATGCTTTTGTGTAATTGCTCATGTTAGAGAACTGACTGTTTTGTGTAAACTTGTTGTTTCCGTCAGACTCACTTTCGCATGGGTCAACTTTTTCTTCTCTGGATTTGTTGCAGGTCTGGTTCTTTACTACTGTTTTTGTTCCAACATATCTGAGTATTTTAATGCTACATTTGAGATTGAATTTGCAAATTTGTTTACAAAATTGATTTCATACTTCTGAATTCTGATTTTATGAATTTGCCAAATTGTATCTGTTTCATTTGTCATTCTTTGTGACATGGTGATGGACAAAATCTTTTGTTGTGTCAGAATCAAAGATCATGTTAGTGTTGTTAAGATTTTTATTTATTGATATTATTCCACTATTGGTAAAAGGTAATGTGATTGCCTCTTCTAGTTTGCTGTCCTTCTCTCTTTCAGCCAAAATACCCTTCCCACTAACTCAGAGGTTCAGATCAATGTTGCAGAATGGAATTGACCTTAGCACAGTTGATGTGAGCTATGTTTGTAGCCGCTCATGGTACTGATCTAATTTTGTATGCAAGATGCTTTTCATATATGATCTTTTAATTGGTGTTTCTCTCTGAGCTTTCCTATTTTTGAGAGACTTTCTTGGCTTAATACCACCAATTATTGACAAATTCTTTTATTTCCAGGTATTTGCTCAATTTGTTTGGTTTGAGGGGTTTATTTAGTCTGATTTTATGAGAGGAAAATGGTTAGTATTGGATCATGAACTTCCTATTATGTTTTATATTAGATTGAGATCTGCAAATTTTAATTGCATCTTTCAAAAAAAAAAAAAAACCTACCAAGCTTATCTGCTTTTCCTCTGGGTCTTGGATTTATCATCTATTTATATAGGCTTTCACCATGTGAAATTTGTGATTCTTTTTGGCAGCAATGGATGATACACAGCGTGTGATGCAGATGAGTGGATTGGCTTTGATCCGACAAAGGTATTAATTCAATCTGTTCTCTACCGAGTGGAACAGGCTCAAAATTCTTAAAATTTCAGATATCTTACATAATTTCATGAGGTCTTATATTCCGCATCAGCCTGTTCTTTGTCTCTTTAATGTAGATTATTTTCCTCAAGTACCATGTGTAGGAAGCAGATTAACTTCATTTATTTCATTTGAGACTTATGTTATTAACACTTTGGTCTTATGCTAAGTGAAGTCTTTTTGCAATTATTTAAGTAGATTTCTTAGGGTTCTATGAGTAGATAAGCTTAGGATGATGCCCTAAATGGTATTGAGTAGGCAATATAGAACTTATAGGCTGCAGCCATAGAACTTGAGTGGTTTTCTTTCGACAGGATCCTTGTGCTTAGAATTTGATTGGTCCTACTGGCAACAAGTGGTTGCCGCCTTTATATATATATGACAAAATCTTCTACTCATCCCCAAGTCATTTTGTTGATGTGACTCATTTCTTGAGCATGTAACTTGTATAACCTCCTTTGCTGCTAGATCATGGAGACGCAAAGATGTTTGCTGTTGTATCCATTTGCTATTTTTTTATATTGACAAGGAGTTGTTTATTTAGATCTCTTAGGAGAATTGCTTGTGGAAAACATGTATTATTGTCATCCTAAAATGTAGGAGACTCTGGCTGTTAAGCCCTTTAGGAAAGGAAAAATGATTGCTGTTGCCATGGGCTATCCAGTTGTTTGTTTATGATTTGAGGTTGGCGGCAATAGTAGCTTGTTAATTAGAAAATTGTTCAGATGGGGAAATGTGCATTCCATTCGGATGGACCCAACACTGCCACCATCAACGCTACTAGCTGCTGCTACAAATCTTTTGTTCTTTTAATTTCCCTGCAGCTTGTGCTGCGAGAGTCAAATAGATTTGCACTGATGTGTATGTGGGGCACTTCATCAAATCTAAGTTCTATTCCTCCATTTAGAATTTATGTTTGTCTTTCTCTTTTGGGGGCATTATTTATGAGTAACCGACTTTTTAGGCAAGGGCTTAGTTTTTCTCCATAACTTTAGAAACCTCCAATGCTTTTGGGGTTTGATATTTACCTGTTGAGAATCCTTCAGATAGGGATTTCAGCCGTTGCTTTTCCTCACCCTCACTTGGTTGTGTCTACCTTCCCTTTTTCTTTGCTATGGGATCAAATCAATCACCAAATGATGAGAATTGAATGCAACTTTTTGTTCAACGAAGATCAACCAAACTGTTATTTTGGTGATATTAGCTGTATCATGGAAGACATTGTCTTATTATTGGGTTGATATATGGTTTAAAATTGCAAAGCATCTTGAAAAGAAATTTCAAATTGAAAAAACTGTTTAGTTGTCAACTTTTACAAGTTCAAGCTCATTTGTGAGTATGCTATTTTTATTTCTTAACCTTGCTATTTTGATTTTCATTCTTGTCAGAGCCTGAGTACTGAGAAAGACGGTCTTGACATTATCCAGCATGAATGGGCACTCCCTAAATTTGAGCATCGGGCTGAAGCAGTGTTGAAAAAACTTATCAGGTGAACATCAGGAGCATATAAACAGTTGTCAGAAGAAGCGGTTCAATTGAAGTTTTCATCTGACATGCTTGCTGAACTCTAAAAGTTGAAATACCTGTAGAAACCATGTGTAGGCTTCAGTTTATATTTCAGTTCTACGAGAAAGAAGAAGAAAATTTCCGACTCACCTAATTTTTATGGCTTGCAATTTATGTACTCTCAGTTGTTTCTTAGCGGGATAAAACGGCCAAATGGAGAAAGCTCGTAGAGCAAGGAGGATCTTGGATTAGATCATTCTTTCCCTACAGTCTAAGCCTTATTATGTGCCTTGGCGCTTCTGATTTTTGAGTATTTTCTTGATTTTTAAAGAAATTTCTCCTCCGTCGTCGTCGTCATCATCATCATCCGAATTCTTTATGACTCGAAACATTATTGCATTCTACTTACTTTTTACGGGTGGCCAGAAACTTCGGATACTTTTTTATACCTTGTTGGCCCATGACCTGTCTAAAGGTTCACTTCATCGCCAGCGGAGTCCTTTATAGCGTACCAACTTGATTGCAATATTTGATAAAAAAAAAGTATATATTGAAAAAAGAAGAGAAAGAATTAGAAGGCATACAGCCTAGTTGTAGTTAAAAAAAAGTAGTAGGTATTAATTCTTTTTCCTTGACCAGCGTAGGCCGATCATTTCTAATTTCTTTGTCGCGCAAGCTGCAGATTTTGGTTTTGAAAAATAATTCTAATTTAGGATTGATTGTTTTTCCTTCACACGCTTGAATGCTAATTAAATTCTTTGAGCAGTAGAGAGGGAAATAATTTGACTGATACAGATTTCGGTTTTTTTTTTTTTTCAACTTTTAATAAAAGCAACCATTAAGTTTGAGCAATGGCATCGGTGATGTTGATGGCCACTCCTGTCCTCTGTGCTTTTTGAAGGCCACAGTGTGTTGCTATGTTTCCAGATTTAGAGGGACAACATTTTGAATCATAACAAGAATCGCAACGAATGTTAACAAGCCCCTGACCATTGGCCCCAGAAAACCATCGATTTCATCATCAAAGCCTGTCCCTCTAAGATGGCCCTTCTTCGCCTACCCGCGACACCAAACTTTTTCAGGATCAGCAATAAATAAATCATTATAATGTAACCAAACACTAGAGTCTAGACTGAGGTTGTCCCAGCATCGAACATTACATGTACCCTGTTCCAATCGGTAGAACAGCTCAAACTCTTTCGTGGGTCCGTTTGATTTTGGGGACCATACTCTCACCGTCGTCTAAACTTTTCCATCGCTTTACAGAAAAACCATTTTTTTGAAATCACAAAAAAAATCAAACTAAAACTAGGTGGATAAAAATAGTGAGAATCCTGTAAAATGACGATAATGATATGACACGAATCTCGATGCACCATTATCAGACATTGACGTCCAAAATTGAAGTTAATATAGGAGACCCACGGTGAATTATTATAGGGATAGTAGTCGTAGCAATCGTAGCAAGTACGTAAATTGAGTGACAAAATTTAGTCGAGATTGAAAGAAAGTAATTAGTCTTGGAATTCTGAGGGTGTTTTGGTAAAAAGGAAGTAGGGGTGGTGGCTTTATACGACGACATGATCAGATGGATGACAAAGATCATGCGTGGCAAATTCAGACGGCTAAGGAGTGGGGCCAGTGTCACGAGAATCCGGGCTGGAAAGCATCTGGAATGGAACCCACAAAGGTTCATTTTTAGGAAGAGCGGTTTCTCAAAGCAGGCCCCACGGCAGCAATTCTTTCATTCCAATGGAGAGTGGGCCATCCCCTAGTTGGATGTCATTTGCGCAGCACCGGTGACTGTGATTACGGGGAGATTAAAAGTAATAATAAAAAATATTATAATTATGATTGAAAAAAATTATTATATTTATAATTAAAAAATTTTTATTAAAAATTTATGATGATTTAATTTTATTAAAATTAATATTTAAATTTAATTAATAATATGATAAATTTAATTATATTATATAAAAAATACGATGAAATTTAAATGAGGACCGAGTGAAATTTTTACACCCCCATATATATATATGTATATATATTTATACTCTCATCAAGGACGTTTCATTTTGTTATGCTATAAATAAAAATAATCAACCATTGTTCATTATGGTAATAGCAGCAACAAAACAAAGGTGACACACAATTAATTCTTTTTTTTTTGATGCGTCAATACTATTATTATTATTATTATCCATTTCGTATTGTCTAGTTAATTAATTATTAGGTTTATATATACATATATATATATTATGATAACATTTGACTACAATTTTTTGTGGTGGTACATTGATAGGTTTTTGTGCTTACTGCAAACCCATGGCCTATGAACGTAAAATAAAATCATATACATATCTCTTAGTTATTTGATTGGTTTTTGATGCATTCAAAATGCCAATTTGGATTTATAGAATATAAATATTAATTCATGAAATCATTCATTCATTCATTCATGAGAGATTATTTGAGTTTGCAAAAATTTTATGTATATAGCTTCATAAATAAATAAGTAATATCCGAATATTTGAGCTTCTTAATATAAATTAAATTTCAAATTACTCAAATATTCTTCAACAATTAGGTAGGTAGAGACTTTTCATTCGTAGATTTATCATATATATATATATATATATATCATAAAGCAAGTATATCCATTTGGATCCGCTTGAACAAAGTAAAGCAAAAGAAATAGCTAGAACATGAAAGCGTGATAGTGAGTCAAAGAAAGATACATATACATATATATATATATATTTAATTATTTATTTATATATGACGCTGATGTGAGAAGGTTGGGAAAAGGCCTCCACCAATTAGTCATTCTTTATAACTGTATTTGATTTGATTGATTATATCTACACATCTCATTAATTAATATTACCAAATTTTTTTTAGAAAAAGCAGATACACTTAAACTATATAATATTATGTTAATGTTTAGGAATGATAAGGAATCGGGTCAGAACATATTTTTATTTATTTTGAATTTGATTTGATTTTATGTTTGTCAAATTCGAATTTAATCTGATTTAATTTTTTTAATTTTTTTAATACTTAAATTTGATCCGATATTATATAAATCATATTTGATTCCATCGAAATTAATAAAATATTATTTTTTAAAATATAAAATATTATTTTATAAATATAATTATATAAATATATAAACAAAAAATTAATTTAAAAATTATTTTTATGTAATATTAGATCGGATTAAGTCGAATTTATTTAAAATTCGAATTCGATATTTTTTTAGTGTTATCAAATCCGATCTGAAATTCGATTTAAAAAAAAGAATCGATTTATCGGATCAAAATTCATCAAAACGAATTGGGTTGTCCACTCTAATAATGTCTTTGTTGGGGGTGGGGGGAGGCGGGGGTGGGGGTGGGCCGAGGTGTCAGGTGCCAGCCAAATTGCCAAGATTCTTTCAAATGCTCATGCTCTTCCTCTCCCCAATTCTTTAATTAAAACCACTCATTTACATCTCTATATATACCCTCTCACATTCATCATATATTCACTCCACACTCTACTCTTGCTCATCTCTATCACTATATATTCTTCTATCTTCTTTCTGTTCAAATTCTCTATTTGCTTCCCAAATGGCCAGTGTTGAGGTAATCAAACTACTAATAGTATTTTTGTTCTTCAATTTTTTTTCCTCATTGAATCCATTTGTATGGATATATCTTTATAATAGATCATGAATTAATTCCAACCTGCATTAATGTGCAAGCTTATCGTTTAGAATTATAGTATCTGATCTTGCTCAAACGAAATGTATCAGTCTTCATTGATTCAATAATTTTTTATCTTTGATAATAATAATCTGATTGTTCTACATAGATCACTAGGTTCAACGGTATAGAGTCCATCTTAGGCTTTTTGCCAGCAGATTTTAGATTTGTGCATGAGAATAAACAATCAACAGAAGATCTCTCTCTCTCTCTCTCTCGTGCAGTTGTAAAAGCACAATTTGATGGCTATCATCATTCTTCTCTTGTAGTTAATCATCGATCTCATTTTTGTCCTTCCAAAACTTTATCACTATGCTCAACTGATATATAGCGCAGGATCCTATATATATCTTTCACTAGCTACCTTTTTAATCTTTTTCTGTCTTGTTCACTAATGCAATGAAACTAAATGATTCATCCTTTCGCATTTAAAACAGCATTAATATCTTAGTTGATCATTGCTTTGAATGATCTCAGTGGTCAATTTCATGATTAAAGTGACACGCTATGGCAATGATCGTTGATCAACTACAAATTTTCATTAACATCTTAAATCATCCGGAATAAAATGATTCTCGGCACTTCCAGGTTCAACCAGCTGCAACAGCATTGCCAGAGAACGAAACACCAGAGGTGACCAAGGTTGAGGAGACACCAAAAGAGGAGCCAGCGGCTGCAGCACCCGTGGCTGAGTCAGTGACTGCAGAACCAGAGGAAACAACAGCAGATGCCCCGGCTGCAGAGGAAAGCGAAGCTTCCAAAGCTGAAGCTCAGGTTGAAATTGATACCAAAGAAGTTGTAGAAGAAGCCAAGGTTGATGAGGAAGCGAAGCAAGCCGCAGAGGAGACAAAGGAAGAGACTCCAGAGGTGAAGCTGGCAGAAACAGTTGCAGAGGAGGCCAAAGTAGAGACCACAGAGCCCACCGTGGAAGCACCAGTAGCCCCAGCAGCAGAGGAGGAGAAACCAATTGAGAAGGAAAAGGCAGCTGAAAAAGAAGAAGAAGTTCCTGTTGAGAAGGCTGAGGAATAGAGCAACTATAGAGAAGATCATGGCATAGTTTGAGGGGTTTCTTTTATAGGTTGCATATTAAAGTTGGCAAAGTTGGAGTGCCTCTATTATTATAACTATATTGCCATTGAGGATGCGAATGAGGAGTGTCTTTCTTTCTATCGTTCTTTCTTTCTTAGGGGGTTTGATATATTAAACTTACATTTGTCAACATGCATCCATACCATGCCGATGAAAGAAATCACATGGGCTTTACATTTAGGAGGAATTAAAGTTGTTATGAAGGGTATGGGTGTATGTATTGTTTGGATTCCAAGATGAGTTTGATATAATGGTGTGATGAGATGTGATCTCTGCATTTGCAATAATAAAGATTTTGTCCAAATTCTAGTCCCCTTTCACGCTGAGTCGCTGACTAATCTATATCACAAATAAACTTGTTAGATGTGGTAAAGAACATAGAGAAACAACCCAAAGTCCGATACGACATCCACACCCTGATTAACGTGACGTTGGTGGCAATGCGTACACGGGAATGGGTGAATGCTCTTGCTGCTGTCGGAATGGATTTCAGCTGTTAGCAACGCCAGCAAGGCACCACCTCCCAAACTTTTTTTTTTTTAAATACGAAGATGTTTGCCAATCATGCTCGTTCGTTTCCTATAACAGAGAAAAGTAAATTCAATTTGATCAGCATGAATATTTCAACATTCCTGAATTTGTCTTTCGTTTCTGCAAGTGGGTTTGAAACAAAATGAAACCAACCCTTCCATGCTAAGCAGATCACAAGTAGAAAGAATTATGTTACAGGCCAAAATTTTTTATTCAGAACAAGAGTTAAGATATTCCAATAATCTGAGATAATAAGTCAAATGAAACAAAATCTGAGATATGCAGAGACGACTATTTAGAGGTTTTCTGTGAGTCTAGATGTCATTGCACAACTGTGTAATTACATGAAAGTGCCTGTAGCCGATGCCAGCAAAGTCCATGCAAGTGAGCAATTCTTCCATCTTGCCCCCTGCCCTATTTATGCTATACCTATATAAACAGTTGATTTGAGATAAAAAAAAAAAAAAAAGAAGCAATGACATCTCATGAAGGAAAGACAATTAACTACATCACTTCTTATATAGTCTAACGATGAAGCAGATGATATTATCCTATAACCTGTACATGCAGTCAAAAGCCCTTTCTACACCAAATGCAAATGCAACCCACGTTTTACCAGGTACCGAAGCTGCAGCCAACATGTTCTTGAGTAATAACATCAAAACGTTTTTGCATTTCAGCCATGGAAGGATATGGTGGGAAACACAACCGGTAAAAGCAGGTATGAGAAGAAGGAAGATGCTCAAGGGACTCCGAAGCCTTGTAAATATAAAGCCGAGAAGCTAAACCACGGAAACCTTCAACAGGAAGATACTTCACCGAGGTCCAGAAGAAAAGGAGCACCTTTCTCTTTTCTGCTGACATTTCCCCAACAATCTGCAATATTTTTGAACATGAGCAAGTAAAATATCGGGGGAAAATAAGAAAAACTTGTCGGCTCACAGAACTAAGTAATAAGACAACTATAGCTAATGCAATGTCCCACTTCATCACTCTGCTTTTATATATTGATACATTAGGTTGATGTCAAAACCTGCATAATGGTTCTCCAAACCGACAAAAACTAAAATACTAAAGAAATCATCTAACAACAGTTTCATCATTGCCTTAAACTTAATTAGTACTATCAGGAATACTTTTCGCAGCTGAAGAATTATGCACCATACTACTTCTTGGGCATTAATAGTCAGCTCATAAACATCAATAACATTGTGGACTTCCTCCTGCGGTAGTCTCTCAATCACTGTTCTAGTTCAGTTCAGCTCTTAATCTTTTCAAAACATTTTTTAAATCTTTATTTCAAATATAAGAACATAAAACTTCCAAAATGCTTTCATTGATTAAATTTGATATAAATGAATAATCTTGCATTTCCAAAAGGCTTATAAATCTCTCAAGTCAGCCAATCTCAACAATTTCCATCTGCTTTTTATTCCAGACATTTTTATTTGTTATTTTAAGGGGAAAAAGCTACAACTGCCAATCAAATTTTTTCTCTTGCTCCATAAAGTGACATCCTTCATGTGTAAAACCCTATCACATGCATCAATCAAAAAATGTAAGAATCTAGGCACATATAAGCAAACATTGACTGTGACTTGCAACAAATCAAGCCATCAATCGAGGCAGGACAGAAGTAAAGCCTATGGATGCGATTTTCTAACTACTTATAGAATTATTGTCAATGTTTCTTTAATTCAAGACATATTCACCCTTGTTCCCTAGGTCCCTGTTTTTTAAACAAAACTGTGACTGTGTAACAAGGAGCATGAAACTTAAAAGTAATAAAAAAGAATTAGATTTTAAAAAAAAAGGATAACAAGACCTTGGTATGATTAAAACACAACCCTGTATGTCCATACCTCCCAGAACCAGGTTATTTGAGGATCATTTTCTCTGTAGCCATTGTACTCAGTATGTGCCTTCCAGTCTTCAACACAGATGAGACTTTCACTTCCATAGAGCATCCGATCAAGGTCCTCGAGCTCTAAACTTCGAAAAAATAACTCCTGGAGCCCTGAGTTAGAAAGAATATGGCCAAAACCTCTGGAAAAATGGTTTACCTGTTCAGAAATAGATGTTACAAAGCGATCCCGAATAAGAAGATTAACATATTCCTGCCTATTCCCACTATTTACAACAATGCCTTTCCCACCGGGGCAGAGCTCCATAATTCTCCTGGATCCTAACTCCTCAACTTCTCTAACAAACGTCAGTCCTAGAGCATCTGAATCAATAAACTCAGCATCCATCTCTAGAATCTTCTTGCAGCTGTTATACAAGCATGGATCTGCCTCTCGTATATCTTCCAAAGATATATGCATTCCAGCCAATTGTAAGAAAAATACACGATCAAAGACAACACCCACTTGCACTTTATGCATCAATGCTAACGCAATCACACGGCCAGCAAAACTGAAATACTCAAGGTGCAAAGGATCGACCCTAGATGCTGCAATAGAAGAAAACACATAAGCTACATATAACCCGGGTCAGAATAAGAAGGAAATCTGCGTAACTTGTAAGGTATTATAGGGTATTTGCATCGCGGACTATCCTTTTAAAATATACAAAAATAACAATTCTCGTTTTCCACTAGATTCAAAGACTTACTTTCTCTCTTACTTCTTTTCATCTCAGATCTCTCTCTCTCTCTCTCTCTCTCCCTTTTTATTGTTTCCCATTCTTGTCTCATTCTCCTTTCTCCCTCTTTCTTATCTCAAAACTCAAGCTAATAATTGGCTGCTGTCTTTGTTTAATAGTGATGACATAGTAGCTTTTGGGAGGGTTTCAAATTGAGATGTTGCAATGTATGAGGAGCTAGGTCCAACATGTCAGACACATCTTGCATAACCACTTATGTCATGTTGTGTAGCTAGATATTTGGCCTAAATTGCAGAGGTTGAGTAATATAGAGGAACAACAGAACAAGAAGCTTACAACAGTGGAGAGAGATACGAAGCCTCATTTTATTTCCATAGAAAATCATGCTTAGGCTTGGAAAGGAAACAACTGTTCTTAAAGCAGCCCAAAACCAATGAAAACTAGAGGATCTAAAACCGATTGAGAACCCAATGAAGATTGGAAATAAATCATAGGTAGAGAAAGTATAGGAAGAAAATTGAGCAAAAGGAAATAAGAGTTTAGTGCAACATTCTCGCATGCTTTGAACTCCTCAACACTTAATAGGACCAAGAGAATATCTCTTTACATTATTAAGAAAATCTACAAAGTACACCAAGCATCCATCAAAGTATCAATAGTTTTCACCTGTTTTGACATTCTGCCAAGCAAAATATTGATGCACTATTTTTTCATGGCATATCGTTTGACATGAGGTGGTAATAGTGCTTTCAATCACGTCAGAGCCCGCACGTAATATAACAAGTACTAGTTGCAAAGGCAGTCCTTAAACTTTAAAACTAATAAAAGCTGTACTTTAAGAATTTTACCTTTTCTATTTCCACAATCCATGTTTATTATCAAAACAAGAGAACACTGACACAGAAGAGTGACATAAGGTGAGCAGAAAAAAGTATTAATTTCTTCTATCTTGTCAAGCCTCTCGTATCTTCATTCTGTTTATATTTATATCAAACGGCTAAAAAGCACAATTTTTAAACAAATATAATAACTGCATCAAAAATATATTAATTATTGCTTGTAATTATCTCATATTTCACAAGGAGCTTGGAAAAATCATCTCTCTTGCACAACAAGGACAAAGAAATATATAATCTTGAGGCAAGATCGTAATTGAAAGAAGTTTGGAAGTTCAGAGGAAACTTACCAGGATTAGGAAAAAATCTTCTGCGATCATTTGAGCAAGGCACAAAAAGTGCATTCTCTGGATTGAATATAGCTTGGCATACCAAGAAAAACCACTCCCTTAATACACCAGGACCAGTGGCTTCTTCATTTTTAAATTCCATGAATAGACCAGCATGTAGTGATTCAGGGTCAGCACGAGCAATGTATTCAAATGATTCTGCCAATAACTGAGATCTGTCAATGAGCATCTCATGCAATTCCTCGTAATCTTCTTTTACCTCAGGAAACATCATCATGGCCAAATGCCTCCTGGATTCAAAATCAGTGACATCCTTGTGCTCAAGTAGCCACCGATTATCATCATTACGCCTGGCGAATCTAATTATTAAGGAACACAACGAAGACTTTCTATTCCTCAAAACCATCCAAAACTGCTCTTCAGCACCCTGATAAAGCTTCGAGATACCATTCAGTTCCTTCAAAATGGCAAGATACTGAGACGACCCTGAATGAACAAATTCACCTTCACTGCTTTCTCTTGCAGCAAAGCTTTCCTCCACTCTGACAAGGCATTTTTCCATCTTATCCAACAAATCACTAAATATAGAATGAAGAAACTTAATCTCCTCTGCACAGGGAGGATGGTTGTAATCCTTCTTTTGCCACTCAACTGATATCCGAATCCCAATGCCCACTTGCTCAATAATGGCAGACCGCAAAGGGTTCAAGAGTGCTGTGAAATCCCTGACATCACTCGATAATGGTCCCCCACTAGTGGTAGAATCCACACTAGAATCCAAGTCCTTAGACAACTTATCAGCCAACTCACTAACAAAAGGGAAAATGTCTTGCAAGACAACCAAACCTTTAACCTCTTGCAGCATTAAACCCTTGGAAGTACCAACACTTTCCAACAACACCCCGAGTGTACTCCGGCACGAAGCATACAAACTATCCTCATTAACAACCTTCCTAAGTAACTTGCAAAACTCTAATACTATTGGTGCACAATAAGAATGCAGCTGTTTTGATAACGCACTCCTACACGAAGTTAAGAAGTGTCTTATTGAAGTATCAGCACACTGCTTATTGCCATAAATCGGAGACATATAAAGCATTACCAAAGCGGCAGGAGCCGAAGAAGCCATAAATATCTGCAAGTGAGCCGGGGCAGAGTCGTTATCGTCCTTGGGAGTAATCGTGAAGAATTTGACAATGCAATCTTTGATGCGTTTGGTTGAAGAAGGGACTAATTCGCCTCGGCAAAGGCGGCAAATGAGGGAGATCATGTCGTCCATGACCTGCCAGGTTTGTGGGTGGTCCGTCGATCGCATACGGCCCACGAGTTGTAGCCCGGCGTCCTTTTGGATGGCGCAATCAGCTAGAGATTGCTCCCACTGGAGCTGTTTCCCGCGATAAATTAGGCGTTGTTCTATCACTGGAATTCCGGTCATAGCCCGAATCCTTTCGTGTAGGGATTTCACAGTGTCCTCCGAATTAGCATGGACCACGATTGTGTTGCCCTCCGAGATCATCCGGATGAAAAATTGGATACGGGAGGAGGAAGATGTGGCGGACGATGAGGGAGCATCGGATGAGGAAGGCCGGGAGTCGATGAGAGAGCCAGGGAAGGAGGAAGCGGGGTCTTTCGACGAGGGATGAACGGCTGTGATTGGATGGCTGTCCTGATGGTGAAGGTGGTGGTGGTGATCGTCTTTTCGCATTCTGACGGGGACTAAGGGTGCCTCGGCGTCCTGGTCGTCATCGAAAGCAAGGGCATAATCGTCAAACTTGCGCTTGGAGGAAAGCCGGTGATCGTAGCCGTTGGGGAATTGATCAACGGCGGGGGATTGGATGAGAGACATTGGACGGTGGGAGCCCCCAGCCTGCTACGGTGGGGGAGAGCACATGGAGATGGTCAAGAAGCCGCAACAAACAGAAAATAAAAAACCCTCCGACCCAGTAAGGGTAGATAGAGAGGAGTGAAGATGAAAAAAGAAAGAAAATGAATGGGAAAGGATCGAAAATGCCGTCTCCTCCTACAAACGCTTACCGCCCTGACGTCATCACCTAAGACTTTAATCTTACGCTATTTTTTCGAAATTACCAAAATGGGTTTCTGGGATTGTTTGATCAGGGCGCCAAGTTAGATTTGTTCACATTTTGGACGGCTATGATCATGTCTTCGCCGTAACTTCAATGCACTGCTAGCAGTGGTGTGTTCCAGTTCATAAAATTAACTCCTCTAATTTGTTTTCCTTGTATGAATTGAATTCTTCTATTAATTAAAAAAAAAAAAAACTTTAATTTTAAATATTGGATTTAGCCAAAATCATTTATACATTTAGTGATTTTTTTTTTTTACAAAATTAGAATTAGATTCTCATTAATAATGAATATTCCCTTAAATTTAAGCTTCGCCTGTATTTAAAAAATAAATAAATAAAGGATTGTTATGCATGGATGAATGATTTTGAAGCATGGTCACTTTACATGTGTGAATATGTTTAATTTACATATTACACACATTTATGGAAAGAAAATATACAAAATTTAAAATGCTAATTTTATAAAAAAAAAAAAAGTTGAAAAGAATTAATCACAACAAAATTATGGTTGATACTTCTAATTATTTTCATATAACAAAGCAATGGTGTGATTATTTTAAAGTTAGTTACATTTCTTTGGCAAATATTAATTAAGGCCAAGGTTATATGGTGATTACATAGTAAAAGTGTTGCTTTTACAAGTTTTGGTCATGAATTATTGTCGTCGGTTCATCCAAAACATAATATAACTGTTATTTACATACTAAAAAAACAAAGGAGAAAAAGAAATATTAGTCCGATGTTAATCAACAATCTTTTCTTCTTTTCTTAGAGCGTTGGAATTTAAAATTGAATGTTTAACTAATTTTTGGATTGTTAATTTACCCAAGATTCCAAGATTTTACAAGTCAATCTTTCTTGTCTCATCAGAATGGCTATTTACAGGGAAAAAGAAAGAAAGAAAGAAAGAGTTGGTCTATAATTTCGGCTCAGCTACTTCTGGGTTCCTTCCTTCGTCGTTTTGCTCAGCGTATTTACTAGTGATCTTTTTGTCTGGCTGGATGGCTGGGCACGATACACCAAATTTGTAAGCTTTTTAGAGGTTTTTCATTAATTATTGTATACATATATGCAATTCCTTTGTTGCCTTGGCACTTTCCTATACAATTGAAACCCATATATAATTAGTTTATTATTGTCTTTCTCGGATGGAGACAGATGAGGTGATGCCAGTGGCCATTACTTTCCCTTCAAAATTCAAATTCCAACATGTAAATGTTAGGTCCTAAGTAGCTAATAGCATTAAGTACTCGACATTATATATCTATTGCTTAACACTCGCCAAATTGTTAGAATTAGAATATATACATTCCCTTTCTCTATTATCTGACATTAGATTTCCAGACAATATGTGGGTCATTAGTAAATTAAAAATCTCCACGGATTCCACATACCATCTAAACTTCCAATTACAACTCGTTGAGTCCAAGACTCCGGCACGCCGCCCATATCTTGATTCTAAAATTTGATGGCTCGTATCTTAGCAAACAAAAACATCTTCCTAACATGTTTCAACACAAGGCATGCAACATCATCAGTTGAAATATCTCATTATGCATAGCTGATGTAAATATTATTATTCACTTGTGTGGGTTTGGCAGTTCCTCATCTATCCAGTGGATAGTTCTGTTAACACAAACTGGGTATGGGACGGTTGTTACTGAAAAAGGAATATTACTGTTTTTGGTCTTCCAGTAGTTTGTACTGAGATAATAATCTGTCTTCTCTCGGTTTCAGTTAAGGGCTCAAATCATAACCAACTCTTTCCACCTTATAATCATCAACCAAAGGATCGAAACAAGACCTAAGCTTGAAATTACAAAACGGGTTCGGGGTCAAGGATTTGCTTTGCAGTTCTGATGGAATATCAGCAAGTCTTTTTAAACAAGCATAAGTCAGTAAATAACAACGGATTATCATCATTGGAACCAGCAGCTAAAAGAAGTAAACCTTTACTACTACCCATGCTATACAAAAAAAAAAAAAAAAAAAGGTTGATCATACGGTCCTACAAAGGAAGGATAACTAAAATCGTATGCAAAACTTTCTTGGAAAGTTTCGAGACAATGAACTGAGATAGGTCGAGAGAATGTTAGATCATCATGAGGGATAACTAAAGATGATTAACGCGAGATTACAACGTTTAAAGGATGCGTTTGCCGGGAGTCGAACGCGGGCAGGCAACTATCCTAACCGTTGGACTACAACAGCTTATTGATAAATTAATAAAATTTAAAAACAACTATGTATGTATGGATAAGATGAGGACTTCAAGCGTCCTCATAAAGTGGACCGGACCATACTGATTGTAAATTGCAGCGAAGTGGACTCTACAATGGCCTCTTTTGTTTCATTGTGAACAGATGAGTTAGCGGTAGTAGATGATGGCACAACGACAGCATTCTTGCAAGAGTGAGGTCACTTTGGCACAGACAAAAGTGAATGAAGCTTTTTAACATTGCAGCCTACACACCATACTTTTTGGCCACAGAACCTGAAGCTGAAGGTCATTTAATGGTATCAATTTTTCATTTTCTTTCTCTAACCAAATTTGTCTCTAATACCATATGGAAGCTGATTCCCCTTTATGGGAGGAGATTGTGATTTCTTTAGAAATTTGTTTACTTTGATCTGAAGCTGCTGTCGATCCAAAGGGCGTGAGCCCATAATATCTTCTTTTATATCACGATTAACAAGATCTATAACTGCTACGATAATGGACTCAACCAAATCTGTAACACGCCTCATACTTTTTTGAGCGTAGGCCTCATTGTTACCCAACAACCAGGACGCTTATCCTTTAACTGCCACAAACCCTCGTTGAAGCTCGCACTCAGTAAACAATCCAAACTGTTCTTATAACTTATAATCTCTAGATATGCAAATGACTTCAAATTTTAACAGACAAGCAAATTCATTAAAAAGGTCTAAAATTTCTCAAACATCAATTCTTCTGCACAAAACAACACTACTTCGCCAAAAAGAACCAGCAACACCACTATGTTGCAGACAAATTTAACAGAGTAGATCAAGACAGAAACGTGGGAGCTAAAGAAATGAAGACCATGAGGATATCAAAAGCCAGAGAAAGCATTATTTGATTATTTCATACTACCTAGTTAAGGAATTGCAGTATTTTAGTGACCCTGAGACAATTGGAGCTCAGTCTCTATCTCTCTCTCTCTTTCGTCCAGTGGCACTTCGACACTTGTTCTTGTCTACAGAGAAGCTAAATTATCCAAGGATTCTGAGTCAAAGACATGCCAGATGCACGGCATTTATCACTGTTTTGAATCTTCGTAGATTGTTTCAAAATGACAGACTGTAAGCTGGTAAGAAAGCAAGACATGACTTTGGTCCCTACCACAACAGAAGACCAGTTCGAGATTCTGATTTATATTTTGAAACAAGTTAGACTTGATGAGGTTCAAAGAGAAATGCTTAATCACATTATTCAACTACCAAAACCATAAAAATTAGGGTACAAACTGAACTTTTCTATGGAACTATGACAAGGATCACAAATAGCATAACACTATTGAACTTGTAAAAGCAGGTTCAGCACAGATACAAAATTATAACCAAATCGAATCTATTTAATTCACTAGGATAAGGAGGCTATCCATATTTCATGCTCCATATCACCTTTTTTTTTTTTTTCCTAATATTAGATATTGTTGCTAGCTAATAAAGGAGCTTCATTTTTCACAGTGAGTTTAACAAAAAGTTCTGTGCAATGTTTGCTTGCAAACCAATAAAGAGTAAAAAAATTCAGGTATGAACTGTATCAAGAACCCATTCAATCAGCTCACTTCAAGGATTTTCATAACAAAACTAAATCTCTATCGGACAAAAGCAGTAAAAGTACACAGATAAACTCAACAGGATTGAGAATAAAATTCCAATATAAAAATGGCGTGGATAGACTTCTATGTTCCGATAAAGTGGATGAATAACTTAATCCCACCTCTTTTCACAATTTCAGTATAGTCAATCCTGCATCAATTCATACACATAAGTTATCTTAATTACTTAATATTTATACATATATAAACATCTTGATTACGGCAAGAAATTTAAAGACAAACATGCAACAGCCAAAAATTCATTTCAACTCAGTGAAGAAATCACAGTAATTTTTCCACTCCTGCTTGTGATCCTCCTTGTTTTTCACTTGACTATAACACTAGTTTGAACCCCACTGACAGGAAATCGTCCCTGAAAAATCCAGAACAGATCCATAAGACAAAGTTGCATCAAGTAACCATAACGTGATTACCATACAACTACTTGCATATCGGGCGCCAATATTTGTTCATACTTTTGCATGCCAATGCCTGCAGTAAAGTAACTCACCCTCCCACCTTTCATAAATCATAGGGCCTCACAAAACCGCGTTTTCCTAAAACAACAAACTATAGATTGGCCTTTCCTATTTAACTGAAAGATTTAGCCTTATTGTATGACACTGAACCTAATTAGGCGAAAATAACTACTGCTAAAAATGATAAAATGGTATGTTAACAAAATAGATACAGAAAATCGAACAAATGTTCCAAGGGAGGAGGGTTGCTTACATCTTCCAATTATCCTCTCCATTATGCTGCCTTTTGTTGACATTAAGTGAAACCAGGCTTTGCAAGCAAATCTCTGTTTCATATGAAAGGGGCATTCCAGAGGCCAAGACATCATCGGCTTTATTCTTCTTCAGATCATGCCAGAAAAGATTTATATTATCATGTTCCAACAAAACTTGATTACCACTCCTCGAGTAAGCCAGAGGCTTCACAAACCTCAAAGAACCAATCACCTCTTCACTTGCAACAGAAAATAGTCTATTCCAAGACCCCTTTGCCCCATACTCATTCATCACCCAAATATCAACTCGAACATCACCATAATTAGCTACCGCACACAAACATCCTCCCAAAACTCCCACATTCAATTGAAATCCCTTATCTTTGTAATCAGGTTGTGGCACTTCCCTGTAATTTTCAGCCCCTAAATCCAACGCAACAATCACATTTTCCTCCGAAAGTTGAACTTTTTGAGTCAGAACCCAGTGTAAAGCTCCACTAGCGAAAACCCCGTTGGCCCCAGGAAACGAAAATCCATAAGGAATATCTTGAATTTTCCTCCACCTATTTCTCTTCAAGCTGCAAACTTTAACTTCTGATTCTAAAGCCCTACCATCAAACCTAACAAGCTGCATAATTTTAACCACTTTGTAATCATCAGTAATTGGGTCGTGACCGAATCCGTAAACGTAGCCATTGCAAGAACCGAGAGAAGGTAAAACTTGGTGCTTTCTAGTGAAAGGGTTCCAAATAGCCATGTCTTCAACAATGTTACGGATACAGAGCAAGCCGTTGCAAGAACCCAAGATGTTGACTCCATGGTTGTAACTCATTAAAGGGTGGTCCAGCTTGGCGAAAGAGCGGAGAGAAGCAAGATCAGCGGCGTGAAGATCGAAATTTTTGAGGATGAGGGTATGGTTAATGTGGTACTTGAGGGAGTGGCAGAGGTGCAGCTTGACAAAATCAGGATCGTCGATCAAAGATCGCCACCGCTTCGAAACGCATCGGAAGCAGAGGAGTTGCTTAACAGGTAAACGGCTGAGGATGTCGGCGATTAAGTCGGGTGGGAGATTTGACATCATTTTCTTTGGCTTCAATTCCAAAGGGCGAAGACTAATACAGTGAGGTTTTTGGTCTTGTGATGAAGATAACAATTTTTTTTCTATCCTGATTTACACGGTAGAATATAAGGTCTTGGGTCAAAAAACAATGGCATTTTAGAGAATAATGAAAGAAAACAAAGCACGGAAATAATCAAACCAAGACTAACAATATATTTACATTTGTCATCAAATTTTATTTTATTGATTAAACCGTACTGTCAATTTAGGATATGCTTGACCTAAATTGAATCCTCAAGTAAAATGTATTTAGCACCCATTTATAAATGCCAATATATATTATTCTTAACTAATTACTGGGGATAAAATTAATTGATTTATGATTTTATCAGTTTAATGTGGAAAGTTGTATTATGACCAACATTATGTTTATTCTCAATTAATAAAATTATACAATAATTTTTGAGTAAATAAATTATGCAGTCCCTCAAATTATGATAAAATATGTCGTATTTGATAATTTAAGACAAATAATTATATGTTATGTATTCGAGATGATCTTAACAAGTGATCATCCATAAGATTCGAATCTAAAATTTTTTTATAAAAAAAAATAAACTTAATCGATTAAAACAATCAATTGTTATTATTTTTTAAGGATCTTTGTGTTACACGCAATAACTCTTTTCTTTTTTTGGTTACAAATTACATTACATACTACTAATTTATTTGGGCTAGAAGAGACGCAAGTGACACTTCTCTAAACAAGCGAGAGATTTGTTATGAGCCCATCAAGTTTTGTTGGGCAGCATTAAGGCCTTTGGTTGACCAGCCCATACTCCACCAATCTAAGATTAAGTGGCATTAAGGCCTTTAAATTAATGTAAATTGATTTTTTTATTTATATATTTCATTTAAGATTATTGAAAATTTAAAATTAAGAATTTAATACATTATTAACAAACAATAATACAGTTGACAACTTCATCTCATTACATTTTATAATCATTGGTTTCAATAGATTATTTCATCAATCAATACTTTAATATTAAAGCCATCTCTAAATAAATTTAAAATGACAATTGACTTAGATAAAAGGTTATTCGATCATATCATTAGTTTTTTTTTTTTTTTTTCATTTCAAGAGAAAAGATCAAATTGATGTATTAGGTTTTTTTTTTTTTGTTTGTATTATTTTTAATTATAAAATCATATATTAATACTTATTTTAACTTCTCTTTCCTATTTTAACATTGATAATCGTGATTAAAAAACAAAATCTTGCAACAATGAAGCAATAAACAAACACCTAGATATCTTTTTTTATATTTTTGATTAGGTAAAGTGCTCTATCATTGGTTTTCCTTGGCTCATTGCTTTGTATGCTACACGAGTGAAGCAATTTTTATTAAGATGTGATCTTCTACATATTACTTGTATAAAATAAGTGGTTGTACCTTTAAAACTCAATAAAATAAATTTCATATTAAAATTTTTAAATATGAAACTCTTTATTTTATTTTTAAACTACCCTCTCAATATATATATATATATAATTTACATATAATGCCTTTGACGGGATCAAGAGGCCAAGCACAAAGCAGTGATGAGAAGCTGACAGGAACAACAATTATACATACATAGCAAACATTTTAATATCCTCAAAAGATACATGGAGATATAATGATTGCACATCAATTTATATTTATATCCTCAAAACAAAAATATTTTATTAATATCAATAAAATTACAACAATTATAAAAGAAATATTCAGTTTTCCACTCTCGTCGGCCAGAGTCGTTCAGTTTGCTGAAGTTGATATTGTTGTGATGGCTTTTGCAGCCTCACTGTCCTTTGACCTCGATTGGGGAATTGTTGCTGCGAATGAAAATCAGAGAGATGAAATTTTTTATGTACCTTATATATGGCCTTTGATTCAATTAAACCCAAAATGGCTAGGCTTTGAATATTAAAACATGTGTAAAAATGGTGGTTAGTTTATAAAACAGTTTACAAACTTATAGCTCCCAGTCTCCAATAATGAATCAAATGGAAAGATAATCATGATATTGTATGATTTAAACCATTTAATCATCAAATTCCAGCGAAAAGGAATTTAGATTCTTTGCTAATTGCTTCCAGTTGCTTCTTTTCTTTGGGACCTTGTCTAATGTTTGATTTGATCTCGGGCTTTGAGATATTGGGAATTCAATCAGATTCAGAACAGCTCATGTATAAAAGCTAAGGACATGTTGGGGGTTATTGGGATATCAGTTCCACTCACCCTCCATTCAGGAGGAACGGCCACTGACCATTTGTGTCCTAGGCTGAATTATTAGAAGTTGGCCCACGTCACCCACCATCAGCTAATCCAAACACATCGTCTCCCCCTTGGTTAACTTGTCGGATCTCACAGGTGAGCTTGTACCAGGTAGATTTGTTTTTGTAGTTGGGTGCTCTCCAGAGGCCTTGGAACTCTGTCATTGATTAACAATATTCTGATAAACATATATAGGATATAAGCTCACAAGTCACAACCGTCAACAAACCCAAATGGTATAATTAATACTATCACACCGTAAGAATTATTCTCCCAAAGAGATAGCTACAAACCAGGTCTGCAAGTCAGCTTAATCTTTATCATGTAAAATTAAAATTAAAAATTGGTATTCGCAGAATAGAGAGAGACAAATCACTTTCAAGTCCAGAAAACATTACATTCCAAGCAATATGGCCAAAACTGTTAACGTCTGTCCGTCTGTCTCACTGGGGCTCTCCACTTTTTTTTTTTTTTGTCTCTTTTGGTTATTTGAAAACTCACAGCAGCTTCACATATCCTCCAATGTTTATCTGCGCGATAATTGACAATTAAATTTTACATTATATAATGATCAATCATGGCAGGATTAGTCCACAATCTCAATTATAGCAGAAGTAAGATGTTGAATAAAGATATCCACATGGCTTGGTAAATGACCGATTGTCCCCACCCACCACACACCAACCACTACTTTTTATAAAGAATAATGTCTCAATTAGTCCTTTTTTTTCATAGCTTGATTACAGAATTAACTCTCCAGGCCAGGACATCCTAATTAACATTGATTAGCTAAGTTCCAAAAATAACAAGAGCGAAAAAAGCAAACATAGCTACATCAAAACCAAAGCTTGTCTTAGCCACCATTTCCACCTCTCCTAACTCATATCCATTCTTGAGCAATTCCATCTTGCCAGTTTAATTTCTTACGTCTTCTCCGTTCAGCAATATGTCCAGTGATCACATTTCTGATGATCCAAAAAGCCCACTTCTCCCTGTCAATGATCCGATCGAGCCGTTACCAAGCTCACCCTTCTCTCTCCAATCCTTACTCACAATTAAACTTTTCTACGTCCTGTTAGGACCCCTTTCGTGTGCCATCATCTGCCTCTGTGTCAAGCTTGATGGCCCTGTGACAAGCCGGAGCATGTTAGCGGTTCTGGCATGGGTGTTTTCTTGGTGGCTCACTGAGGCTGTGCCGATGCCAGTTACCTCCCTAGCACCTCTTTTTCTATTTCCTCTCTTTGGAATTGCTTCTGCCGACACTGTTGCCCACTCTTATATGGATGATGTGATTACTCTTGTTCTGGGTAGCTTCATACTTGTTCTTGCTGTTGAACGATACAACATTCATAGAAGATTGGCCTTAAATGTGAGTTGTCCTTATAAATTTATTTGTTCAAGTATATTTTTCTCTTACAAATTGATTCATTGTTGTTAAAAATTGGCATAGCAGTCATCCTTAGAGTCCCTCAACTCTTGTCCTTTGGCCTTGAACGTTTATACAGTTTCTTTAACTCCGGGCTTCAAAATAAATCAACTCAGGCAATTTTTGCTGCACCAACGCCCAATAGTACCATTCCAACATTTTTCTTTCTGAAATTAAAACTAAAAAGTTCATGTTTTTTGTTCAAATATCAACTTTCCAAGTTTGGTATAATGCCATAGGACCTTTTACACATGGATTTTACATAATTTCAAAGGAAGCTTCAGTTTTTGGATTGAAAGTAGAAAAGGATAAGAGAATATTGTTAATTATTTGAGCAATCAAAAGATACATAGCCATAAATAATAATTAAAAAAACCCATATTCTTCTTTTGCTGGTTTCTTGTAGACTATTTGTGTAAGCAAGCAAATTTTTTTATTAAAAAAATGTGAAAAAGATGGTATTATTGAGGCCATTGATATTAATTTGACCGTAACCAAATACTACAACCATCATAAACTAGAAATAGACAATGCTGTCTCTCTGTTTTGGGTCATACAAGAAATATTTAGTTTCTCCAAGTTACAAAGATGATCCTAGAACTATAGAAAATGTTGGTGAATTATTTGAATGGACATTGCTCAATTATGGCTGTGGGTCGCACAGATCACTTTGCGGTTCTGTGGGGATCCAGTGAATCCACCTCTCCTCTTACTCGGCATCTGTGCCACGACAGCCTTCGTCAGCATGTGGATGCACAATGTGGCCTGCGCTGTGATGATGATGCCTGTGGTGACTGGGATCCTACAGCGCCTACCTAAGGGCCCTAACCAGTCCATCCATGTTAGCAACTTCCGTCGGGCTGTGATTCTCGGGGTTTCATACGCCGCTCCCATAGGGGGGATGAGCACCCTCACCGGGACAGGTGTCAACTTGATATTGGTTGCCATTTGGAAGAGTTCCGTCCCAGAAGCTAAGCCAATCGGTTTCAACACGTGGTTCTTTTTCGGTTTTCCCTTGGCTTTGTTGATTTTCTTCGCTTTGTGGGCCATACTCTGTCTATTGTATTTGTCTAGGGGTTCTAGCCAGGTCCTCTCTGCCTACTTGGACAAAGCCCATCTCAAGAGAGAACTGGACACGTTAGGTAGGGAGCAAAGGTGATATTTTTTCCCTCCCTTGTTAACTTTCTTTAGGCTGATCCAAATTTTATATTTGGTGTGAGCAGGTCCAATAGCTTTCGCTGAGAAGATGATTTTAGCTCTGTTTGCGGTTCGTCCTTAAGTACTATATTTTCTCTAAACATTGACGATTATATTCGTAATGTCTTTAAATTAATAAGAGAAAGGCAACGCAGGTGCTGACCGCTTTGTGGATGACCAGAAACATAACAGAAGACATTCCCGGATGGGGAGCTCTTTTCCATGGTCGTGTAGGCGATGGAAGTGTCAGTGTGAGTAATAGAAACTTTAAAATAGGAAAAAAAATACTGATAACGATGAGAAGAAATTTTGTTTCGTCAAATTTGATGCGATTAAGTATAGTCTTAAACCATGCAGGTTATGATGGCTACCCTTTTGTTCATAATTCCAAACAAGAAGCAAAAGGGGGAGAAATTGATGGACTGGAACGAATGCAAGAAGCTACCATGGAACATTATTTTGTTACTAGGTGCTGGTTTTGCCATAGCTGATGGCGTCCAGTCTAGTGGACTTGCTGATGTGTTATCAAAAACTTTAGATTTTTTGGAACAGGCTCCATACGTAGCCATTGCCCCTGCAGTCTGTCTCATTAGTGCCATAATCACTGAATTCATAACATCAAATGATGCTGCCGCAACCCTCTTGCTTCCACTTCTGATTCAAATGGCAAAAACCATGCATGTCCACCCGCTACTACTTATGATTCCGGGAGCAGTTGGATCACAATTCGCTTTTATGCTCCCAACTGGAACTCCTACAAATATTGTTGGGTTCGCAACAGGGCATATTGATATCCAAGATATGATCAAGACAGGACTGTCGCTTAAGATTGCAGGCTTGGCAATTTTATCCTTCCTAATGCCTACGCTTGGTAAATTATTCCCGTCGTATTCCATTTGTCAGTTTCTCTATGAATGTGAAAAAACAATTTTGGTGGGTTTATAATTAGTCAATATTTGCGATGGCAGGTGCTTATGTTTTTGGTACAAAGGAAGGAGTTCAATAGCTGCAAGACAAACTGTGTTATATTGTGACGTTTGTTAGCTAAATATAGTAAAATTTATTGACACTATAGGCATAGGTCCAGCACGAGTTCTGCACCAGTATTGGATGAAGGTACCGTTTGCTGGGTTGGCAGGCTCAGTATGTTCCAACAGAAGTGAGCGATCACAAGAGGAATGGGGAGAATTCTTGAATGTCTTCTTTTCATCAATACTTACCCTCCTCGTTTTGCTTCTTACGTATTTCATTTGTTATTCATTTTCTACAGAAAATGCTTGTGCTTTTAGTGATAACCACCCTGAATTGTGTTGGTAGAAAATGGCCTCAGAAGAAAACTAATCAAGGTTTCAGTCAAAGCAGAAGAAAATTTCACCATAACTCAAAATGACATCAAAACAGAATTGCTTATCAGTCTTGAGCACTGAGCAGGACCTCAGATCGAATCCAAGCATTATTCATGTCTCTCCTTGAGAGGGATTTCTCTCGTTCATTATGCATTCAGAGCTGCAGTAATACATGTGCTGATGATTGCTGTAGCCTGTGTTTGCCTTAACTTCTAATCTACTAACTCACGAGGGATTAATAGCCCTTGCCAGACAAGTAAGCATCTCATCTCTCTTTTGAACTTCGAATAGGAATTTTTGGAACCATCTATGTCAGTCATATATGGCCTGATTCTCTTTATCCAAACCTTTCTTTAACCCTTTGAATTATAATATGTGAAATATTGTACCATAGAATAGAGGCATGGACATAGTTTTTTTTTTTTTGCTAAATGTACTATAAATGTATGTAGTTGAAATAAATTAGTACTACTTCAATATTAGATTAGGCTAAAGTCCCATTACATTAAGCGAAATGGAAAAAAAAAATCCAAAAAAAAAAATTCCAAAGTTTTAACATTGGAACTTTGACTAGTTACTTTCTATTTTTAATTAAAGAATTGCTATGTGCAAAAGCATCAAATACAGAGGCGACGCCATAATTAATTTAAATAGATTAATATTAAAATGTAACATTAATTATAAATTTTTATTAAAACGTCTATCAATGAAGAACCATATTAAGTTCACGCACTACACTTAATTTGTGCTTAGCCAAAAAAAAAATAAAATCACAACGCTTTATGTCATAATCCCTTATCTTCTGATTCTCAATTAAAACTTAAAACTATCATCTCATCTCATCTTTCAATTTGGGCTACTTTCCTTTCTTCTCAGGTGGGCTACAGCTATAGCACTGCGAAGGTAATAAAATTTTTTTTTATTTAAAATTTTTCGTAATTCAAAATTAAATTAAATTAGACTCGACAAAAAAAATAAATTTTTTTAAATTTATTTATTTTTATTCATAAATTTTAAAATTAAAATATTATTTAAAATAAATCAGAATTCTTACCACTTGAATTAATAAACAAATTATTGATGAATCCACTCAATGAATATTTGAATTTAATTTATTCATTATCAAATTTAACTTAAATTCGAGTTACTCCAACAACAAATCAAATTAAAAATTATATATTTTTGTACTTATTCAAAAAGCTTGCAAGTCAAGAGCTAAATAGAATTGTAAATATAGTTTAATACATATAAATAATGAAAATATCATATTTAATATTTTATTAAAATTTTATCATATTTAACCAATTACTTAAGAATCGAGCTTAAAATTAAAATTTAAAATCCAATTGAATTTGAATTGAATGTTAACCTTTGGATTTTCTAATTGAATCAAACTCGTACCGAAGACGTGAAATCGAATCGACTTGATTAAACCTTTAGCCATTAGCCACACACCATCAGCCAAATTCACGTGGTGGGATGGTCGGACCCAGCCTCCATCTTCTACTCACAACTGGCCCACACCCTCCAATCACGTCACCAGTATCCCACACTTGATCATAATCTAACGGCTCCGCTCTCCTAATGTATGTCGGTGGGCGTCAGTTTTGGGCTTTGCCGCGTTACTGGATAATCAAACCACCTGGCTCGAGCCTGATTTCTATCAACTTCAAGGGGCAATCATCATCATAAAATAAAACTCACCATAATCCCGTTATTGTCCGTTTCTCTTTTTCCTTCAAATTCACGGATACGGCTATAAATTCCAAAACCTAAAACGCCCGCTGCGTCAAAAAGATAAAAATTGCAATGCATCAAAATTCACGTTTCCTTATCCTCTTGCTGTCCCTCCTTTTCCTTCCTATCATCTCCTCTGACGCCAGGAAGGACGCTCTCGTCGGAGGATGGACACCCATTAAGAACATCAAGGAGCCGCACGTGACCGAGATCGGGGAATTCGCCGTAGCAGAGTATAACAAGCAGTCAAATACAAGTTTAGAATTGCTGAAGGTGGTCAAAGGCGAGACGCAGGTGGTTGCGGGGACGAATTATCGGCTGGTTTTAAATGCGACGGATGGAGCCGCAACTAACGCATACCAGGCTATCGTGTGGGAGAAGGCGTGGCAGAATTTCAAAAATCTTACCTCCTTTAACCTTGTCAATGGTTGATTATAAACTAGGAAATTTATGTTGATGTCATCATGTCTTTTAATGTTCGGTGTTAGACTGGTTTGAGAATAAAGTATGTGAGTTTGGGATGTAATGAGTTTCAGAGTTTGAGATTGAGAATTTGCTTTGTCTGTTCTTGTTTTTTTTTTTTTTTTTTTTTTTCGGTTTCTCAGATAGTAATAATTATTACTCGACAATATAAAAGACAAGAACATGTGAGTGAATAGATACAAGAAATGACTAAAGTTCAAAAAAGAAAAAGAAAAAGAAGGTAAACAATAAGATGCGGACAATGCTCGAGTTTAGAAATATGTCAACACTGTGCAGTTGCCATCAATGTAAGCAAACTAAAACAGTAACTTGAAGGCCAGTTAAGGGCTGTTTGGCAAGAAATGGATATGGGATTGAATTAATGGATTGATCAAAAGAGAAAAAAGGAATCATGCAGAAGATGTGGGTGTTGTGGCAGGTAATGCATGTGAATCTGGAAGGTGGGAAAGGAGGGTTTTCTTCTTCGTTGCATGTGGGCTGGATTGCAATTGACAAATATTGTTAAATTGAAATAAGTATGAGATAATTTTTTTTTACATTGTTACTAATATAAAATAAAGTATAATCATAAAAAATTACATTTATATAAAAAATTATTAAATTAAATCATATGAACAAAGCAATCAATGAATCAATAAGTAATTAGATAAATTTAATATAAAATTAAATTAAATTAAAATTTAAATGTGAAATCTCAACATAATAAAGTGTCTTTTTTGCCGCTAAAATAAATCTTCATTAATGGATGAGACGAAACTTAAAATATAATAATATTTAACTGATTGACATATATTATATAAATTACAATAAAATTTCTCTTTTTAATATAACTTTTGAATAAAAATAATTACTTTGTATATTTCCAAGCAAATTACTTTTAATTTTCCACAATTTTGTTGGATAAAAGATTAGACGGTAGATATTGGGACCTTATCCATCAAACAACAACAAAAGACTTATCCAGTTTTCTTTTTGTAAAATACAAATTAATATTTGTTTGGAAATTACAATCATTTGATTTTGATCGAAAATAAAAAAACCCATTATCAAATCACTTTGACTAGATTAGTCTACGTGTCGATATATTATTGGTTTTACTGAATTTGCATGATGTGTGTCGGTCCAAGAAAACAAAACTCAACTGAAACCCAGCATAATAAATCTAAAATAAAGGAGTTGAGTGATTTATGTAAACGGAAATCTCAAAGCTGAGCAGAGCCGTTAGATAAATAAAAAGTAATCAAGATAATTAAATTGTGAAAAATAATTGGAAAAACCAACTGATTATTGAAAAAAAAATCAATCCAAAGTTGAAATCTGAGAGAGAATTGCGACTTTTTTTTTTTTTTTTTTAAATAGGAATTTGTGTGTCAAAGTCAGGTTGTGCGGCTAGCAGAGCTGTCGCACAGAGGCTCTAGCAACCGGCTGTGCTACCTGATATCAGCACTGCTGCAAACAACTCGTCACCTCCCAAGATGAAGGGGCTCTTCAAATCTAAGCCGCGAACTCCCGTTGATATTGTGCGGCAAACGCGTGATCTGCTCATCTACGTGGACCGCTCTCCCGATAGTCGTGAATCCAAGCGGGAAGAGAAGGTTCGCTCACTAAAATCACTTTAACTATAACACAATAATTATTTTGACTTGGTTTGATTTCGATTCGACTTTCTTTTTCTTTGTTGATCTGGATATTTTTAAGATTTATTTTTGGAATTTTGGCTCCTATAATAATTCGATTGATAATAGCATGGAATTTTACTTACTAGGGTAATTAAATATTTACTAACTTTTTTTATGTGGCTAATGTTTTGGGGTTGATTTTGTGGATCATGGGTAGCAAATTGATTTACTGAAAGTAGCATAGGTTCAGTGTCTAATCCTTATATTTGATCGTAATTTTGATGCAGATGGCAGAATTGTTTAAAAATATAAGGGAGTTGAAGTCTATTCTTTATGGAAATAGTGAATCTGAGCCAGTCTCAGAAGCTTGTGCACAACTGACTCAGGAGTTCTTCAGAGAGAACACACTAAGGCTCTTGATCACTTGTCTTCCTAAATTGAACTTAGAGGTAATTAATTGACTATAAATTAGATGGCTTAACTTACAAGACAGTTTAAATATGCAAATTTTCTAGAGTTATTGTTGCAGCACTGTAAGTTTATCCCAGTTGCTACCGTGATTATTTGACAAGTATCTTCCTTTGCAGGCGAGGAAAGATGCAACTCAAGTTGTTGCAAATTTGCAAAGGCAACAAGTGCAATCGCGGTTGATTGCTTCTGATTATTTGGAAGCAAACATAGATCTTATGGATATTTTGATAGCAGGGTAAGTGGCAATCAGAAAAGGACTGTAGAAGTTATGATTACTATTTTCTAATTTTCTTATATTTTTCTTTTTTCTTATTTGGTGTTTAAGATATATGTAATAATTGGTAGATTGATTTTATTAGCCCCTTGGATCTTTGTTTCTCTGCTCATTTTCTTGAAACTTTGTCTAGTCTGGAGAACTTAATGCTAGAGCTAAGGAGATAAGCTACAAATGGTTTTCAGTGGTCTGTTTTGTTCTTTTAAATAAGGAAAAAAGAATGTGGAGGCACTTCTGTTACTGAATTCTTCTTATTGAGCAAATCACATGCATGCCAAATGTTTGTCTTGTTTATAATGGAGCTATAATTCTAATTTATAGATGATGTATTCTTATGTGATCTTTTGGTTAGGCTGTTATATTGACCTTTCTTTAATTTATTTATTTTGTATCCATCATTTATCACCATCTTCTGATTCTTAAATGCTGTTTATTCAGTTATGAGAACACAGACATGGCTTTACATTATGGTGCAATGTTGAGAGAATGCATACGGCATCAGTCTGTTGCAAGGTGTGTAAAGTCAACCAAGTTAATTCATTCCTTCATGATTTGGCTTCCCATGCTTTTAGTGAATATAAATAAACTATTCAAGTACTTTTTAGTTCCTCTATCTATTCTAGTGTTTCCATCATCTTTGCACACAAGTGGCAATCTTGTCCATTATTTCCCTCTAAATTCTTTTGTTTCATAACAGAATCTTTTATTTGAAGGAAAGCCTTATCTCCTAAAAGTTTTTTAAAATCTTCAAAATAATTGAAGATTTTCTGATATATTATTTGATGTATATGTCACGTTTGTTTGATTTACAGGTATGTTTTGGAGTCACAGCACATGAAGAAGTTTTTTGACTATACGCAACTTCCGAATTTTGACATTGCTGCTGATGCTGCTGCAACTTTTAAGGTTGTTTCTCTCATGCCCTGTCTTTCTCTGACTGTTGCACTTCTGAATCTGCATTGTCTTTGGAATCTATTTTCTGAGTTTCAGAATAACCTGTTTTTTGCTGTAATTCTTGAAGTAGGGAATTGAATTGCTTTTCAGTTTTAATATTTATTTTTTCTCAAAAAATTTGTTGTTTGATGATGAGTTATCCTCTTATGAACTTCCTCTTCTTTCATTAGGGGTTTTGAGTTATATGCTGACTGCTGATGTCATGTAATATCTTTTTTTCTTACAGGAGCTCTTGACAAGGCATAAATCCACTGTAGCTGAATTTCTTTCCAAGAACTATGACTGGGTAAGTGTTGCTTCTCCATTACTGTCACGTCACCTACAAATTGTGAAGTTTTGATGTTAAATATGATCATGGTACTTAAATAACCATGTCAGCTCAAAACTATTTTATTTTCTCTTTCATATTTGACTAAATATTTTTATCTCATTGTCATAAATTGTAATGATATTACAATAACTACTTTAAGAGTCTCTGAATTTCTTCATTCCTTTTTTTGAATGAAAGTTTTCATTGACTAGAGATTAAGGAGCTCAACCTTGTTTGTTGTTTCAGTTTTTTGCAGAATATAACTCAAAGTTGCTGGAATCTACCAACTATATTACGAGAAGACAAGCTGTCAAGGTATGACACTTTAAAAAAAAACAGCAAGTATTATAGTGATTCTTTTTCGATCAAAATGAAAACTTGGTGTTTTTAGACATGTTTAACTCCACATCAGTATTTTTAAAGGGGTCATTTGCTGATTTCAAACTGAAAATAGGAGTTGAGTAGTTTGAAGAGTGGAAAGATTGTGTTACCATTCTGGGAGTAGAAACACCAATAGTTTTTTAAAGACAAGGATATCCAAAAATGCTGCTTAGATTTGACAACTCAACCCAGTTGAAGTTCCTTTTTTAAACTGTCGAAATTATAGCAATATGATGGCCATTTTATTTTTAAAGTTTTTGAAATAAGATGTAGCAGTGGCAATTACTTTTTGAGTTTTGGTTGCTAATGAAACTTCTTTCGTCTGTTTTTTTCTTTTTTCTTTTAAATTTCTAATCTTTTCTCTTTTTAATGTTACAGTTGTTGGGAGATATTTTGTTGGACCGCTCAAATTCAGCTGTCATGACCAAATATGTGAGCTCAAGGGATAATTTAAGGATTCTTATGAATCTTCTAAGGGTATGATACTTCCCCAGATTTCTTGTTTTCACAATTGATTATCCCACATTATTTTGGAATGATAAAATTTTCTTAGGGTTTGATGTCATTTTATTCTAACAATAGTCTGTCCTACTTGGCCTATCGCATGTCTGACATGAAGCTTTAAGGCTGAAATAGGCTTTCAAAATGAGTTGCTATTGACTATTGTCACAAATGTCAGGCATATCAAATGTTATTCTTTGTTTAGCTTATGGTAGTAAATATTAAGTATAATACTGGCCTATACCTATGATCATCCCAGTAGCTGCAGCTTCTGAGATTTTCCATGTTCAAGTAGACTTCAAGTGCTAAATGGTGAACTCTTTTATGGCAGGAATCAAGCAAGAGCATCCAAATGGAAGCTTTTCATGTTTTCAAGGTGTCATTTTAAATTTCTTTTCCTCTTGGGAACACTTAGATAGTTTGTAATTTCAAACATTCAATTGCTCACCATTTCCTTTGGTTATTTACATTGTTCATCTATGTGCTACAGTTGTTTGCTGCGAATCAGAATAAGCCTCCAGACATTGTTAGTATACTCATTGCAAATAAAAGCAAGCTTCTACGTTTGTTTGCCGATTTCAAGACTGATAAAGGTACAAAAGAGAAACACTTGCAACAATTTTTTCCTTGTAAATTTCTTGGCTTGGCACCTTATTTACAGTTTCCTGTTTCATGTCTTGCAGAGGACGAACAGTTTGAGGCAGACAAGGCTCAAGTTGTGAAAGAAATTGCTGCCCTTGAGCCTAGAGACCGGCCATAGTGAGCTTATAGTATACCATTTTCTCAATTTTCTTTTAATCTTATTAACACAAATTGACTGTGAATCATATAGCGTTCTCGTAGTCCTTTCAGAAGGATGTGTAATATGTAAAAAGATAAAAAAAGCCTCTTGTTTTCTGTTACTCTTTTCTTAGAATCTTAGTTTATCATTTTCTGTAATTCATAATGTTTCGGATGTATGCAAACCTAAACGTGTGTGGACTGAAAAAGATGAAGGGGCTGGCTTTTGGGGAGATAGTCTAATTCTATTTAGACACCTTGATTCAAGTTGTTATGTGTTTCGATTTTGATGGTACTTTTGTATTTTGGTTGAAGTTAGTGGGGGTTTAAAAGTGAGGGTGAGATTGAAGGTGAGTGCTGTAAACCTTTGGCAAGGTTGAGAGTAAAGAGGAAGAGGGGGCGTCATGGCAGTCACCAATGAGAAAGAGGTTGTGGACTAGGAAGCTTCCCCGCATTTCAATTTACCTTTATAATCTCTGATTACATGCATGTACTTTTGGAAGAGGGTCAGAATTGAAGGTCTTTTTCTGTGGTTAGAAATTAGAAAAGAAAGAGTAGAGAAGACCAAGAGAGTAAAGGCACCCCACCACCGTTGGCATATTCCATGGATCTCCTTATCACAAGACTTATTGACTAGACAAGAATAACCTCCATTATACAAAGTTGCTACGGTAGATGCCCCTCCATTTGCCAATTCCCTTCCAAGCCAAACATATTCGTTACCAATTCCAAAGGCCACGGTTAACAATAAGCACATTTTAGGCAAAAGTAAAGAGAATCATTCATTTCTGCCTTTTCTACGTACGCAGTCTATTTACCACCCATCCTATCTAGCACACAGGCACTATCTACGTAAATTTTTTTTCTCAACATCGAAACAAATACTCCACTACTAGATACCAATATCGTCACCGTTGAGACAGGACAGTAACGTATCTTACCTGCAAATTTTTGTGCTTTGATCCCATCAAAGATGGAAAAGAATGTTAAGTGACTGGTATTTAAATGTGGACGACGCAAAAGAGAATATGAGGAAATCCAGGGGCATTTGTTTCTCATAATTCGTGTATATAAACTTAACCCATGGTCTCTTTTTGTTAGCGGCATTTGCTGCGTGAAAAGCTCTTCAACCCAATTACTCCAAACACAGCAGTCCATCATCAGCCAATATTTCTTTCAATTTTTCTTGGCAAACGATTTAACATGGCTGACAATGGTAGGACCCCCCATTTATCTTTTTCTTTGTTAACTATTATCATTCTTTGGATTTTCTTTAGTTTCTGGTGGTTCATTTTCTGTGTGGGATTTTGGTTTCTTGTTTATAGTTATTTGTTTTTGGTTTGTAAATTCTGTGGATTTCAGGTTCTGTTGAAGAGTTCTTAGCAACTGCAGTCGATGCAGCTAAGAAAGCCGGCGAGGTTCATTCAAAATTCCATTTTCTTTCGTTTTTCTTTTTTTCTTTTTTTTGTATATTCTTTTGCAATTTGCTCATTCATTGGTTCATTTTAAATCTCTCACCTTTCTTTTTCTTTGATGGTTTTGTAGATAATCCGTCAAGGGTTTTACCAAACCAAGCATGTGGAGCATAAGGGCCTGGTCTTTCTTTTATTCTCTCACTTTCTCAAATTATGATTAAAGCACATTTTGATTTTTCTCTTTGTTTTTTCCCTATTTCTGGTTAGCGTGCCATGAAATCCATGTATGATGATAAGGTTGTTAAAATTATCAATGTTGATAGATTACCGGGGTTCAACCAATGCTTTCATATGTTTAACACCAGAGTCGCAGATGTAACTGTATTATCTAATTATCTTCCAAGAGGTTGTTTGGTTGATTTTTCAGGACATTTCAAATTCAATTTGGTTCATCTTTTAACTATTCAAATCTTTTGAGTCTTGACAAAAGTAGGCCCTGTTTCTTTCCTATCTAGAATTGAAAATGACTGCTTACAGTTTTCTATTTTGTCTAAGTCAGGTGGATTTGGTCACTGAGACTGATAAGGCATGTGAAGATCTTGTATTCAATCATCTCAAGCAGCGTTACCCCTCTCACAAGGTTAGCACCTTTTTGTCTAAATTGTCTACCTTTTATGTATCAAGCTTCAAAATTTGAGCATATGATGCAATCTACTTTTCTCAGTAGTGAATCTTCTTTTCTGATTTGCTATAATTGCCGTTCATTGTAGTTCATTGGTGAAGAAACTACTGCTGCTTGTGGTATGTCAGAGCTGACTGACGAGCCTACCTGGATAGTTGATCCTCTCGATGGAACAACCAATTTTGTGCATGGGTAATAGCTTTTCCTTGACTAGTGTTTTATCTCGTATGTTCAGTCATTTTCATGTTTGCATTGTTTCAATCCTGTAGTTTCCCCTTTGTCTGCGTCTCCATTGGTCTTACAATTGGAAAGGTTCCTACAGTTGGTGTTGTTTACAACCCAATAATGAATGAGGTGAGAATTGCTCTTTATCATTGAAGTTTGCTGGAATCTAGAGTTGTGTCTCCTTTTTTCAAGTGTTAGATAAATATTACTGGGTTTATGACATGCAGCTATTTACTGGTGTACTTGGAAAAGGTGCTTTTCTCAATGGAACCCCTATTAGAGGTGAATCCAATGCTCTTGATATATAGGTCTCAAAGTATCTTTCAACTTTCAAGTGAATCTCTAAAAGCTGTGTTCTTGTATTCTGAAATTTTGCAGTATCATCACAAGCTGAACTTGTGAAGTCTCTCCTTGCAACAGAGGTGTGGACATTTTTATGTTCTGAAACTTTGAACTTGACTTTTTTTTCTTTGATGGGTGAAAGCGAACTTTAAATTTTGCCTCCAACTTCCAATGCTTTTTTCAGAAAATTATCACGTTATTCATAGTAGGTTATTAGGGAATAGTGTAGACTAATCGACAAATAAACTTGTCCCTCTTTGCAAGCATGTTAAAAATTGATTAAATGTTATCCTATTGAGCAGGCTGGAACAAAACGAGATAAGTTAACTGTGGATGCTACAACAAATAGAATCAATAACTTACTCTTCAAGGTAAAAGCAAATTTTGCATGGATTCATTCTTTTTTGACTGTGTGTTGAAATCCATAATCAATTCCTCTGATTGTCAGGTGAGATCACTTCGGATGAGTGGTTCCTGTGCATTGAACCTTTGTGGAATTGCATGTGGAAGGCTTGACCTGTTTTACGAACTTGGATATGGGGGTCCATGGTATGCTTTTAATAATTTCAAAGTTTGATGAAGTTCGGTATTTGATACATGATTGACACTTTCTGCCTCTATGATCAGGGATGTGGCAGCTGGTGTTTTAATTGTTAAAGAAGCTGGAGGGCTTGTGTATGATCCGTAAGTAGCTAACATAGTTGACTATGCACTCTTTCTATTTTCTTCCAAATCTTATAGGGTGTGATGAGAAGTCAATAGCAAGAAGTAGCAGCCTTCCACAATATGTAATGTTAAATTTCTTAATCCTTGAGATAGAAATTGTAGTGTGCAACTTCTAAAAGATCAGAAATGGCATTCAACGATGTTATTTTTTTTTGTTTATCTAATGTTAGGACCAACATACAGAATCAGTTGAAGCCTGAAGGTGGTTTATACTTATGTTGACCATTGATGTTTTTTGTTTGGTATCAGGTTTGGTAAAGATTTCGACATCACAGCTCCACAAGTTGCTGCTTCAAATCCAATCCTGAAAGATGCATTTGTTGAGGCTTTGCAGCAATCAGAATGAGGCAGCATTGAAAATCTACGAAAGCCAGAAATTGCTTATACTTATATTAAGTGTAAGTAACCATTATCTTATGATTGGTTAAAGACTTTTTTTTTTAGAATAATAGTAATGATTCTTCGAATAGGCTTGGCCCTTAGGTTACAGATTATTTCGTATAATCCAGTTGAGATGACAAATAGCAATATTGGCAATATAAATTTGCTTCTGTTGAATTATTGTTGGTTACGTAGTACTAGTACTTTTTGCCGTGCTTTCTTTGATGACTGATATCAATATTTTGAGCACCCATTGCATAAGGCTCACATACGTCTGCTATAGCATGGACTTTTATTTTACAAAAAAAAAAAAAAAATCCACATCAAGAGTATTTGACTTAATGATAAGTCTATGTATATATCTCTTTATTAAAAAAATTGAATTTAAATTCTTTTTCTTAAATAAAAAAAATTTCAAACCAAGCAAGCAATAGATATCTACAAATAGAAATGGACCGCCCTCAAATGTCTCAAATCTAAAGCACAAGGTGGTTGGGTCCATCAATGGATGACGTTTCCCCAGAGTTCCTCACTTAATAACTGTGGCTACACTTCACTTTGGCAATTGATGTTCTTGCTTGCATAACCATATATATATATACATCAGCAATAGAAACATGATGGGGCCCAATTTGGTGAAACCTTTTGAACGGCACTGAGCCTGAACGGGTCCAAAAGATCTCTACGCCTGACATATAGGGACCAGGTGGGAGTAGTGGACGCATACATCCACTAGAATTATTGGGCTCTGCATAAGTTCAAGGAACACCAATAGAAAATATCACAGAAAAATCACCGCCCATAATATTTGGCCATTGAGAAGGAAAAGTGGGTCTCAGCCATGTCCATGGTTTAGATGTGGCCCTGCCCTTCAAAAAGTCATTGTCAGTTATTCCCGTCTTATTTCAGGGACAAATGCTTTTTTCAGAAGTATCCATCAGCAAGCAGTCCTACTCACTGCTCCCACTACTCGGGCGATAATGTCATACATACCTATATTACCTATTTTTAGTCACCATGCAATTTGCTTAAACGAAGTGGCTGGGGTCACTTTTTCACTTTCATCTTTGAATTTATTCAGCCAAAACCGACCATAAAAGTAGGAATCATCATCATCATCATCTATATAATATGGGGATTTAGTTTTTGAGATAAAATTAATTGCGTAGCTGCCGACAGCAAATATCTCTTCTTAATATGGTAAAAATGGAAATCTAATAAATCTAAATCCACTGCTACTATTACTACTGTGTACTATCTACCATATGTTGAATAATGAATGAGTGGGAAACAAAAAACAAGCTGTTTACATCAAGATTAATTGAAGGAGATAGCATGTTACTTACATTGTCAATCATCACACTAGTTTTCCTCCAGGCAAGCCATAAGATACAAAAGGGGGGCTCAAACTTCCAAAGTATCAAATTATTTGCATATTTATTTATTTATTTATAACACGTCTCTTTAATATAAGCTGCAGGTAGCTAGAGACGACACTACTCGGTCAAATTAAATTTGTCATTTTAACAGAAAAAAAGAAATAAATTATGAAAGCTATAAAACTTTAGATATCAGAAGGATTTTTTACAGCAGGTAAAATTTTGTATGATGGCAAAGTGGAAGAATTGTGAATAAGTAGGTAACAGTATAGATAAAAAAAAAAAGGTTAAGTTAAATTAACACAGAATAGTAATACAGACATTAGAGTCACCATATTAATTACAGAACACTACTACTATTACTGCCTTACTACTATATCTACCTTCAATATTAAATGAAATAGTCGACGTATACAAATACATATACATTCATTAATATATTTCAATAGGATATAAAAGTTTAAAAAATATGGGCGGCTGGCTCTACCTAATCCAAAGTTTTGCTTGCTTTCTATAATGAAATTATCAAGGTGGTAGTGGAGGTCATTAAAAAATTATTACTTGACTTAGCCCGAGACTTTGGTGAATATTCAAATTCACCCAAACCCCATTAATCGCCTGAATTTATTGCAACCATTCCCTGTAACTTACATGTGCGGCCTTTCCCTGACAAGACCAGAACGACCCCGTGTTATTTTTTCTAGTCTGTCGACGGATTGTTTTTCACGGGTGTGACAGACTATACTTTTGCCCAGATACCAAGACCAGCGGACAAAGCGAATCCAGGCCACCCTCAAACTCTTATGTACTCTCTCTGTGTCTCTTCCACCGTCAAGTATTGAAATGAAATGAAATGAAATGAAATGAAACTCTCTTAAAAACTCTAATACTTAAAATCGTTTGTTGTTTCTAGAAATGGTTTCGTTGGAAGATTCTCACTGCAATTCAAACCGATTACCGCTCGGTCCAAACTTCCACACCTCTGCTTCTGCTTCTGCTTCTGCTTCAACCACCAAAATCCACCGACACACGGGCCGTTCCATGCGTACGATACGCTCTTATCTCTACCAAAACGACAACAGCAGCTGCTCCTTCACCAACTCCGTTCCTGAAAGGTCCGGATTTGTCTCGGAAAATCTGACGGAATCCGTTATCGACATGCGTCTTGGCGAACTAGCTTCCAAATGCAACACCAAATCGGTTAGCGAGGACTTTTTCGATATTTCTCAAGCCTTAACTGATTTCTCGGCTTGTAGCAGCGATATCTCTGGTGAGCTGCTGCGGCTAGCGAGCTTGCCCTCCCCCGAAAACGCCTTGATGAGTGAGAGCAGCAAGAGAGCCGAGTCTGAGCAGGAGCCGGAGCCCTGCCACGGCTTTCTGCAGAGAGAGAATTTCTCGACAGAAATTATCGAGAGTATTTCGCCAGAGGATCTTCAACCGACAGTCAAGATCTGCGTCGACGGCCTCCAATCGCCGTCAATTGCATTGAAGCGATCGGCTGCGGCTAAGCTCAGGCTACTAGCGAAGAACCACGTTGATAACCGTGCATTAATTGGAGAATCCGGTGCGATCCCTGTTCTGATTCCGCTCCTGCGAAACAGCGATCCATGGACTCAAGAGCATGCAGTGACTGCGTTACTAAATTTGTCACTTTTCGAAGCGAACAAAACCCTAATTGTAAATGCTGGAGCTATAAAATCATTAGTGTATGTTCTCAAGACAGGAACCGAAACCTCCAAGCAAAACGCGGCTTGTGCACTTCTGAGCTTAGCTTTGATTGAAGAATACAAGACTTCAATCGGAGCATGCGGGGCGATTCCACCGCTGGTATCTCTTCTGATGAACGGATCCAACAGAGGCAAGAAAGATGCACTGACAACTCTTTATAAGCTGTGTTCGGCCAGGCAAAACAAAGAAAGGGCGGTCAGTGCGGGTGCAGTTAGGCCTTTGGTGGGGATGGTGGGAGAGCAAGGGACTGGGATGGCAGAGAAGGCGATGGTCGTTCTTTGTAGCTTGGCGGGAATTGAGGAAGGAAGGGAAGCTATTGTGGAGGAAGGTGGAATTGCGGCACTAGTGGAGGCGACAGAGGATGGGTCTGTCAAGGGGAAGGAGTTCGCAGCGGTGACACTGTTGCAGTTGTGTGCTGATAGCATTAGGAATCGTGGATTGCTTGTTAGGGAAGGTGGCATCCCTCCTCTTGTGGCGCTTTCTCAGACTGGGAGTGTTAAGGCTAAGCATAAGGTAATTTTAGTTCATGTTGGTTGACTTGTGTTGGGATGAAGATAATAAAATAGCTGTTTTAGGAAGTACCTTATTTCTGTGATTGATTGCGGGAGGATAAAAGTTGAATGCTTGATAATCAATTGCCGGAGGATAAAGTTGAATGCTTGATAATCACTAGGTAGTAGATACTGTGTTTCTACTTCCAATGCAGTTTATAGTTGATTGATTAACATTACTCAAGTATAAAGTAGTTGCACTTAGATGATCGGAACTGAGCATTACTCAGAGTTGCTGAGTTGTTATCTAAACCATAAAATGCAACATGTATCTCGCACAGCATGCTGACTTTTGCATCAATTGTATCCATGCATTTCTATTTTCAACATTCAATAAAGTTTGCTCCATATTGATAATTAAGGTATTTGTTAAATGTTAATTTTGCAGGCTGAAAAACTTCTTGGGTATTTGAGAGAACCAAGACAAGAGGCTTCCTCATACAGTCCTTAGAGAAGAGAAGTTTATTTAACTATACTAGGCAATTGTTTTTTTTTTTTTTTTGGGTATATGAGTGTTTTGAAGGTTTGTACAGTGTGGTTGAAAATTTTGGTAGAATGATTGTACAATTGAAAAAAGAAAAATTAGGGGAGACTAGTGTGCAAGAGGCTGACTTTTAGATGTAACAAAGCTTCCCAAAATGGATTTTACTACTTGCAAGAAGTAAAACTAACTAAATAACTTCCAACTTCATATTTTTAGCAGATAAGGCTTGCATTTGGGACGTTTGGATTTGGCAATCTTCCATAGTCTCAAATCTAGTTTTTAATCTATCACTCAACCTCTTTTCCAATTTATCTCCCTTTGAAGCAAATAATGGACTAAATTAATTTTGACTCTAGATATCACACAATCCACTAGCCATAATTTCTCAATTATAACAGATTAAAAACAAACTGGTCTTGCATAACACAGATATTGCAATAAAATGATGCAAAAATCTATACTCAATGAAAAAAAAAATTAACTAGCAAGACTATCATTCACATAAGCTTCATTTCTACCAGTGAATTTATGCCAAATAGCATTCCTATCAAAATGTTTAGGCACTCTAATTATTCTTTCACTACAGATTTTTAGCAAATCACCTAACTCCTGAACAGAGAAGACCATTTACATCTCATTCAAAAAAGTATATAAACAATCAGCTCTTAAATCATCATTTTGGCATAATTCACTTTGGTTCAAAGTAATCCCACTATAAAATTCTATCACTAAAGCTTCACTGCATTCATTTTCAGTGATAGCAGCTAATCCTAAACATTTTACCGTACCAAACCATTCCTCAAACTCTTAAAGTGAGATAGACTTAAAATTATGTCACCTAATGCTCCTACCACAAATTATAGTTCTACTTCCAAGTTTTCAAAATCTTTGAGCGTGTAAAGAATTTCTAAACTGTTCTTCACATTGTCTTAATCGTGAGAAGCGAATTGTGGCAAAACAATCCGTACTTAATACTTTTCAATCCGTTTTAATTAGATAAGTTCAATTTTTTTAAAAATTAGAAGTTGGGTTGTTTTTTCTTAAATCGAGTTCGGATTGGAGTTGATTTTCGGTTGTAATAATCTGGGTATATATAAAAAATATTTTTTTATCATTTATTTAATTTTATATTTATATTTATATATGTATTATTATAATTGAAAATTTGATTCTGTTCCACGCTCCATTTTACTGTCAAACTAATTTTAAATTTGTACGATGCACATGTGAAATATACGTGCGATTTTCGTATTGAACAGTCACACCAACATAGAGTCCCCTTGGAACTACAACACTGCTCAAAGCACCCTTCACTCTTGTAATGGCTACCTGGAAAAAAAAACAATCGAAAGAAAAGGAAAGAAAATGAAAGGGAAAGAGAAATACTTTGCTTGCTTCTCACGATTCGCTTCTCACGAGTTTGTTTAAACTATCACCAGCTATTACGAGCTTCTCTGTAATGGCTAAAAGTGGCAAGCAAAAAAAGAAGGTAAAGGCTCTTACCCAACCAGAAAGAGACAAAGACAAGTGGAGAACAATTTAAAAATTCTTTACATGCTGAAAAATTTAGAAAACTTGGAAGTAGAAGTATAATTTGTGGTAGGAGTATTAAGTGGGATGATTTTAGGTTTACCTCACTTAGACTGGAATGGTTTGGTAGGATAGAATGGTTAGGATGCTATCACTGAAAATGAATGCTATCAAACTTTAGTGACAGAATTTTATAGTGGGATTGAGTTGAACCAAAGTAAATTATGCCAAAATGATAATTTAATAGCTGACTGGTTATATACTTTTTTGAATGAGATGGAAATAGTCTTGTCTGTTCAGGAGCTAGGTGATTTGCTAAAAATATCTAATGAAGAAATAATTAAAATGTCTGAAAATTTTGATGAGAATGTTATTTGGCATAAATTCAAAGCTATGTGAATGATAGTCCCTCAATTTTCTTGTATTGAGTATAAATTTTTGTATCATTTTATTGTAACATATGTGTTACGTAAAATTAGTAGTTTTTCATTTGTTATAATTCAGAAATTATGGCTAATGGACTGTGTGGTATCTAGGGTCAAAATTAATTTAGCCCATTATTTGCTTCAAATGATGAGAAATGTATTAACCTCTGGAACTACGAACTTACCGTATCGCAATATGGAACCACCAACTTGCCGTATGGTAACATTCTCACCCTTATTATATAGAACAAAAATGCTATGTTTGAGAGATATCTTGAGGAGGTTGCTAGGAAAGTTACTGTTTACAACAAAAAATTAGTAATCTTAATGGATTGGAAATTAATAATGGAGAATAGGTGAAAATGTCTGAACAAGTAAATATTCCAAAACAGCAGCCATCAACCTCTCCAGCAAACAGGTAAAGAAGGTTGAGTGATAAATTAAAGGCTAGATTTCAGGACTTATTGACTAGCATGGAAAGTAGGTTGGGTGATAGATTTGAAAGTAGGTTGAGTGATAAATTAGAAGCTAGATTACAGGCCATGAAAGATCGGTAAGGCAAAGCGTGACAATTGCAAGCCTTATCTGCTAAAAATATGAAGTTGGAGGTTAGTTTTATTTGTTGCAAGTAGTAAAATCAATTTTAGCAAGCTTTCTTACATTCTAGGTTTATTTTGCAAAAGACACGCTCTTCTCAGAAGGAGAAAATAAGAATAGTGGAACATAAACTTATTGAAGGAGAGAAACTACGAGATCAGTTGGTAGATAAACTTATTGAAGGGGAGAATTTGAGGAAAAATTCTAAGTTTCGTTATAAGTCATGCATTAATCTTGCATTAGCTGGCAGAACAAGTATGTTTTGTCCTGCTGTGTGAAGGATTGCCTTTCCATGATCAAATCTATGCATTAAAGAAATTATGAGACCAAGTGTAGACGTCCCTTATGGTTTAACATCTTTGCATTGCTCAAGTGATATCAGTAACTTTTATGTTCAAGGCAAAAATTCAGTGACGCTATGCATTTCTTCATTGAACAAAGATGGACTGCTGTCCTGCATATATAACATCTTATGAGATGTTGAGCTTAAAAAAAGTTTTCTTTTGAATACTAATTCCTCCATGCAGAATGTTCTTTGTTATGGTGGAACTGGGAAAAGACAAGCTTTATTCCTAACCTAAAGCAAAGTTACTTTGAAGAGAAAGAAGAGGAAGAGGAAGAGGAGTAATGCTAGAGGAAAAAAGTGTTGAAGGCTGTAATACATGATTGCTGCATTGCCTATTATATATGCTCAATAGCTCATAAAAAACCAAAGAATAAAGCGCAATATATAAACCAAGAAATCTTTGTAGAAATAACTAGGTTAAAGGTATAAAAAACTGTTGAATTATATATGCGTGTCACCCTTTGACTTTGCCCTAAATGCTTTTTTCGGGTTGAAACCAGTCTCCAGCATCAGCTCAACCTTTTTGAACTGTAGTCCTTTGGTTTCAGGTACAAAGGAGTAGATACAAGTAAGTCCGATCACACAAAATGCAGCAAACAGGGGGAACATGCCAGCGGAACCAAGAGCTTTTGTCAAGGTTAAGAATGCCTCGCTGATAATGAGATTGGAGACCCACTTAGAGACTGCAGCCATCACTCCACCAGTACCTACCTCTGTATCTTAGTTGGTAAATCTCAGTTCACAATCCATGGGACAGTTCCCATTTTAGGGAGTAGGAAATGATGTACAATCCTAGGAGAACGACTTCCAGAAATCCAAGTCTGCTTGGGCAACCATCCTTGAACCAAGTACGATGCTGTCCACAACATGAATTATTTAGATCTGTGGTCAATGTCAAGCATGCTTCAGGAGAAAACTGAACAAAGAAAGGAATATATGAATCAATCAGATTTAATTGGTTTAAAGTTTAACAACAATCAACTCCAACGTAATTACTACTATTTAGTAATTAAAAACAATCAAATGCCTCCTAATAGTATTTAACCAACAGATACTGCTAATGGATTGCGGATGGTGGTTGTATCTGCAACCAATAGCGAGGCTGGGAATACTGAGACAATATTGGATTGATCAATGAGTGAAAATGTAAATATACTTACTTCATTTGCCCCATTAGCACACAAACCACATTCAGCTTTCAAGCAAGACATGCAGTTCCATGATTTTAGCATCTGAGAGCCTGAGACAAAACTTGGACATGTAGCATTTGTAGCATAGTGCGTGGATTCGAACTGGTCAACTTTTGTAAAATGGCTGGCAGCCGAGGCAAGTGATGATTCCAAACATAGAAATAATCATCATTCTCCTCCTTCCATATCTGCCAACAATGTCATACTGACAATAGAGCCAACAGCATTAAGCCTGGAAGTGATCAGAGAAAGGGCCATTGTTGTCTTATTTGATGCAAATCCAGCGAATTGAACAATCGTTGCACTATAATACATGAAGTATTGATGCCTGAAAATTGCTGGGCCACTTGAACAGTCACACCAGCATAGAGTCCCCTTCGAACTACAACATTGTTCGAATCATCCTTCACCTTTTGTATCGGACTATCCCCAATCGCATGCTCATCAGCCTTTTCAGCTTTAACAGAGATTCTCAACGCATTCAACTCATTTTCAACTTCATCAGCAGGTAAATTCTTTCTAGGATGGACCTGGCCTCTTCTAACTTTTTTCTGAACATCAACAAAATATATATGGTTATTATTATTGTAAAAATTTTGCAAGAATTTCTTGAACAAATATTTCCCAGGGACAACATTAATTAACCTCTCTGTAAAGTCATCTAGGAAACTCAGGAAGCGACAGCGTCAAGAAAAATTGAACCACGACGGGAAGTCCAGCTACTCCAAGCATCCAACGCAAATTGGTTGGAGAGAATGCAACCTGTAGCCATGTTTTCCTGCCAACTTCTTGAAAGTCTTTACAGATATAAAGTAGGGCACCAGAAATCACGCCTGTAATCCAACAATGATTATATATTAGTAAAACTAAGACATGTCTCTTTGAGTGACAATCATCATTTATGTAATTATGTTTGAGGATTAACACACATCCCGTTACCCGTGTCATAACCAAATAAAAGTCCTGCGATCCCAGCTGAGAGTGCAAGCGTCATAATATAAGGAGTTTTCCATGTTGTCTTCCAGTATTCAGTAAACTCTGTCTTATCTGTTTTTAAGATGCCACCTTCCACCATTTTGTCAGAAGAGCCAAACTGAAATATCTTTTGTTGAGAAGGCAAGAAATATCTATAGAAAGAAGAGAAGCTTGATAAATTCAAACAATCCGCAGTGAAACAGTTCCAATTAGTAATACAAGGATATTCCAGTGAAATTTTCCTGTGAATTGAACCGATGGTATCAAAATTAAATAAAAAAGAGACCTATCAACAGTCA